CCCAGCTCGTTTACCAGACGACGGAGACTCCGACCCGGCACGTCGGGCTGATGCGCTGCGAGCCGTGTTCCGGAAGCTTCTGGGCGGGCTGGGGCGATGGTGGTGTACTCCTACACGAGGGCGCATGGTTCGTCGGGGAAGCTCTCCCAGCTCATGCGGTGGGCCGCCTGGACAAGCTTCGCTCGCTTCTCGACGCACCATGCATCCCAGGGGCCGCTCCGATCCTTGGCGTTTGGTAAGAAGAGGGGGTGTTTGCTACCTACCTTCTTCTTCTCCGTTCGTATACCGCGGCAGCGGTGAGAGCACGGTAGGAAGTAGGGCGGGAAACAGCCGCCGACCGGCCAACCCCACAAGCCCTGTGGCTTGCCTGGCAGATGAGAACGACACGCCACGGACGCGGATGCGGCTCTGGGCTGGGGCGCCGCTGAGATGAGTGGCTTCACAGCGCGAAAAGGCAGAGCGAAGCCCGTAAGGGCAATCTGGAATACGACGGTGCGGAGACGCGCCGGAAGACTAGGTGGCTAAATATGGCGCGACGGCGATAGCGAAAGACCCAGCTTTTCGTATCGAATCAGCGAGATCCGCACTGCCGCGAAGGAGCGGGCGCCTGCGGTGTGCTCCTATCCATCTCCCATCTCGATTTCCCCCTACGAATGGGCGGCGGATTAAGGTTCGGGTCACGCTCATTAGCTGGCCGGCCGGCTGCCAAGGTGCCGAGCAGGAACACGCACAACTGCCTCGGTGGACCTGTGCGCGCTCGAACATCAGACAAGATGCGCAGAGGGCCGACCAACAATTGGGCCCTGCCATGCCGTCATGTCCGTCGCCCGCGGTCGAGGCCACAGGCAACCAGCGACAAGGCGGTGGGAGCAAATGGCCGATGGGGAGGGGGGGAGGAGACACGGGGGGAGTAATGGGTGATGTGCCGGAGATAGTGCATGTGGCGCAGGCCGCAGCCTCGTAGGATGCTGAAACCACTCTGGCGCGCGGGCGTGGCTTCAACGTCGTCTTGCAAGGCGCAAACAAAGGCCATTTTGGCAGCGACGCCGCCACAGGGCGGCCAGGAAATGAGTCCTAATGAGAGCAGTCAGAGTTGGGGGACGAGGGGCCGAAACGAGATCAGCAGGCGTGGCCCGACTCAGGAGGCAGAGCGAGGCAAAGCGAGAAAAAGCACAGCGAGGCACAGCGAGGCACAGCGAGGCACAGCGACTCGCGCGGCCGGGGGGGTCCAGGCGCCGGCGCGACATGGCACCACGAGCTGGTTGGCCACGGACTGGCGCGGGCATGCAGGTACGCGGGATAGACGGCTGGGGCGTGCTCCAACACCACGCCTGAGACAGGGGCCCTCGCGCCGCTAGGCCGTTCCTTGAGATCCATTCACGAAATTGCACCTGGCAGGGCCCCCGGTCTTCACGGGCCTTGGCGCCTCATCACACTGAATGTATACCTCGCCCCGCCTCGTCTCTCAGATTCTCTCTTTCCTTCCTCACCGAGCTTTTCACATCCCCATCGACACTCGTTTGTCTCTTTGAGGCAGTTACTTTCTTTGACCCCATCCGCTCCGTCGTCGTTCCTTGCCCTCTCAGGGCCAATTAACCCCAACAACTACAACATCCACCTATTCAGACTGTCCTTTCAGCCTTAATCCACCATGCGCGGCATCAGTGTCGCTCTGTTCGCCGCTCTGGCTGCTGCCAACGGCGTCGAGAAGAGGGACGAGACCGTCTACGCCACCCAGGAGTACACGGTTACTTCCTGCGGTCCCGAGGTCACCAACTGCCCGGCCAGCTCCACCCAGGTGCACACCAGCCTGGTTGCCTCGACCAGGCCCGCTGAGGTCACTCCTCCCGCTCCTACCTCCAGCGTCGCTGCTGTGACCTCGGAGCCGGCTGCGCCTTCCTCGCCCGCTGCCGCCCCGGTCCCTTCCTCCAGCGCCGCTGTTCCCACGCCCGCTGTCCCCGAGGTGCCTGCCGCTTCCAGCCCGGCCGCCTCCAGCCCGGCCGCCTCCAGCCCGGCCGCCTCCAGCCCCGCTGCTTCCAGCCCGGCTGCCTCCAGCCCCGCCGTCCCCGAGGTTCCCGGCTCCTCCGCCGCGGTCCCCACGCCCAGCGCTCCTGCTGCTTCCAGCCCCGTCGCTTCCGCCCCGGTTGCGTCCAGCCCGGCTGCCTCCAGCCCTGCGGTCCCCGCGGTCCCCACTCCCTCCGCTGAGGTTCCTGCCTCCAGCGCTGCCGTCCCCACGCCCAGCGCTGAGGCTCCTACCTCCAGCGTCGTGGCCCTGACCTCCTCGGTCGCCACGCCCTCGACCCCCGCGGCTGTTTCCACGCCCGCTGTCCCCGCTGTTCCTTCGTCCAGCGCTGCGGTCCCCTCGGTCTCGGTCGGCACTCCCCTTGTCCAGACCCCTCCCGCCGGCACTCCCGAGGTCCCCTCCAGCTCGGTCGTTGCCCTGACCAGCTCCGTCGCCACCCCCGCGGTTGGCACTCCCCTGACCCCGCTGACCCCGCTGACTCCTCTGACGCCCCTGACTCCCGTCATCCCCGTCAGCAGCGCCATCACCTCCTTCAGCACCTCGACGGTCTACGCCACTCAGCTGCACACCATCACCTCGTGCGCTCCTGAGATCACCAACTGCCCTGCCGACTCCACCAAGGTCGTCACCAGCGTCGTTGCCGTCTCCACCACCGTCTGCCCGGTCACTGCTACCGAGACTCCCGGTGCCCCCGGTGCCTCCACTCCCGGTGCTCCCGGTGCTCCCGGTGCTTCCACCCCCGGTGCTCCCGTCCCGGCCTCTACCCCCGTTGCCTCGTCTGGCGTCCAGGCTGTCACTTCTGCTCCTGCCGTCACTCCCGTTGGCACCCCCAAGGTCGTCACCTCCCTGAGCACCTCGACCGTCTACTCCACCAGGGTTTCCACCGCCACTGACTACCACACCGTCGGCGGCTCCACCAGCGCCAGCGAGCGTGTCGTCACTGAGACTGTCGCTCTCTCTACGACCATCTGCCCCGTCACCGCCACCCAGACCCCCGGTGTCCCCGAGACTCCCGCTGTCTCTTCCGGTGTCCAGGATGTCACCTCCGCTCCCGCTGGCTCTGCCCCCGCTGGCTCTGCCCCTGCTGGCTCTGCTCCCGTTGAGTCTGGCCCTGCTACCCCCGCCACCTCCGTCGTCGTCAAGACCACCGACACCCCCATGACCTACACCGTCGGCACTGGTGCCTCGGCCTCCGTCCTGACCACGACTGTCAAGAACTACAGCACCCAGACTCTCGTCCAGACTCTTGTCCAGACCCGCCCCGTCTCCAAGGTTGAGACTAACGCCAACGGCGAGCCCACGACGACTCTGTCCTCCACCTCCACCTTCACCAACTACGTCACCGTCACCCCCGTCACCTCCCCCGGTGTCGTCTCTGGTGTCCAGGCTCAGTCCTCTAAGCCCGTCACTCCCGCTGGCTCTGCTCCCGTTGCCTCTGGCACTGCCCCGGCTGGTTCTGCTCCCGTTGCCTCTGGCACTGCCCCCGCTGGCTCTGCCCCCGCTCCCACGAGCCCCGCCAGCGCCACTGAGGTTGTTCCTTCCGCCGGTGCCTCCGTCTGCACCGACAAGACCGTCACTGTCACCGCTCCCCCTGAGACCGTCACCGTCACCGCCCCCGGCTCCGGTTCTCCCGTCACTGAGGAGGCTGTTCCTTCGTCTGGCGTCCAGGCTCTGACCTCTGCTCCTGCTGCTCCCGTTGTCCCCATCACGGTCACCTCCCTGAGCACCTCGACTGTCTACTCTACCCAGATCACCAAGTCGACTCAGTACCACACCAACTCTGTCGGTTCCACCACCGGTAGCCAGGAGCACATTGTCACCCAGACCGTCGCTATCTCCACCACGATCTGCCCCGTCACCGCCACCCAGACTCCTTCCCCCTCGTCTGGCGTCCAGGCCCTGACCTCTGCTCCTGCTGCTCCCGCTGTCCCCACGGTCGTCACCTCCATGAGCACCTCGACCGTCTACTCCACCCAGGTTGCCAAGTCGACCGAGTACCACACCAACTCCGTCGGCTCTACCACCGGTAGCAAGGAGCACATTGTGACCAAGACGATCGCTGTTTCCACCACGATCTGCCCCGTCACCGCCACCCAGACTCCTTCCCCCTCGTCTGGCGTCCAGGCCCTGACCTCGGCTCCCGCTGTCACCCCCGTCGTTGTCACCTCCATGAGCACTTCGACCGTCTACTCCACCCAGGTGACCAAGTCGATGCAGTACCACACCAACTCTGTCGGTTCCACCACCGGCAGCCAGGAGCACACCGTGACCAAGACGATCGCCATCTCGACGACGATCTGCCCCGTCACCGCCACCCAGACCCCCGTTGCCACCCCCGGCTTCGGCGGCCCCCGTCTGGCCACCCCCGGTGCTTTCTACCCCACCCCCGGCCAGGTCTATGACCCCGCTGCCACCACTTCCTGCGCCAGCACCGGTTTCATCACCCTCTCCCGCGGCGCTGCTACTCCCTCTGCCCTGAGGAAGTACTAAGCGCTTCGCTGAGCGCGACTGAGTTGTGTTTTGTTTCTCAAGCAGTCAGCGAGGGACGGCGGAAGCGGAAGGGACTGGGGATGGTGGCGTCACGGGCGCGTCGAGGAGGGGCCGGGATGATGACGACGACGCTCTCTCCCTTGAAGCCCTCTCTTTCTCTTCCTTTGGACTCTCGAATCTGACTGACGCGTTTACGCGACATTTTGGATAGAAAATTTGCAAGGTTGGGGGATTGGGATCTTTATGGGGGAAAGTGGTTTTTTTGTCATCTTGGTTTTCTTTTTCTCTTCGCCTCGTGTGCTGTGGCGCCGGGTTCCCTTTCCTTGTGTTGTCTCTTGCTTTTTTCTCGCTGCTTTTCTTTGTATATATCGCATCATAGTCATCACTCTGGAAATATGGTTGTTGTAGCTCGCTGCTGTGCATTTTGGGTGTGTGAGTGTGTGATTGTGATTGCTTTGTGTGATTGTGGTGAGTTAGTTTGTATCGACACCGATTATCTATCGCAAACTAACTCACAGTGTCCTGGATGGGAAGGAACTAGGAGTATGACGATGGAAACATGGAGGGAATCGTGAACAAGATTCCAGACACGGCGCGATGGGATACTTGCCATCCGTCTACCCATCCGTCCGTCCGTCAGTCCGTCCGTCTGTCCGTTCGTCCCCCGTCCCCAGACGACAGACGACAAACGCAAACGGATGAAACACAGCTCGCTCTCACCTACCTACCTACCTTCCCAAACAGCCAGCACAGCACAGCCACGCACGCGCATGCGCATCGCATCGACATCATCGCCTCGCATCGCATGGCAACGCATAGACACTCAACCCCAAACACGCCCAAACCCCAAACCGCCCACCGGGTCGGAAACCTCAAACCTCAAACACACGCACCCCAAACAAGCCCTTCGAGCGTGGATGACGGACGGGGATCAACGTTCAATGTTACGCACTAGCCACCTATATTGCCTGTGCTAACGCCCCCTTCCCCCCTCTCCCCAAACTTAAATTTAGAAAGAGTAAAGACCAAGGCCAGGCCGACGACAAACTTAGCAACACACACGCGCACATCCGCACATCTTGTCTGCACGGATGCACGGATGTTCAGCAGTACAGGAGCACAGGAGCACTGATTTGCACATCGCATCGCACCGCCCCCTCGGGCGACGGACGTGGGCTATTGAACTGGCCGTTGAACTGACCAACCGACGAACTGATGTGCAAGCAGACCAGTGATTTGCGGCATGATGAGCGCCGCCGGTCAAAGTCCTGCGTGATGTGCATTGTGCATTGTGCATTGTGCATGTCAATCAGGCAGCTTCGTGCTTGCTCTGAAACGCGCTGGGTGTGGGCTTTGTTTGGCGCTGCTATCCCTATAATATAATATAATACTGCTATCTGCTATCCCTCCCCTCTCCGCTGTTGTGGAGGGGGTGCTGTGCTGGTGCTGTGGTGATGTTGTGGCGATGCGATGTGCGTGGGCACGGTTGGGTGAGTGTTTTGGGGGAGGGGGGGGGGTTTGACGTGGATGTTTGGGGTTGAGTGAAGCGGGTTGTTTGGGGTTTAAAAGTGCGTGTTTGACGTGCGTTGTTTGGGCCGCGTGTTTGGGGCGCAGTGTTTGCGCGTGGCGTGGATGGCTATACGTCACTGGAATCAGAAGGGCGTGGCGTTGCTTGGGTTTGGTGGTGTTTGCGCGCTGCGGAGTGTGGAGAGGAAAGATGTCTGTCTGTTATGCTATACATACTTGGTGGAGTAGAATAAGTCGCTGGAGGGACGTGCGTGTTGCTTTTGTGAACTGATTACTCTTTCTCGTTAGACTTGGCTTTCTTTGTAGGCAGGGCGCGTAGGGGATATAAACGCGGTTAGTACAGAAATTCCCTTGACTTTGCTACTCGTTCCGTCATGTAGAGCCTAGACATTCGACCTTGGAGTTACTGATTGTGTTTATACTGTCTGTGTGTTTTGCCTAAAAGGGGAAGCTAAGTCTAGGGTCGAACGTCTCGGTTCTGCATGACGGAGCGGGTGGTTAGAGTGAAGTAAACTGTGTACGTGCCCGGCCTAGAAGGGTAAGCTAAGTCTAGGGTCGAACGTCTGGGTTCTCTAGCACGGTGCTAGTAAAAGGTGAAGTGTAGTTTCCTTACTTCCGTATATCCCTAGTACTAAATATTTACCCCTATCTTGCCGATTGCCTAAAACGGCAACACTAAGCTCAAGCTTAATCATCTAGCTCTTATCTAGAGTAGTACTAAGTCCAAGGTCGAACGTATACATTCTCTGTACCAGGACAGGCAGCTAAAGTGAAGTTTCCCATATCCCTTTACGTTACCAGAACAACAGCGCTAAGTCCAAGGTCGAACGTCTACGTCCTAGCCAGCAGCATAAGAAAGTGAAGTGAAGTTCTCCTATTCACTGTGTATCCTCTTCCCTCCTCTCCAGCCATAACACTGTACTGTGCTAGCGCTGCCCGCCCCCATACACATACCGTACAATGCGTTGCCACCAATTACGCATATATACCTAAACTCGCTTGAGCATCTCGGCTGGGATCTCCCTCCACAGTCACAGATAACGAACAATAGAGCAAGCACGAAATAGTATGCAAAATCCAGTTGAAAGCAATGTAATTGTGCTGACCAGCTGCTGGTTGCATGTCCTCGTTGGTTATATTTCGTGTACACGTTGTTCATTAACTTCTCGAGGTCAGTCGAAGCAGTGATATAATAAATGCTAATGCCGTATTTGATAGTAGATACTCTTTAAGGCAAGTATGTGAATGTAGTATATACAAACACTCACGCTTCTACTGCCGTCTCGATTAACCGACTCCCGCAACAGCAGTAAAATGCACTTTACTCCCCATAAGCTCGCTTTTCTTTAAGATATCCAGTCTGCCATGCCCAAGCACTGCCTGACAAAATCATCTACACATAGTATACCCTTCCGATTATCGAGCAAACCAAGTAAACAAATAAATATGTAGCAGCATCCACCAGCAAACAATATCTCCATTCCCTCGCTATCCACGTGTAAAATATATGTATGCATAAAGCTACTCTGCAAGGCCCATCCACCATCCACGATACGTCCATCCTCTACCCTAGCCACAAGTCCGAATCCCCCCAAACTTCCGCATGTTCACTTAGCCCATCCCACAAGGCCCGCCTTGAAACGGAATGGGCTGTCCTGTCCGTCCTGTCCAACCTGTATTTACCATGCATGCTGTTCCGGCCTCGCTCGCTCGTTCCGTCATGAGAAAACAACGACAACGCCCCGGAAATGCCCAATGGACGAGCCGAGCTGATCGCATCCGCTCGTCCCGATATGCTCGCTCGCTTGCTTGCTCAATAACGCGCTTAAGAACACTCGACGAGTAAAGCAGCAAGGGGAAAACCCGCCGCCGCACTAATGCGGACGACACCAAAAACGCAGAACCAGGCCGTCGCTGCTGCTGCTATCTACTTCAGCTCGCCCGGCACGTTACGGCCAACCTTCCAGATCTCCTTGGCACGGGACAATCGGCCATTTGTCTGCAGCAGACTCGTCAGTACATTCTCAAAACACCAAAACCCAGGCAGGAAAAAACTCACCAGCGTCCCATCCCGATAGGCCAGATGGCGATTCTCATACAAGATCGGTATGCGTTCTTTCGGCAAATCCAGCAGTTCCTCTAGCGTCTCGAATTTCTCGGCTTCTTGTGAAGAGAAGGCATTCGACATCTCCGAGTCGCGGCCCCAGTACCTCTCATCAAACGAGAAGGTCGCGTCGCGCGGGCGCGACCCCTCGCCCTCATAGCTCGCAGGCGGCTTGTACGTCGAAGGCAGTGGCCGCTCCAGCTCGTTGTGAGGTTTGCCTCTGGGTCGCTCGCGTCGTGCGCGCGCGAACGAGTTTGTGAGGCAATCTTTGCGTTTCGGTCGCTTCTCGATTTCTTTTATTTTGGCTTCTTTGTCGAAAAGGGCAACTTTGGACCGCATCTCCGGGTGTGTGGCGAGGAGGTTTTTGACGTTAAACGGTTGCTTGTCAAACTCGGCCTTGAGGGCTGCGAGGATATCTACTTTTCCCTCCGATAGAGCGGGTTGAGTGGGTCTGGTATTTGCTGGCGCGGGATTGGTGGTTGTTTTGCTTGGGCCTGCAATACTTGGGCTCGCAGTACTTGGACCTGCAATGCTTGGACCTGCAATGCTTGAACTTGCAATGCTTGGACCTGCAATGCTTGGGCCTGTAATGCTTGGGACGCGATCAGGTTGAGGTGCTGGCTTTGTTGCTGGTTCAGGTGCCTTTCCAACTGTTTTATCGGGGGCCTTTCCCAGTGCTGGATTTTCATGTGCCTTTCCACGTGCTGATTCCTGCACCGGTTCAGGTGCTGACCTGTGTACTTGTTCGGATGGTTGCTCGAGCTCTTGGCTACAATCCACATCAGCAGTTAGCGCATACGTCTCAGCTTGCTGCAGGAGCTCGTTAAAAGTTTTCGTGTGAACACGATCAGGTGCTGACCTGTGTGATTGCTCAGGTCCTCGCTCAAGCTCTTGTGTACCATTCACAGCAGCAGTTTGCTCAGCAGCCATTTCACTCCTAGTCTTCTCGACAGCTCTCTCCATAACTTCTTGTAAAGCTTTACCGCGAGCAAGCTCAGCTGTGGGTGCAGGGGTCATCTCAATATCCAGGTCGGACATTTGCCCCGGTGACTCTGGCCAAGCAGGAGGATGCTGTGGCGAAGGTGTGAAAAGTTGATCGGCCAAGGTTACATTCGCGGGCGTCGCTGCCGATTGGTTTTCTTCTGACTGCGCGTCCGGCATCTCATCATCCTGTTCGGCCTCCGTCATAGTCACCTCCATATCTTTTGAGGAAGCAGCTTCCTCCGTGCCCTTGGCGCCGTCTTTTGCCCAGGCAGTGGCGTCTTCACTTGTCCTGGCTGTGGAGCCTTCACTTGACCTGGAACTGGCGTTTTCACTTGCCTCAGCAGTTGAATCTTCAACCATCCTGGAATCCTCTTTAGATGTCTCTTCTCTAGGAGACAACCCATTTGTCTGGTTTGATGGATAGTCTTCCGGGAAGGCCATATGCAGCCATGCGTCCCAAGTGGGATTGTCAAGAGTTTTTCTTAGGCCGTTGTAGCCGGTGAACCTTCCATGGACACTGATTTTGTTCTGGCCTTGCAGCCGGACAGTCTTATCAATATCGTCCTCGAATGCCACTCCGTACCATGGCCATTCGTCTCCCTTCTCCTTCAAAAACACTTTTCCTTGGTCCGTGTCAATCTCCATGAAGTGTGTCTCAAAAATGGCTTTTTTCGCTGTGGACGGGTCAAGCTTTTCTTGGAGAGAATCGGAAGTTATGATATCCCAGAGCGCACATCGAACGAATTCGGCCTCATTGCCATCATTTGACTTTGGCCAGTTCTGTCGGTGGCGGCATTCGAATCTGTCTGCAGCTTCCTTATTCATATACCACTGCACTAGGACAGCACACCCGGCTCCTTCGTCGCGCACCCGCAAGTCCTCTATTTGTCCGATGGCCTCCACGTGCGGAACATGCTCAAAAGAGGAATGGAAAGGCTTCGCCGGAAGAGGAAGCTTGACATAATCTCCCACGTGGAATGGTACTCCTTTGATAGTAACGGTATTACGCCTGGGGAGTTCGTGCCAAGAGTTTCCTGTTGTATTTTTTGATCCAGGGACTATGTCTCGACCGTGATCATCGTAAGTAACGCGGTGACGCGTGATAAATTCCAGCGCCTGTCGGACCGAAGGTTTCAGTGGTTGGACATTTGTGGAAAGATTCCTGGCCCTGGCTGATGCTCGATCTCTATCGTTGGTGGGAGGAGGTTGGGCATTTGTAGAAGCATTCCTAGCCTTGGCTGATGCTCGATCTCTATTGTTGGCGGGAGGTGCACGGTTTGTATTTGGTCCATTTCGTTGGTGAAGGTCTTGTATTAACCGAGCCCGCTGGACCACCTCCCTGTAGTTGGGAAAGTTGCTGGTGAACTTTCTATCAAGGATCCAGTAATGAGCGGAAGGGTGGTCACCCACTCGGGGGCCTTTGATGAAAGCTGGGCCTTGGGTAAGGTAGGCAGCAGTGTTGGATTTCAATTTTGTGAAATCGATGTCACTTTCCTCAATGTGGTCGGCTATCCATTGATAGAGCTCGCAGACACTTGCTGTTTTGTTGGGGTGCTCACGAAGGGCCATGCCGATTATGAGGGACCAAGACAGGTTGTTCATAGTCTTGTTAATCTTATAAGGAGGCGCCGGCCCTGGGCGCTGGTTGGCGCTGTGTCCCATCTGCGCATCCGTGTCGCTCTTTCTGGCCGCGTGCCTGGCTCTTGGTGGGGAATTAGATGCACGCGCTTCACCATCCTCACCCATGGTCGCGTCGCGTCCGTTGACGCGGTTGCTGGACGACCCACTAAGCGACTCGGACCGTGCTCTGGTTGGCTCGTCTGCGCTCGGGCCTTGCCTGACCACGGCCCTTTTGATCGCTCGGACTCCCTTTGGCAGAGCATTGATCATTACTGATCTACTGTCTTTTTCCATAGGTGAGATGTTGCGCTTTCTCTGCTCTTTTGATATGCTTTGAGTCTTGCAGCGCGTACAGATCTGTTTGTTTGAAGAGATGCGCTTCCCACAAGATCCACACCGACTTTTGTTCTCATCATTACTATTCTCAATCGGCTTCTCTCTCTCTTCGGATTGAGCAGAGGGCTGGGGAGCTGGACGCAAGCGTGGAGAAATGGGCGCCATGTTCGTGATGGACTCGGTGGTTCCAATAGCTTTCTTCGCATCTTGCGGCTTGCTGATACGGTCAGCGAAGGGATTGCCTCGCAACACAAAGTGAAGTTCCGGTCGGTTGGAGACAGATTTTGACCTGCCCCGCTTTACACACACGTGGCATTGCCAGTTAGCTCTGTATAGAGTGAAGTCAACATTAGCTGCCAGGCTTGTTTGATCTGAACGATGCTTACCCATCTGTTTCGGAAGGATTACCACCCTTGCAACACTTGGAATGAAATTGCCGCGAACAGGTACTGCATTTGATTCGCCGGTTATAACTGGGAAAATGCCCAGTTTTACAGTCCGCACAGTTCTGGTCTTTAGGAATCTCGGACTGCGCCGGGCCGCTGGAGACGGACATTTCATCATCTGTGCGCATTCGAGCATGTGAAGCACCCAGGTCACTCGATAGTGTTGCAGCGGAATGAGTGGCTTGTTGTGACTGTGTAATTTGAGTTTGAAGTGGAGCTACGCTCTTCATCGGAAGAGGCCATATGCTTTTCTTAGCATTGTTGCTGCGATCTGTATCAGCTGAATTGCCAGAAGACTTTTCCATGGCCCAAGGAAACCCAAATGCTTATTGTAGTCCATTGTTATGGCGCTCACTTTTCTCTTGACTTACCTGTCCATAGCTTCATGGCTACCTTTCCCCTTTTCTAGGGGCTGTTGAATCGTGCGTGGATCCGAGGGCTGGCTGTCTTTTGCGTCTTTGACATGTCCGATGTTGTTTCCGTTTGCTTTTTCCGATTTAGAGTCTAAGGCGGAGTTTTCTTGTCTTAAAGTCGACGATGGAATCCCCTTTAGTTTCGATAGGAGACAACCGTTAAGTCTGAGTTCCATTTTCAAAGAACATCCCCACATGGTGGCCTCGTTGTAGTTTTTGTAGCAGTTGTACAGCTCCTGCCTTCCTGCTTCATCATCACCAAACGAGATGTAATATCCCTCGGCGTCCATTTTCACCACTTCCTCCGGATCACGTTCTTTAGCAAGCCAGGTTCCTAGACCGCGTCTTTCTTTATTTCCAACAGGTGTGTCATTGCATGAAATGAATATATGCGGCTGCCTTTTGACGCTGTCCGGTACTGAGGGAATATCCACTCGTGGTTCTTTGAAGAGGTCATTTTCCGTGAAATTTGCGAGACTGGCAAAATCAGAGGCCCCATGTGTCTTAGTCTTTCCAGTCGATTCATTCTTAGACTGGTGAAACTGAGCCGTAAAAGGTTTAAATGACCCGTGAAGATCAGATGTGAGGATGGATTGATTTTGACTCGTGTGAAGACTAGACCTTTCGGAGCTTTTGGCTTGTCGAAGGCTACTGCTGTCGTTGACATTATTTACAGAGTGCGTTTGCGTTGGCGAGGAACGTCTCGCCGAATAACCGGAGCCCCCATTATTCGTAATGTATGCGACTTTTTCTCTAGGGATAGAAGGACGTCTTTCTCGATCAGTCGGAGAGGCCCTTGCTTGTACACGACGATCAATATGGACATCTGCTGGCCCCTTCACGTCCAATTTAGAACCTGAGGGATGCGACTCCTGCTGGTGCCTTTTGATAGCCGGCGGAGATATTGGCGCCGATTCAGCTAGTCGTTTCGACATCGGGCAAGATGATGGACCCTCTTACGCCCTTTATGAACGATACGTCACAATCAAGCAGATCACGACTCGTCGATTTCCTCCTTTCAGACTTATTCTTTGCCGACGATGGCAATCAACCCGTACTTTTGGAAGCTTAGGGTGTCTTTGACCTAGGCAGCACCATCGATTATGACTCAAGGCATGTCGATTACCGGGTGTTGGTAAGTGCTCTGCGGTACGGATGACCTTACCGTCGAGAGGCTGTACGGTTGTCAGTGAAGTTTTAGTGCGCTCTTCCGCGACCGCTATAGCTCCAAATTGAACCTATGTATAATGGTTAGCTGTATGTGCTATATTGTCTAACAACGACAGAACAGTAGGCAAATTGAATTGATCTCGTCTCAGGTCTTTTCAGTTTTATTTTTTGGAATCATTCCAGGTCACCCAACGTCGAGGTTTCCTTGCCTTTGCAAGCACTATACGCCTAGCCTATCGAGAGCGCGTTCGTGCTTATCATCCCCCCTGAGCAGAAGACCTCCGCGAACCTGAAGAGCCCAAGAGCCCATCGGCTGGCAGTTGTATGCAATTGCCATTGGCTCAGCCCCATTGAGACGGATCTCTCGAGGTAAGCTCCATTTTTTGCACGCTCGAGGAGTTTAATTTGCCCTTCCGTTTAGACCCAGCAAGGCTTCCCTCCGCCAAGAAGGCTCTGGAAAAGGGATGCTCAGGGTTATGACGAGTCGAAGCGCCGCATGAAAAGCGTCCTTGGCTGTATAGAGAGCAAAGGAAAAAATATCCGGGAACGTTTGGAGAACGCTTGGTCAAACCTTTTACCATTGTTCATCATGGACGAATGAAAAAAAGAAAAGAGAACAAAGAAAGCTCTTCTTACCTCAGTTCAGTGCAGTAAGTGAGCAGCGGACAGTTCGCGTAGCTGCTCACGTGGTCAGAATGCAACTGCTCATGGCAGAGCCGGCGGTAGTAGGCGCGTAGGCTGGAGAAGGCAGTTACAAAATCGCAGTGCCGTGACGCTAGTAAGGATGCCTCTGGCGAACTGCGCGTTGAATGTAGGGTAGCAACGCTATGAGAGACTGTGCGCTAGATTCGCTAAAACGCAATGGCAGCTACCGCGTTGTCGGTCGCGTAAAATTCGTGGTTGTCGTCGGTTAGGCGGTGTTGTTGTTGTGGGTTGGTTTGCTCGAGACAATAAAGAGCGATGGGCGCCACGGACGCGCACCGGGACAAGTTCGGCAGGCAGACGCGTATCGATAAGCGGTGGGCGGCGTCGACGTGTTTGGAGCGTCCCGGCGTCTCCTTGGCTGCCGCAATTGCTTCTTGTTGCGATGGACTTCCTCAAGTCTGCCGTCGCCTCGGCCATCTCCAAGGGTCCCGCCTTCGGCTACTCATTCGGCGACAGGGTGGACATAGATCAGTCCATTTGGACCCTTCATAACGGCACAAAGCGAGTATGACCTGGTCCCCTGCGCCGAAGCCTGAAGCTGGGGCTAACTGTGTGCGTGCAGGATGATGGCTCCAAATGCAGTATTCTCTCGTTCGACATTGCCGCCAACAAGTCGCGCCTGCCCCTAGCCAAGAATGCGCTGCGCAAACTGCGGACCATAAGGCACCCCGGTGTCATAAAAGTGCTGGACACGGTGGAGACGGAGACCTATATCTATATTGCAACTGAGCGCCTGACGCCGCTGGGCTGGTATACACGTAGAAAGAGCTTGGCAGAAGAGACAATCAAATGGGGCTTGCACAATGTGGCCAAAACGCTGAAGTTCATCAACGGCGAGGCAACTTCGGTCCATGGTAGCATACGTGTCTCTTCCGTCTTCACCAGCGAGAGCGGCGAGTGGAAGCTTGGAGGGTTTGATGTTTTGAGCTCGATCAAGGAGGATGATGCCGTCATCTACGTATGCAGCCACAGCCTAAAATACCAAGTTTCATCTCTAACTTCGCGTAGACATACGGTAGTCTGGTACCCGACTCTGGTCGCTATGCGCCGCCTGAGATCGCCAAGAGCGGATGGGGAGTGATCAAGTCGAATCCTATCACAGCTGTGGATGCCTACGACTTTGGCATTTTGACTTACGAGGTGTTCAATGGCGGGTTCCAGAGCACCGATCAGCTCGGGCAGCTGAAGTCAGTGCCGCCGACCATGCAGCAGAGCTACAGGCGGCTTATCAACCCAAGCCCTAAGGCGCGGCTAAGTGTTGGCGGTTTCCTTGATCAAGGCAACAGGAATGGAGGTTTCTTCCAAACCCCTTTGATCCAGCTTACTGAAGGTATCGAAAGCCTTGGTTTGAAGGGCGAAACTGAACGGGACGAGATTTTGAAGTAAGTGAACTCGTAGAACATTGCGGAACGTATAATGCTAACGTGATGAACCAACTAGTCAGCTCGATGATGTCTCGGACGACTTCCCAGAAGAATTTTTCAAGATGAAGGTCCTCCCCGAGCTACTGAAATCGGTTGAATTCGGTGGGGGTGGACCAAAGGTCTTCAGTATAGTCATGAAAATAGCTACGAAGCTGTCCGACGAGGAGTACGAAGCGCAGATAACCCCTGTCATTGTCAGGCTCTTCGCTAGTCCAGACCGAGCAATCCGCGTTTGTTTGTTGGACAACCTGCCACTAATGATAGATCACTTATCCAACAAGGTCGTTAATGACAAGATCTACCCGCAAATGGTATGTCGACAATTCTTACTTTCAGTCACGGATAGCAGATGGCTAACATTCTGTAGGTCACTGGCTTTTCTGACGTAGCGCCAGTCATGCGAGAGCAAACAGTTAAAGCTGTGCTCACTGTTATTAATAAACTGTCGGATAGAGTTGTCAACGGAGATCTTCTGAGATATCTCGCAAAGACAGCAAACGACGAACAGCCAGGAATCAGAACCAACACAACAATCTGTCTTGGGAAGATTGCTAGGAACCTTGGCCCGAGTGTATGTGGGCTCCTGCTGCTTGCGAGTGACACGTTACTGACATTTCACAGTCTCGGACCAAAGTGCTTACAGCAGCGTTTGCGCGCGCACTTCGCGACCCATTCGTGCATGCACGTAACGCAGCCCTTCTTGCGTTAGCAGCAACGTCGGATCTCTACACCGAAGACGACTGCGCCACCAAGCTCCTCCCCGGCATCTGTCCCTCCCTCATCGACAAGGAGAAGCTCGTGCGAGACCAAGCCAACAAAACCCTCGATATCTACCTCACGCGCATCCGCAAGCACCAAACCACGCTCCCGGAAACTGTCCTCCCGCCGCCCACAGCGCCCGACAGCACCGGCAACGCCATCCCCCGCATCGGAACGCCCTCATCCGACGCCGCCTCCTGGGCCGGCTGGGCGATCTCCTCCTTCACGAACAAACTGGCGAGCGCATCCGGCGAAATTGAGCCCAAAGTTGCGACCACAGCCACGACACCGGCGCTCACTGAGCCCGCGCGCTCCTCCTCCGTCCCGCCACCGGCAACAAGTCCGCGCCCGCAGTCCTCCACTGGCACGGCCTCACAGCTGCACCGTCAGACACTCTCCAAGCATACGTCGGCGAATCCATTCGCCGCGGAGGCAGCGGAGGCCGAGGATTTCGACGCCGCGTGGGGCGATGAGGATGCAGGCGACGACGCCGCGGCAGCGTGGGGTGACGATGATGATTCCGCCGCCGCATGGGGCGCGGACGACCCATTTGCACCGGCGAAACCGAAGGCCAAGCCTGCACCGGCGGCATTTGACGACGGCGGCGAGCCAGACTTTGCGGGGTGGTTAAATGCGCAGGCGGCCGCGAAAACGCAATCGAAGAAGCCGTTGCCAAAGGGACTGGGTAAAACGGCGGCAAGACCGGGCGTGGGCGCGAGAGCGGGCAGTGCGCCGACTCCGTCAGCGGCGGCGAAGAAGGTTGTTCCTGTACGAGAGAAACGGGAGAGTGGGATTAAGAAGAAGGAGGTTGTGGCGGCGAAGAAAGAGCCAGAGGAGGAAGAGATGGACGAGGGGTGGGGGGATGCGTGGGAATGAGGAAGTGAGCGGGCGGGATTGGATGGTTGTTAGCGTTTTGCATGGGCGGGCGTCGTCGGTTGGGTAGCAAGTGTGTTGTTTAGCCATAGGGACTGAGAGTAGGTAGCGTTGGATTGGCAGATAGATATATAATTCCTTGGACACTCCAGGTAACATGCGTCTTGGTCAATGCGCTGTTCCTGGCCCGGCGGCGGAAACTCTTGGCACGTGTTTGCATTTCCATCGCAAGTCAACATCCATCGTTCCCATTGCACGCCAGCTGCGGACGCGCCAGTCCCAACTTCGCCCTCGTTCCCTCGTGTGTCATGGACTGAACGACGACGTCCTCTTCCTCCCTCCGCTGCATACCACCCCCCACGCGCAACGAAGCTCGCCAGACAAAGCTCGCACAGCTCGCCCACCGTCGCAATGGCCGCGAAGGCGCGTCCCTATAAGGACTTCCTGTCCCCGTTCACGCACCGCCAGTTCACGAGCGCCGCTATTCTCACGCTTGGCCTCTGCTATGCCGAGGCAGTATGGATGGGAGAATGGGATAATTGTGCGTGGCAGCAAACTGGCGCAGCTACCCGGAACATCAACAGCTAACTTGCGCCCAGTTATTTGGATGTGGTTCCCCATCGGTCGCGCCGGAATGCGCGCCATTCTGCTCTTCATATCCTATCTCATTATTCTCATGCTATGCGTCTCGCACATACACAGTACGTTGGACGTTCGATTGCTGTCGAGCATCAGATAGTAACCGTGGACAGTTGGCGCGCGAACCACCGACTCACAGTTCGACACCTTCCGGCAGTACCTTTTCCGATTCAACACGTTGAGCACCATCATCTGTTACGCTTTCTCTGCGTGGTGGTACAGCGAAGTCTACATGTGGTGTAGGCCTCATTCCGACAACCTGGGATGGGTAGATCATGGAAAGACCTACGAGAGGCCTAGGCTGAATGAGCGCCCGCTCTATGTCTATGTCATGTTTTTCCAGCTTGCGTTGTTGCAATCGGCCGTCCATCTTTACAGGGATTATGGCAGGGTTCAGCTCCCGACCACAAAGTTGGCACCCAAGGCCGATGAGGGCGCATCCATTCCGGCGCGCCAGAGAGTTATCAAGCGCCTGCTTCCGATGGTCAACACGATATTGCCTATCCTGATGGGCTACATCGTTGTGGCAAACATCCTATACTTTGTGGTCTTCCGCAAAATGGCATGGAACATCGCCTATCCTGTCATTAGACTCGTGTCTCCTTCGATACCTAAGAACTCGAAGCCGCGGGCTTTCAACTTCATAGGCCTTACAGGAAGGGTCTTTGTCCAGAGCATTCTTTTGACATTCTTGTGGGAGTTTACGAATACTGCGTTTTCAGTCTACCTTGCGCAGGAACCACTCAAGAATGGCAAGCCCATTACTGACGATTCCAAGGACCCTAATGGGAGTCTCCTGATCGGGCTTAAGGCCAAGAGGGACATGCCTAGGGTAAGTGCAAGATGCTGTGAGTGATCAAACACCCTCTGACAACCAATAGAACATGGCTTTTTGGGAGCTTGCCCTCATATCTCAGCGCTTCCCGGAACGTCGCAAGACTATCTACACTGAGCTCAACCTAGCTGGTTCTGGCATAGCTACCTGGAAATCCGTTCTCGAAGCATGTCTCCTCGAAATCACTTCTATCAAGTCCCGCATTGATTCCCTTACCGCACCACCTCCGCCCGCAGAGACAATGACCCCGGAGCAGCGCGCCGAAATGGAGAGTAAAATGCTCAAGCGCATCTCCGGTGCGGCAGTCAAGACAGACGATGTCTTTGTGGCTGAAGAAGCACCCGCCACTGAATTGGAACGAGGCGTTGGTCAATTCGCCGACTTCGCCAAGCGGCGCGGCCAGCACCCCGGCGCGGATCCGCTCTCGCCGGTACGAGAGGGTGGAAAGAGGCTCATTGAGTATGGCGGCAAGCGGTTGCTGTCAGACGAGCACCGCAAACAGCTCGAGCCCAATTCGCTCATGGGCATAGTCCAGGTATGGTTCGTCAAGCTCGTGGCCTCTCCGGTGGGCGGTCCATTCCGGCAGACTTTCGCACGGCGCGTCACGGCCGCTGTGCTGGGTACGCCCTACTCGCATACTGGCGCAGTCATTAACGCCATTGTCGCGACGACGGAGCTGGCACTCAACAGCATAAAGGAGGACGACTTCGGCATCGTGAGCCGTGACATCGCGGTTATCATCCGGGCGTTCGCCGACGCCATCAAGAGCATCGAGGCGTTTGTCACTGCGCAGGAGCCGCACTGGACCGACATCGCGTTCCGCGAGCGCCACCGCCGCGTCGAAGATGTTCATGAGGTGCTGCTTACGCTGCGCGTGGGCCTCACTCGCATCGTCGACAAGTTCGGCAATTACCTTGCTGGCATGGACATGGGTATCCGCGAGGTCAAGGATGTTAAGGAGCTTATTGCTGCCCGCGGACCGGAGATGCAGGAGGCGTAAAGAGCGGTGGGTGCTCTGGCTAGGCACGCGTGCTGCGGTGCTGGCTGATAGGAGAAAGGGGTGAGGGCCTGCCAGGCGACTAAAAAGATATCTTGAGCGGATTTGGAGATGGGCGTGCGCACGCATGCTGCGCTATGAGGCAGGGTCTCTGCCGAGCTGCTCGCTCGCTCGTCTGCTTGGGTGGCTTGGTGCTGCCGCGCGGGAGCGGCAGGGGGCGGCGCCTTCGGCTCCACGTCTATCTGGACGATCTATGCTTACCTTAGCTCTGTCCGTGTACCTGGCTGGAAGCGCTTCTGCTGCCCCTGATGGGCAATAGTTACTAGGCACATGCATGCAAGGACGGATTCTTTCGAAAGGCTATGGATACAATAAGAACACGAGCGAAACTGCCCCTTGGACACGAGCCGCAAGAACATTTTGCTTTTTTTTATCCGCGAATGAATGCGGGGTTATCAATCAATAGACAGACAAATATACGAATGGTTAAACATTGTGTCGCCTTTTCGCTATGGATATGATATAAGAATATAATTACAACTGCTTGCTCAACTCCGCTATTCCATATACAAAAAGACAGCACTCAAGATACCTTCACCTACCGCGCCCACGTTCATGCCTGCAAACAGCCGTACATACAAGCCACCGAGCACCGTCCACCAAGCACACAGACATCACAAAAGCATATACATATACACACACATACATGCACACGCACCCCCAAGCCGCCGCGCCCCGGTAACCGGGCGTGTTTTCTTTTCCTTCACTGCAGCAACGCAAGCAAGCAAGCAAGTACGTCTCCCTTACCTAGGTAACCCCCCGACCTCTTCCGCACAGCAGCGCATCCTCCTCCCTCCAAGCCCGCATGCATCCCCCGCATACCTGTCTACTAAAAGGGCAACTCTCCCGACCCACCCACGCCACAGCTCGGCAACCCTGCCGACGGCGCGCCACCACCGCCACCAGAGAACCGACTAGAACGCCACTGCCACAATCGAGCCAAGTCCACCGCACTGCCCCACCCACCCCGGCGCAGCGCTAACAACAAACAAGGCCGCTTCTAGCGCCGCTTCTAGCGCCGCTTCTGGAATTGCCGTTGCCGTAACCGTAAGTTCGTAACGCGTTTGTTGGATGTTGGCTGCAAGATGTTGGATGTTGGGCGGAAATTGTGAACATACCCATGGCAAAAAGAAAAAATTGGGAATTATAGGAGTGGGACGAGTGGAATCTGGGCAAGGAGGCTGTGGGGTGTGTGTGGATATGTCGAAATGCGAAGAAACCAAAAGAAAATAAAAAGAAATCAATGTGACCACACCAGGGGTCGAACCTGGAATCTCTTGATTCGTAGTCAAGCGCCTTGCCATTGGGCCATGCGGCCATTGATAGGGTAAACTTTGGCGGTTAGCTCTTATGATTTTTGATGATGGACAGTGTTTGGTGGTGGTGAAGTTCATCATCGTTTTGAATGGTGAAGCTCATCATCCACCACAAACGAGATGTATTGAGAAGGTGGTTCAGTTTTGTTTTGCATGTGTCACGTTCTCGATGGTTAGGAGCATTCATCCCCGCGACGCTTTGCCCAACCTTGGCAGGCAATATCAAATACGAATACCGAGCAGAGCCTCATCACTGGGGTACAGCTGGTGGGCCGAGAGCGTTGCAGGTGGATCTGTGGTGGTCTGGGGAAGATGCGTTGTTAAAATTAGATTGCTTTTTAGAGAGGGATGGACAGGTGGTTGCATGAGCCAGCGTGGTGCGCACTTGCGAGTCCTGCCAGTGTGAGTAAGTGTGTTGGGGTGCCCGTCATTTCGTTTAGGTGATAGTCGAGCACACTCCCCAGACGCATAACGCAACTTCTCCAGGATGTGTTCGTGTACGGCTCGCAGGGAACGTGGGCAATGCTCGGGCTTGTGGAGGTATCTCCGGGGAGCCGACTTGCGAGGACATCAGAGAGAGAGAGAGCTGGCTGGGCTGTGTGGAGAGGGAATGAGTGAAGCCTGACGCAATGGCAGGTTTGTGATGTATGACGTTAGATGGGAGCAGTCTCAAGGTCTCTCCGCATCTCCAGTGACGGAGGGCCAAGAAAGAAGCAAGGCGTCTCCTGGGCTTTGCGGGTCCACTCCGATATTACGCATCCCCGCGACGATCCTCGGAAGCACGTCCCGGCGGCTGGTAAAAGAGGTTTATTGGAATCACAGTGCGTGTATTGAGAGGGAGTGGGCGAGGGCAAAAGGGGGCTGTCAGATGGAAGAAGATGAGACAGCCGGGTAGTCCGGGTCCGGCAGGGCTGCGTGGCTGGCGGCGTGGGAGCCCGGCGTGGGAGGCTGGACCAAGGGTTTTTTTTTTTTTTTTTTTTGATGCAACGTACAATACACAGCATGGCGAATTTACTAGAAAGTGGAAGGTTGGGCGAGGAGAAATGGGCAAATGTAAAGATCTCGATGGCTGAGCTCATATATGTGGAGCTTAGTTAGCGCATGGAGTTTGGGGGTGGAGGAATCTGCCCCGCTAATTCGGCCTTCTCGCCGGTCGCTGCGTCATGTTCAGCAACGCAGCGGCGCGCGCGACAACGAGGCAAGCAGCCAGGACGCGCCCGGAAAAAATTCGCCAGGCCCAATCAAGGCATGTTGACGTGAACGAGTCTTGCTCTGGCGCGCGTGGGGTCCATTGTGTCCAGCTGCACGTCCTCAGCTTTCCCCGTACTTGTCCACGCCATTCCGTGCCTCACGGCCCCATTGCCTGCCCCATAACTACCCTCCCTCCCCCCAGGCGCTTCTGAGCGCTCCCTCTCTTCCTCCTCACTCCTCTCTTCTCCCCCCGCAATGGCTTCACGAGGCGCAAAACGCTTTTTGAAGCCGGCGCTGTACACCGTCGGTGCTGCCGCCGTCGGTGGAGGCCTCTACGCTTCCGTCAAGCCCCGCGATATCCCTGGCCATGAGCCTGCTGCTGTCCCTCCTCCCCGCTACGGCGAGGGAGGCACCTTCAGCCCCCCCAACTTCCCCCGTGTCAAGACGCGCGAGGAGCAGATTGCCGACCTGAAGAAGAGCGCCGCCAACAACGCTACCAAGGCCCTCGACGCCGCCAAAAAGGGTCTCTCTCGCATCGCCGGCTCCGACGAGGGCGCCGTGGGTCAGCCTGAAGACGACCCCTACGACCTCCTCGTCATTGGCGGTGGTGCGACTGGTACTGGTATTGCGCTTGATGCCGCGACTCGCGGTCTGAAGGTCGCAATGGTCGAACGTGATGATTTCTCCTCTGGCACTTCTAGCAAGTCTACAAAGCTCGTCCACGGTGGCGTCCGGTATTTGGAAAAGGCTGTTTGGGAATTGGACTACAACCAGTAAGTTTCACGCCCGCCGCGTCGAAAGGCCCCGGTGCTGACAGAAATCTCAGGTACAAGCTCGTCGTCGAAGCTCTCCGCGAACGCAGGTACTTTTTGGACACGGCCCCTCATCTCTCGTCTTGGCTCCCCATTATGATTCCTCTCGACAAGTGGTGGAAGGCTCCCTACTTCTGGGCTGGTACCAAGTTCTACGACTTCCTGGCTGGTTCTGAGAACATTGAAAGCTCCTACTTCTTGACCAAGAGCAGGGCCCTCGAGGCTTTCCCCATGCTCAAGAAGTCTGATCTCGTCGGTGCTCTGGTTTACTACGGTATGTGGCGGCGTTTCCAAATCGAGAGCTTCCTACTAACTCGGACACAGATGGTGCTCACAACGACTCTCGGATGAACGTCTCCCTGGCTATGACTGCTGCTCTCTACGGCGCGACTGTTGTCAACCACATTGAGGTCACTGGTTTGGAAAAGGACGCCAATGGCAGGCTCAGCGGCGCTCGCGTCAAGGACTGCATCGACGAATCCAACGGCAAGACTCCTCAGGAATTCTCTATTCGCGCTAAGGGTATCATCAACGCTACCGGACCATTCACGGACTCCATCCGCAAGATGGACGACCAGAAGGTCCAGGAAATTGTTGCCCCCAGCTCTGGTGTTCACGTCATTCTTCCCGGTTACTTCTCGCCTTCGAACATGGGTCTCATCGATCCGTCGACTTCGGACGGTCGTGTTATCTTCTTCCTCCCCTGGCAGGGTAACACGATCGCTGGTACCACCGACGCCCCGACCGACATCCAGCAGAACCCCATTGCTGGTGAGGAAGAGATCAACTGGATTCTGAACGAGATCAGCGGCTACCTTGCTCCCGACATCAACGTCCGTCGCAGCGATGTCCTCGCTGCCTGGTCTGGTATTCGTCCTCTTGTCCGCGACCCCAAGGCTCAGAAGACCGAGGGTCTTGTCCGTAACCACCTGATCACCACCTCTACTTCCGGACTCATGACCTGCGCTGGCGGCAAGTGGACCACTTACCGTGAGATGGCTGAGCAGACTGTCGACGAGGCTATCAAGGAATTCAAGCTGCAACCCAAGGCTATCACCACCCCTCCCCGCATCTCCGGTACCGAGGCCGTTGACGACAAGGCTACTCTTGACGGATCCTGCCAGACTCACCGCGTTCGCCTGATCGGTGCCCACGGCTACAGCAAGACTCTCTTCATCAACCTGATCCAGCACTACGGTATCGAGACCGAGGTGGCCCACCACCTCACCACTGCCTACGGTGACCGCGCCTGGACCGTCTCTGCTCTCTCTGACCCGACCAACCTCCAGTTCCCCGTCCGCGGCAAGCGCATCTCCCCTCTGTACCCCTTCGTCGATGGTGAGGTTCGCTACGCCGTCCAGCACGAGTACGCTCAGACCGCTGTTGATGTTATCGCTCGCCGCACCCGTCTCGCTTTCCTGAACGCCCAGGCCGCTCTTGAGGCTCTGCCCAATGTTATCGACCTCATGACCGCCGAGCTTGGCTGGGACAGGAAGAGGCAGGAGCGCGAGTGGAGAGATGCCATGACCTACCTTGGCAGCATGGGCCTGCCCAAGGGCAAGCTCACCCTAACCCGGAAGGATGTTGAGGCGGGCCGTCACCTCGGCCAGGAGTTTGACACTAGCGGCAAGGGTGGTAAGTTTATACAGTTTCCCATGTTCCGATTCCTGTTGCGTCCCCATTGTTCAACTCTGCCGGTCCTTCTCACGTGAGGTTGCCCCACCTGGGCATACATGCCATCGCACAAGATGAGGGGCTTGAAGGCACAGCGCTTGCACGGTGTAACTGTCCCACAGCGCCAAGCATGCAAGTCGCACGCGCGCAAGTGGGCAGAGGATGCCGAACAGGACAGCCGGTTGAGAGGACACGGCATACGCATAACCGCTTGAGAAAAACGGGCAGCTGGCTAACGCATGCACTTTTCCGCACAGACAAGCCGCGTGAGACGCTCCCCACGCAGTCCAACTTCCCCACGGGCCACAACCCCGTTGAGGGATCCGAGTCGCGCGCCAACAAATAAACGTAGCCGCCGCTCCCCACGTGGCCGATCGGATCTAGAGCGACGACGGACGACGAACGACGACGCACCTGCGTACCGGGCCGGATCGGAAGAATCACTCCCTCATATCTCTCGATCTTTTCCCTCTCTCTCTTCCTCCCCCCTTGCTGCATTCCAGAACCCACCACGCACGCATGCATGACGGGCTGAGACGACACGAGGAAGCGCGGGCAGCCAGTCCAACGGCGCAGCAGATCGAGCAGGGTACCCCCGCAGAAGACGGGCAGTGTGGCTTCCGCGTCCGCGCGAGCGGCACGCCCTCTCCTCCCTCATCTGGCAGCCGCGCCCTCGTCTCCTTGCCCTCCTTCCCTATCAACGCACCACGCACCTCGCATACCCGAACCCGCACCCGACCCGGCGAACCGCAGTGGCACGCACGCGCGCACGCTCGTCGTCGCCGCACCACCGCTACCCACCCACGTACTGCAGAGTTCTGCAGCCGCCGCGTCTCGCCGTCGTCCTCGTTGTCGTTCGCTCGCTCTCGATCCGATTGCTCATTTTTTTCTTCCGCCGCTGCTGCACGCAGCACGGTCGTATACCTTTCTTACCTGCCTGCCTACCTGTCTGTCTGTCTGTCTGTCTGTCTGCCTCTTGTCCTCCTTGACATGATACCTCCCGGCGCGCGCGGGGCCGGGCGCCGCTTCCCCCCTGCCGTTCCGTAGCGTGCGTGCATGCGTGCATCGAGATCGGGTGTTTGCGGGCGATCGAGCTGCGCTTTTGCGCTCGAGATCTCTCTCAATCTCTTTCTCGATCTTTCTCGATCGAGCTTGCCCTTGCTTTTGCTCGCTCATGCTCGCTCTTGCTCGCGCGGATCGGGTACGGGATGTTGCTGCTGCTGCACGTGTATGCCGGTTTTTTTACTTTGCGTTTTTCTGTTTTCGTTGTTGCTAGTTGGTTGGTTCGTTGTGGTTGGGGGTTACGATGATGCGTAGTTTGTAATAGATTTAGATGAGAGGGGGATGGGGAATGAAAGACGATTGATTGATTGATTGATGTTTTTGGTGGTGGTTGTGGTTGTTACCTAGTGTTGTGGTTGTGCCGTGTTGGATGTGGTGGTGCTATGAGGACTACGTCGTTATGGTTGGTGAAGGCGTAGCATACGTAACAGGACCTCTGTCTTGTTCTCTTGTCCTGTCTTGGCCCGACGCGTGTGTATGTATGTGTACATATAGGCAGACGCAGTTAGCTAGAGGTTAGACGATAGACAACAACCACTAGAAACCAACATACCTCCAAACACACCCATACACAGCAACCAACCCCAACCGCAAACCCTCCCCTTCAACCAAGCCATTACGCCCGACTCCCTCTCTACCGCACACACCACCACTCTTTCAAACTTTCTTTCGAAAACACTGCGAATACGTAAGTGAGTAGGTGTAGAAGAAAGAGGCCGGAATTGGACGTAAGTGTGTATGTGTGTGTATGTGTATGCCGAGGCGATAATGCCGGGAGAGAAGGGAGAGGATGTTTATATATCTATATATTTATAGCTAGTTAGCGAATATAGCAGTTACGTCGGCAATGCAAGGCAAGGCAAGGCAAGGAACGGTAGGATAGGATAGGACGGGATAAAGATATATTAGTATTATATATTCAAGCCAATGCATTAGTAGGTTGCTTAGTGGCTTAGTTAACTGGTCACTATACAGCATAAAAACCCCACGGAGGGGAGGAAGGGAGGGATGGTACTAGATACCCACCTACCTAGCTGGCTTATATAATGGCAGATACCTAGGTACCTTAGGTCTAGTAAAGAGAGACACAAGCAGCAGCAGCAGCAACAACAACAACGACGCAGTCAAATAGAAATAAACACAAACACAAATAAAAAATCTTAATGAATTGGATTGAATCAGATTGAATTGTTTAGATCAGATATAATTGTTCAGTTCGTGAAATCGTCAACTGCCTTCTTCTTCAGCAGCAGCAGCAGCAGCAACAGCAGCAGTAGCAACAAAGCAACAACAACAAAGCCCCCTCATTCTTTTTTAGCCGCCGCAGTCGCACTCGCGCTCGCAGTCGCACTTGCGCAATAGCGACATCCAGCCATCCAGCCAGCGAGCGCGAAAAAAGAAGCCCTACCCACACCGCATGCACTCTTCTCCACCAACAGCAACAACACCAACATCTCAAACATACACAGACGAAGCAGAGACGAGACGAGACGAGACGAAAAACGCGAAAGCGAGCCCCTAACCCCACAAACCCCACAAACCCATTCGACATTCGACGAAGAGCCCACAACACCCAACACCCAACACCAATCCCCCTTGAGGCCATCCATACGCCCAACCCCCGTCCAGCCCACTGGCGCAGTGGTTAAAAAGGTAAAGAAAGAAAAGAAAAGAAAAGAAAAAGAAAAAGAAAAAGAAAAAGAAAAAGAAAAAGAAAAAGAAAAAGAAAAAGAAAAAGTGCAAACCCAGCCTGAGAGCTACAGAAGCGGAACGGCGAAGAAGATGTGTGCCAAAGTAAACCGTATAAAAAAAAAAAAAAAAAAAAAAAAAAAAAAAAAAAAAAATGAAAATGAAAAAAGCGATATGAGATGCGACGACGACGACGACAATGACGATGATGATAATGACAATGACGATGAGAGCGCAGAGAGCAACAACGACAAAGACACCAACAAAGGAAAACAGCGAGCCAGGCTGCAGCTGCAGCTGTGTGGAGCCAACCAAACATCAGACAAAAGAAACAAGCAGAGCAAGCCACGACCCCGCAAGCCGACGTAGCCGCGTCCTCCTCGATCTCACCGGCAGATGCTGACCCGGGAGAGACAGATCGAAAAAGCAACCGTACGTACTACCTAGGTACGTAACTAGGTGGTACGTAGACAGGTAGGGAGAGGCGAGCCGGCCACGCATGCTCAGCCATCCTTCCTCCCGCGCTGGTCCGGTCCGGTCCGGTCCGGTCCGTTTTACGGTACGAAAAGGTACTCGAGTAGGTAGGTAGGTAGGTGGGTAGCATGTCGGAAGAGCGCCTCGGCCGACAGACAGCACCGCAGCGCACCGCAGCGCAACACCAGGGCGCGCCGCGCGTCGCTTGTCCGCAGCAGCAGTGGCAACGCCAACGCCAACGCCAACAGCAGCAAGCCGTTCATTGGGCAGCAACAACAACAACAGCAACAGCCGGCAGCGTCAAGGCGCGCATCCGCCTCCCCGTCAAATTACCCAGCTCCCGCGCCGCAACGCCGTACGCATCAGCCTTCCCCCTCGCAATCAACCACGCGGCGCCGGGCACCGTTTCTAGCCCCGAGCGCCCTGTCGGCACTGCAAAAGCCCACGGGGCGTCCATGCGGCGCGCGTCGGCCCGCTACTCGCGAGAGCCTTTGCGCGCGCGCGCCCGCCCGGGAAATGATAACAACGTGGACGGGTGGTAGGAGCGGAAGCGGGAGGTGCGGGCAGCTAAAATGAAGACGGTTTCGGCTGTTGTCGTCGGTGCGTGCGTGCATGCGTGCGTGCGTGCCGGAGATGAAACTGAACTGCCTGGCTCCGCTGTGCCGCGTCGGAAGTGAGCTGTGGGTGAGGAAAATAATCTGTCTTGCCTTGCAATGATGCGGAAAATAATAATAATAATAATAAAAACTGGAGATGATGGGGTTGGATGTCCGCATGCGTGCATGCGTGCATAAGAATCCTTCCTCCATCACATGCTTGCTTGCTTGCTCGCTTCAATGCGACGGCCAACGCCCGGTGAAAATGCCCATGTGGATAGATAGGTAGGAGGTGCGTGCGTTTCGTACATGTGAGAAATGCTTGCTGCGTAACTAACGGCCGTGAGAGAGAGAGAGAGAGAGAGAGAGAGAGAGAGAGGAGATGAGATGAGAAGAGAGCTACGAGGTGTTGCTGCTGCTGGTGCTGCCGCTACTACTGCGGCTGCGGCTGCGCTGCTACCTATCGAACGAGCTCGGTCGGTGGCGCAGCGGCGGCGGCGGCGAAGCTGCTGCGTTGTGTGTTTGTGCGTGTGCCGAGCGGCGGTCCGTTGTTGGGGCTGGCCGTGGTGGTGGCTGCGCATCGTGGCGCGCGCTCGCTGAAAAAGGTATCCGTACGTAGAGTGTATGGGGTAGTTATGCAGAACGTGTCGTGTCGTGTCGTGTTGGTATACGCCACTGCCCAAAACGGGCGCAGGCACAGCCAGACCGGTCGCTACTACCAGATTACACGCTGGCGCACCGAGGGCTATAGCGATTATGGGTGGTAGGGGCCTTTTAGCAGCATGTAGATGAGGCTAGCATGTCGAAGATTAGGGAGGGAGCCGAAGAAAAAGCGGAGCGACAGGTGCGCACAAGCCGCCCCTTGTCGCCCGCCCTCGCGCACCCGCCCCTCAGAACATGCCGCCATCCATACTGTGCTGGTTGTGCTCGTCCCTGAGCTGTCCACCGCTCTTCTTCTTCCAGCCCAGCTTGCTGCTCACGCGCTTCCAGCCGCTGCCTTCGCGCTCGTGCCGGCTGTGCCGGGGGCTCGGCGTGCCGCCGCTCGTCGGGCACACAAACTCGCTCATGGGCGGCGTCGTCGGCGGTGTCATCGGGTCGCCCATTGCGCTCGGACTGCTCACGCTGCCCGAGTCGTCTGTCAGTGCGTCAGGTCCACTGCGGCATTCACGGTCCGACGGCGAGCCCACCGCCGAAGAGGCGGTCGAGTGCGGGAGCGGGTGTTTGTGGTGCGAGGAGCTGGCGAAGCGGGCGTGCGCTGCGGCGCCAAAGTTGCGCGTGACGTTGGAAAAGCTGGTCGTGAGTGACGAAGGGGCCGAGGCGCGGTGGACGTGCGGCCGGTCGTGCTCGCGCCGGCTGGTGTGGTAGTAGAGGGTCCGCTCGTCGCAAGAGCGCGTGTGCTGGTGCAGATTCTCCTCGCTCGCATTGTTGGCGGAATCGGCGCTCTGTGGCGAGATGCTGTTCAGGAAAGGAACCAGGACCGATTCCTCCATGAGCTCGTAGATTTTGGCGACGGCGGGGTCCAAGGCGGACGGGTGCGGCGGGGCGTAGGGGTTCGACTGGGAGAGAAGGCTGTCGCGGACGTCGGATGGCAGGTTGACTTCGCGAGGGCCGTTGGGGACAATGTAGGCGTCCAATAACCGTTGCCAGAGCATCTTGACGTAGTTGCACTCCTCGCCCGTGGGCGAAACGGGCGACGCGGGACCCTGGCTGGTCATCTTGTTGTAGTGCTTGCGGTAGCGCGAGGCATCCATGGTGAACTCGAGCGTTTCCAGGCAGTGGTTCTGCGAAAGGTAGGCCATGAAGGCGCTCAGGGTCCAGGGCGGAGAGGCCGTGTTGGCGAGAATCTCGGAGAGGTTCGGCCGCCTGGGGGAGTACGAGTTGTGTAGATCTTGTCGCGGTATCGATACAGTCAGCGGCTTCGAATGCATGCCGTCCTGACTCGACATTCTCATCTCGGCGGCGTCTTTCTCAAAGTCCTCAAAGGGCGATGCGGAGCGCGAGGAATCGGTCGACGACGTGTCCAGGTGGAGAGAAGGCGGGGCGGTTCGGCGGCTATTGCTCATAACATTCCTCCACAGTTCCTTGCACCTGGCTCCCGGGCTGCTGGAGCGGTCCCGTTCGTAGCGGTCGTCGTAACTCGGGCAGTAGCAGACGAGTTGCGTAGGCCGCTCGCGGCGCGTTCTCGACGCCAGCTTGACAGACGGGTCGGCGGGGAAAACGGGAGGGTTGGAAGGGGGCGGGATTGCTGCGCTACGACAAACGAAGGAGGTCTGGCAGCATGCGTCGCACGTGGAATCGTCGACAAAGGGCGAAGGGTGGCAAGGCGGGCGGGAGACGTCAGAGGGAGAGTCGGTCGGTAAGAATGGGTAGTTGACTAATAGGCGCCAGGCGGGCAGCGTGGTGGGTGGCTAGTGGCCTTCGGGCTGAAACAGCAACGTTGAAGGGCGTGTCGAGCGAGGGTCGTCGGGGCGACAGGGGGTGTGTGGAAGGTGGATGGTGGTGGATGGTGGTGGAGGGTGGAGGGTGTGTGGGTGGTAATGGTGGTCGTCGTGCGTGTGCTGGGGCGAGACAAGGAAGGCGAGAGTGGAATAATGTACAAATAGCAGAGCGCGTCTCAGGCTGCACGCGGCGGGCGCTTTGGTCGGGGGGAGTCAACTCGAGCGCAGACACAGGCCGGCAGGGCGAGCGTGCGTATGTCAAGGTGCAGCGAGCCCTAGAATCTAGCGTGGCTCTCAGGCATCCATGCCAATCCCCGTGCAGCCCCATCACTGCCGTGTACTTGTACTCTACATACACCTCCATCTTTCGCTCTTGCTTTGGCTTTGCATTATTTGATGCCCACCTACTGTCCCTCGTATATACACACTGCCCTGCCCCCCTCCCCCTGCCCGCACCGCCAACCTACCGCCCGCTGCCGCCGCCGCCGCCGATCCCCGGGCGCGCCTGAGTCGAGACAACACAATGCCGCGCAGCAAAGATGCAAACAGCGGGCTTGCACTCTTCTTTGTCTCGCGGCGATGCCTCCGCCATCATGACATGCATAGGCGGATTAAAAAAAAAAATAATAAAAGGGCCTGTGCGCTTTTCTGCCACTCGCCGCAAGAGAGAAGAGAAAAAGCAAACCCAAGAGGCATGCGCCCTGTGCGACCTTCCTACTGTGGAGCGCCGGGTCTAGACGCCTGCCTCAGCCCCCCCCCCTGCTCCCGCGAAACTGCCGACCCCTTTGCCCCTTCGATGCGTCTTCTGGAAACCTGCCTGTTTCATCAGCTGCATCCTTCCACAGCCGTCAACCCGTCATCATCCCCCTCCCCCCGCCGATCTGCTCACATGCGCACGCTGCAGATCACAGCACCGTCGTATGACGGTGCTACTTTACCGCCCGCTCCCTGATCCCTTCCCACTTGCCCATCCATCCATCACCTTCCACGATACTTCCAACTGCTGCTTTCCATCCTTCTCCCGCCCGCCCAGCCAAGCAGCGTGAGCGGACAAACTCCACCCCCTGGACCAAGCGTCGGTGTCAGCTCGCGCGAGCCCGGCGCTTCTGGCCCCCGCCAGATCGCTTCCCTCCCGCCGCCCTGCACCTTCTGCACCCCCGTCGGACCGCGCCACCATCGCCCCGACGCCCACCATCACTAGCTTTTCCAAGACACTAGCCACCGGTTCGTTGCTAAAAATTCACGCCTCCTCCCTCGTCATCTCCCAAATCCCAGCTCCTCGGGCTGCCGCCTCCTCGGTGGATCGACTCCCGGGGGTGTGTGAGAAAAAAGCGGCTCCTTTCGGCCTCCGCCCAGCCTTCGGGCGAAGTGGAGGACCGGCCGGCCGCCGTGCTTTCCGGCTCATGGGATTGGCGGTGTGAGACGAGTCGGTCCCCTTTTTTAGCTTGGGGCTCTGTTGCACCGGCCTTTAGTTTTTTTTTTTTTTGTGTGTGGAGGAGAAAAAAAAAAGGTGTCCAGCTAAACTACTAGGTTGTCTCCTGTTGATCGCTGTTCTTGTTGTCATAAACTTGCAGCACAGGCAGTTATCGGACGACACGCGTGTCTTGCTGCACGGGCTCGCGGAATATGCATGTACATTTCGTCACCACTATGCGTCGCTGCTTCGTTCTCTGTAGCGAACCGATGGCGAGGCGAACCCAGCGCCCGCCCAGCCTCACGCCGCCGACCTCTCAGGCCCCAGGACTGCAGCGCGCGTGCCCGAGTGGGTCTCCAAAGCTCCAATGCCCAAGTCCCAACCCGCTGCTTCAAGCCGCTTTGTCTGGGCCGCATCGAGTATCTGGCGCGCCCGCTCCAGTGTCTGACGCAGCCGCTCGGACTCTGCAGCGTGCTCTTCCCCATCCGCCTCCGCACTGACCGGTGTGGAACCGTGTTGCTGCTTCGCCGCACTCTCCAGTTTCAGGGCCTGTTGCGACCGGTCACGTTTTCCGTCTGACTCCGCAGCCTGAGGATGACGAGTCGGGTGCTGCTGATGAGCGTCAGCCGCCCCTGTCTTGCAACGTGAAGCCAGCAGAAGCGCCTGCGTCCATGCCTGAAGCTGTGTGACGGGCGTGCAGCCGTGTTTGAGCGCGATGAGAGCCTCCGACCTCGCCATGTCGAACCAGAGGATATACGATTCGTGTTGGTAAACCTTAAACAGAGCTGACAGTCGTGTGGAGTCTGTCTGCACTGCTCTAGTCCTCTCATGGCTTGGTCCCAGGCGTCCGACGATGTCCTGGAGCTTGACCCCGATCTTGCAACGCCCGATGATCTGGTCGTCCGTCCAGCGCAGCACCCCGTCCCGCTCAAAGACACGTTCTCTTTGCGACACCTGCTGCGGCGTAAGTATCTTGTCGTGCACAATTGCATGTGACATGACTATGTTTGCTCGCTGGCGGTTCAATGAGCGCATGCTGACGGCCCGGACGGCGGCATAGTTTGTCCCCAGGTGGACTGAGAGCAATAGCAGCATAGTAAGCCATGTCGCCAATGGTGAAGAGACCCAGGATACGACCACGCTACCAGCCTTGTGGAGAGACCTAGTCAGCACACGCTTCCATCAGCTGACGCAAGGACATTTTTCATACCAGCATTCCCATGAGTGAGATGATCGTTTCCTGTGACGAATCTTTCTACACGGACATCAGCTCAGACCTTAACGCGAGCGGGTGTCGCGGATCCACACGGGAGCTTATCGATGCTTCTTGCCGGCAACCGAAAGGCTGGCGCTTGCTCAAGTTTCCAGACGGTTGCCTCAATAAGAAAACAAAACATATAAGAGGACAGGCAACACGCACCGCATTCAGTTCACCAAGGTTCTGTTGTTTCGCAAAGTGCGCACTCAGCGACGCCTTGCTGCTGCCAGCCGCGACACCGCACAAGGCGCGCAGCACGCTGGCAAAACTCAGCACCAGCACACGTGCGGGCCGTGGGAACACGGGCGACACGCAGTCCAGCAACATGGCTGTGTCATTGAAAACGTCGGCCGCCAACCGGTACATCTTGCATTCCGGTTCCAGTGACGTCCCTAGCTTGTGCGCAAATAGGATTGTCACGATTCGGCCCATGGACTCTTGCAGGACATTGAGCAGCAGAGCTGCGGTAGGGGATGCGCTGGCATCGCCAACACCGACACCTGGTTGGCCTCAGTCAGCACGGGCTTTTGGAGAGTGAGGGGACCGCGTGGTTGCAGCAGCAATGTGGCAGTGACGTGAGATGAGATTGAAACAAAGTTTTGATCGACGGCAAGAGATTGAATGTGGGGGTGATCGATCACCTTCAAGAACGGCCCGAGAAGAGAGGAGACCTGCGATGGAGCTCGAGAAGGCCTGGAGCGAGTCCTGGAGGGGCGGTTCAGTGAATTGCTTGGCGTCCGTAGTGGAGAAACGTTACGAACGTAGATCTGGTATCTGGGCGGCAATCGCAAGTCAGATCCGTGCTATGGGCTGAACGGAATGCAACGTGGAGGGCACATACTCCAAATAATCCTCTGTGACGCTCTGCGGATAGCCGGCAGGCAAGAACACGTCGAGCAGTTGTTCCAGACGCGTCTTGCGGCTCTCCGGCAGCTAGCTCGGCTCCGTCAGCACTATTGCTAGGGGTGGTGGGGAGAAGGGCCATCATCGCCTTACGACAACGTCGACGCGTTTGTCGCTCTCAATATAAGTGGCGGTTACATTGCCTGCTTCGTCATACTCGACTATTTCGAGCTGTGCAGAAGGCATGTTGTGGCGGGAGGATGTGGTTGTTGCTTGAAGTTGCCTGGCAGGTGCGGGTCCCAAAGGGCGATCGTCATGCGGGCTTTCGCGTGCGTCTACACCGCCGCAACCCGGAGGCCGTTGCCTAAACAAATCATGGTCACTGGTAGTTTTGCTATTCGTATCATCACTGTAAGCGGCACTCCGTAAAAACAAAGAATGAAAAAGGTGCTCCGAAGTTAAAATACTAAATATACTGCGATTATGCCTGTGCTCCTAGTTAGATGATTAGCTAACAATAGTTGTCCTCAAACCGCACTACATAGGGGGCGATAAACACATTGGGCAAAAGTGACTTGATTGTTGAGGTGTGATACAGCTGACTTTACTCTTTGACTCTAAGCTTTAAGTCCTTCTATTCGCAATAAAGAAAGTCCATAATGAGCCATTCCAATATTGGGGAGACTATTGTTTACGGAATATTTCCATCATGGAGAATAAAGCTTCGATTGTTAGGGAAAGAGCCTTTGTAGTAGTAGTAAAGAGCATTCATGTAATTGCTCTCTGGTTCCATCAGAATTTCTCCGCAGCTGCAAGAAGGCCTGTGGTGTTGTATTCGTGAACAGCAATCAAAGGTTGATAGGGCTTTGTCGAGTATCGCATATTGCCGTCGGCAAGCAATCATAATGATTACGGAGTTTCTTTTGAGGGATATGCCGTAGCAGAGTGATAAACCTAGAGTATAGCGCATGATTTTGTCTATAGCTGTTACTAGTGTCTGCCTAATCAACTGCCAGACGACCAAGACGGGGTCTCTGTGTATCATTCAAAAAAGCTATAACCGTATATTAGTCAATGTGGGCATCGATGATTTTGTTTCTTACTTACCCTGGCGTTGCGCTTTCGTACACAGACACCATGCCATCTGTCCTTTGCTGTTGCGCTCATACATCTCAACTATGCTGTTGCCAAAGTTACTGTTGCTGAGAATTGGTTCCATGGTATCATATCGGCAGAGAAATGCAGAGCGGGGAACTTCGCAACCTCTCGCCTCCAGGTTGGCGCGAAAGACCTTCAACACATAATCCATCTCAATGTGCCAGACGCGGAAGTTGTCCATCATTTTCCGCTGCTCGGACGCGACAAAGTAGACAAGCATTGAGCATGCAACTGGCTTCCCCGACTCTGGATCAATAATGAAGGCATCTGCCAGTTCCATACTTGATTTTGAAGTCGTGGGTTTTGCATCTGTCTGGATCAGTGAAACTGTATCCTTCGATTTGGAGTCTTCCTGCTTGTCAAGAGCAGCGGACTTCGTCTTGAGTTGTGCTTCGAGGACTTTCAGGCGTTGCTCAAGTTTCGATTCATTGTGTCGGCTTTCTGAGATCTCGCACTCCAATTGTTGGAGCTTACGGTAGCACTCCTCCAGCTGGTCTCGGAAATTCCCGTTTCGATCATCTTTAGGTGCTTCGGAGAGGTGGGAGTCGTCTTGAGTATCACCTTGGCTGGTGTCAGGAGTTAAGGGTACGACCGGGACGTTGTAGGCGACAATCATATTGTCTAGTGCATCCTGTTACTTGGAGAGAATGCAGCGTGTTAAAAGCGAGTAAGAAAATTTTTGTGCATTGACGGAGAGCAGCCCGTGAGCGGCACGAACGGGTGACGTGCAGATAACACGGTGACGGGCTAACACAAGAGGTTGAGTGTGAAAAGTTTGGGAAAAGCTAACCCTTGTGGCCACCTATGATGTCATAGGCTTGCAGTAGGGTAAACATCTTCACCAGCTCCAGTTACTTGCGCTCCCTCTATCTCCCCACCAACCACGGTACGAAGGTTGGCGTCTACCACAACGATGCTGCCTATGAATTTTCGCCAAGATCCAAGCCGTGCCGCCATGCCTCAATCCCCGGGCGACGGTCTTTCAGTAAACGGAGAGGGAGAAGAAGTTGAGGTCATGCCGATTAATCCAAAGCGCAGTTGCAGCAGCGATTTCATGGACCGGGAAGATGTGAGAAGGCTACAGGAGTGGCTCATAATCAGAGAGCAGGCTCTCGCGGCGGCCGAGGAATCACAACAGGCACCGCCTGCTAGACCTGGCCTGCTGTGCGAGTGTGAAGATGAAAGGCCCGGGACATTTTTGCAAATGTACCGAGAGGCGACACTGGAGGTGTACGGACACGGTGAGTGGTGTTGATGTTCGGTGGCACCCCTGTCGCACTTGGACTTAAGGGGCAAGGGGGCATGCGGATCGCTTCTTCGCCGCTTCGATTCGTGCGGCCAGGGCTGACAGCAGCGGGCCATCCAACCACTCCGTCTCGGGTTCCTGCATGCCCACGTCGGATGCCCCATCATGAACGAACAAGTTGACTACACTTCGAGTTGCAGATCACCAGTATGCCCGAACCATGAGCGAAGACCGCCCCCCGCTGCAGGACGACGAGGTCATTGCCTTGGCCCGGCAATCCATCATCTCCGCCAGGGAAGACACCACCCGCCGCACTGAAGCCGACACCACAGAGGGCGTGGCCAAGGACTTGCAGCAGCCAGGCGTCACCATCGACCTTGGCCACCATGGCATACGTCGCTTGCCCGACGAGGTCATCGACATAATCAAGCACGACATAGAGAGGTGCGCGCACCCCCACGCTTTTCGCAGCAACCCGTCTTGCTAACCACCTGCTGCAGGCTTGCTCTATCACACAACCAGCTGAGCACCCTGCCCCTCAAGCTTACCGAATGCTCGCGCCTCCGCTATCTGAACGTCCGCTATAACGGCCTTCGCGAGTTTCCCAACGCCGTGCGTCAGCCCCGTCACACCATACACTTGGCGTATGAGTGTTAACTTGAGACAGGTTCTACAACTCTCGACGCTCGAGATATTGGACGTAAGCAAAAACAAGATCAGGGAGATTCCGGAGGAGATATGCAACTTGACTTCGCTGAAGGTACTGGCGATCCAGCGCAATAGGATCGAACGGCTGCCGCTTTGTTTAGGTGAAATCAGCAGCTTGCACATGCTGAAGCTCGACGGCAACCCCATATTATTCCCTCCGCCCGAGGTCTGCAGTATCAGGGATAACGCGCAAATGTCTGGCGACAACGAGCGCGACGCCGTCATCACTACCCAGGTCAAAAAATACCTTAGACAAGCGGCTCGGGAACGTCTTCGTGTTGAGTCGGAAGGAGATTCAAGGTAAACTTCACTTCCTTTACCCTCTGCATGCCATGCCGTTTCCGCTGGTACAATGACATCAGCTGACCCTTTTCACAGCGAAAGCAACGTTGAAACCCCGCGTCCCATGAAGTCCAGGGTGGGTGGCCGGTTCCCAGTCAAGCCCAGCATCAGCAGCATGGATGCCTTCGCCGACTTGAAGCCCGTATCCCCAGGCGACCCGCCTCCGATACCTGTCCGGTCTCATTTCCGCGTACAATCCCAACAGAGTTCAGTCGCGCGCCGGCCGCCTGTAGCACCTCTCGGCAACGGCAACGAGCGCAACAGAAGCCACAGTGAGGGCGCCGGGCCGGCAAGCATCCGCTCTAAGCGAATGGGTATAGTGACTCGGAAGGGTACCGATCTTGCTCCGCTTAACGAAGCACGCTCGAGCGTCGTCAGCCATTCGCGCGACTTCAGCCACGGCTCGTCTGTCAGCGACCTTTCTTCCACGTCGCAACCCAACGGCGTCGCACATACATCTGCGCCATCAAGTGCTGTAGATCAGCAGCGGCCGAGGTTGCCGACTGTCCGTCCGCTCTCCGATGTCCTGGAGCACAAGCCTTGGTCGAACGATTATGATGGAATTGTTCACTCATACCGATTGACTGCTGAAGCCGCTATGGACTTCCTACGTCCTAGCGAGAAGTTGCTACGCCGCATCAATGTGCCGGAGCAGCAAGCCCTGATGGCCGGCTTGTATCGCATTAAGTCAGGCGCATACACGCTGGACAACCTCCTCGACTCATACGAAGCATTGGCGGAGGATCAGGAAAATGAAGCTGATGAAATATTTGCTCGGATTCTGGAAGGAGGTGACAGTTGCTTGCATGAAATGGCAGAGTTCGAAATCATGCTTCACGAATCCGCGGATGACATCGTCAAAGCGGTCGAGGATTTTACTTTACGGTGCGCTTGGCGCGGACAACTGAACGCCCAATACATGGGTGCGGTCGAGGCGCGCAATGCTTGCGCGATGCTCGGGATCAGCTTCACCGACTCGGCCAGCACCAAACCTGTCAACAGTCGCCAGCCTAGAGCATCGACTACGCCTACCCAGACCATGCCTCATCCAGAGCAAAGATTGAGGGTCACGCAAGGCTACAACAACGTCTCTGGTCCGGCCAACCAATTTGGCTTGACCCCACCGATGCCCTCCACTAGCCGGACGAACACGCTCTCCAGCATCAGTTCCGCAACTCCACGCTCAGGCGAATCCTTTGCTACACTTGGCTCAGTCTCGATGTCGCGCAGCAACACCATGCAAAGCATGGCCGAAGATTCTGACGAAGAAAGGATATTCGAGCGAATTTGGGAAAAGCTCAACACTGCGTGCAAGTTGACCCTTAAGACCCTACCGGCTTGTCACATGAAATTCGATCAAGCCCGCCACTCTGCAAGACATGAGAGGGTTATCTCCAGATGGATCTTAGTCCTTGAGCATTCAAAGGCTGTACACGACAAGGTAACTCATCTCGATCGGCTTGTGAGCGGTGTTAAGCTCAGAGATGCGGAATTCCGCGGCTCCGAGGGATTCTGGGTGCACTGCACCGCCTATGTCAAGGTAATTCTCTAAACGCATAACTTTCCTGAATCATTACTGACGCCTTCAATAGGCTTGGAGCGACCTCGCGATGACTGTCAAGGAAATCGCTCAAATGGGTCAACTCCCCGAGGACATAAAGCAGGCCATGAAGCCCATCCAGAAAGCCGTCAAGGAAGCCAGTGTTGCTATTACTGCTTCGCCTTGGAGTCACCTGGCAGTCCGGAACGAAACCGCATACTCGCAGCAGATGCCACCCATGCATCCTGGCAGTCGTGTCATCGGTCACGGGTATGGAGGCTCCAGTACCTCCTCCTTGCCTGGTCCCATCAACACGTCCATTGCCAGTATTTCGAATTATACTCACGTCGGGCTTCCCCCTACTAGCTCGGGCTACGTCACTCCGGTGCCTGCTACGCCTCTGACCGCGGCTCTTGGTGCTGCCGCACAGGCAACTGTGCCCAGCACTCCAAGCCGTGCTCCAACCCCTGTTGACCAGTCGGCGCCTTTGACCGGTCGCTTTGCTGGTAATGTGTTTGAGAGGGCCGATCGCCTTCTCCAACAGACTCAACGGCGCGTCTAGAATCCCTGCCGGGATCCACCAAGTCTACCACTGCCTACATGCTTGCTTGCTTTTAGATTTGCTTCAAAACAACTTGGATTTCTTGAGCGGGAAATGACAGCATTGAATCATTGACGAGGGTTTAATTTGCCCCTGACTTTCTTTCTATTTTCCACATTACTGCATTAGCGAGGGTGTTGAGCTTTGGCTCGGACGACGGCGTCGAACGGTCGATTTGCAGAGTTTGCTGAACGGGACATGGTGGATCCACAGGCTTTTAGGGTAGGATAGAACTGATAGTCGATAGTGAATCTTGAACTGCAGGCATCATACTGGTCTGGAAACTTTGGTGTGAAGTGCTGCCTACATAGGTGAGAAACTTGTAGCAAGGTTCTATACGTTCATGCTACGTGGAATTTAGGTACCTTATCCATGGTTTGATGGCGCTTTGTACCTACGCTACCGTTGTTTTTTATGCCTAGTACCTTCTATCCCCATCTCAAGCTATTCCACTCTGACACATCCTGTCTACCTACAACCACGTGGATGGCTTTTTACAATTACCTAGCTTTTCTTCCACGTGCGCTACAGACTGCAGATATGTTCAGCGCAGAAATACGAGCGCAAAACAATCAACCAAGCAAAGATAAGCCTCCGGCAAATTTACCAGCAAACATAGATGCTTGCGGACCAAAGCACGTCGGGTGGGTCATGAATTTATCCGCAGGCAAGTCGTTTTCTCACTTACCCGGTCCAGAGACGTAGAGCAAATAACGGTCACCATCAAAGTCGGTGCAGGAGAGGAACCGTTCAAAGTCCACCAAGACATCCTTTGCCAGCGATCAAGGTTCTTCCGCAACGCATTCAAAGGCCAATTCCGAGAAGCCAAAGAAGGCTCCATGAAGCTCCGGGACACCGATGTCGATATCTTTCGATTGATCATGTTCTGGCTGTACAGGGACGAGATCCCCAAATCCAGTCTCCACACCGGCGTTCCTGACGCGTCGACGGGCGAGACGCCGAACGATCGCGCATTCAGCAAGATCTACATCTTCGCCGAAGTCTACGATTTCCCGGCTCTGAGGAACAGGGTCATGGCTGAGCTCTTTACTGGCTACGGCGCGGGCACTATAGGACTCAGCTTCCCGAACGCGACGATTATTAGGGCGTTTGGTGAGCTTCGTGAGGATTCGGCGCTCTGTCGCTTCATTGTCGATGTGGCGGCTAGGCAGTGGAGGCCCGATAGAGATTGTCCTGCTGAAGTGAGGCAGCGCGTCGAGCTGCCGCATGCTTACTTGTTGGCGCTGGCGACGATGCTGGCGAAGAGGTCTCATTGCTTTGGTTCGTTTGAGGACCGGCTTAAGCTGGAGGACTATATCGAGTTCGTTTCGTGATTAGTTGTTGCTGAGTTGGATGGGGTGGAGAAGTGCCGCATCTGGGACTGCATTTTGGTGGTGGATATTGGTTGTGGTTCGTTGGCGGAGAGAGATGATGAGCGCCAGAGGGGGGGTGAGCTCAGTGACAGAGAACGGGATGATACCAAATTGATATGGTAAGCTTCGGACTGCATACACGACAACTGGCATTGCTGGGGCTAATTTGAACGTGTTAGGGTCTTTTAAAACGCACACGGAAGGTGGATCAATGAACTCTCCCAGATATAAGAATGGATATAACGAGATCAATGGACCTTAACCTCTCGAGGAGCACGTACGCAGTGTGAAAGTGTTGGCTTTGGCACCGAATAATCAGTACACCCTTTTGGCTATTTGGCCCACACCATAGGGTAACAGCTGTACAAACGTATAACTTAGTCTTTGCTTTGCCTATTTCCATGATCATGTACAGTGTGCTTAGCCTTACGGTCAAATTATTCAAGGCTATTGTGTTAAAGGTTCTTATGACGCATATTGAATGTGAACACAGTACCTAAAAGAGTTAGCCGTAACAACGGTTTGGCTCTTTCACATGGAAGAAGGCAGTCACTTACCACTTCGCTTATTTGAGTGTCGTCTTCGCTCTATAAATGCCTGCCTCTCTTTTCTAATCCACAACACCCAACCCAACAAACAACAATAACCGCCAACGCTTCGGAACACCCAGAAGCCGCCTCTACAGCCGCCTCTGCAGCTGCCTCTGCAGACGAAGGTGGTACGCAACGCCTGACAGTTTCAAGAGGGCATCACACGGCCCCGTCCTCCGCCGTCCAACTTCCTTCTTGTCAAGTCGAATCTTCACTTTCATCCACGCACCAGTGTCTTTCTGAGGGACACGAACCATTGCGCGGCTTAACGTTCGCACAGAAGCCTGTTCTATCAGCCATCCTCAATCACCTCCTACTCATTTTTACGGTCCTTGAGTGAGGTCGAGGGCACATTCCTGAAGTTGCTCGGCAGTGCTCGAAGGCATTGCCTAAGACTCAAAGTAACACCTACAACACCTCAACTTACACACCTATCAATGAACGGTTCATGCAACAGTCTTTAGGCGACCAGACAACAAATGGCCAACAAAGGGAACTGGGAGTGGCCTAATCCGCTAAACATTGCGTAAGTGAACAACTAATCCATGTTTATGTGCCTATATATATTGACATACTAGTAGGCGCATAGATCAAAGTATGATTACTCTCCTGATTGGACCCGAAGAAAAGGCTTTCAACATCCACCAGGCACTCCTTTGCTACTGGTCTCGTTATTTCTGTAACGCACTTAGTGGTCCTTTCAAGGAAAGCCAGAAGGAGAACCTTAAAGTGCCAGATGTGGAGGTCGAAGTCTTCGAGTTCGCCTTCAACTGGCTCTATACAACGAACCTATCGAATGAACTATTTCGTGACGAAGGTATCCTGGCAGCAAAGCTTTACGTTTTTGCCGATTACTACGACGTCCGCGAAATGAGAAACTGTCTCATGAACCTGATGTACGAAGAATACAACGTGACCGCGGGCGACCTTCCGGGCTACGACTTAGTGTTGTTTGCCTTCGAATATCTTCCTCAAAACTCTATGTTTTGTCGCTTCCTGCTGGACAACTACACCTGTAACTTCGCCCCTGACCATGACAAAAAGACACCTGGAGATATCGAAAAGCGCGACAGGTTACCTCTCTCGTTCCTTATGCCACTCATGCTGCAACTAGCAGAAGAGACGAATGGGAGAGACCCAAGAAAGAAACTCAAAAATAGGATAAGGGGGCTACAATATTATATCGAACATGCTGAGGAGGAGCCTCAAGCAACCGGTGGAGATCAAGAAGGAACGACGGCTGCCGATCGTCCGGGCCTTGTAAAATTGAAATAAAGTTCAGTTATGGTGGCAAACCTACTCAGTCAGCACCAGTAAACTGAATCAAGAGGGCTGGGGACGGGTACAAAATACGCTTCATAGAATAGTCAGCTGCGTACAAGACGCAAGTTCATAACTAGATATGAAGGTACTCCTAGGGATCCATTGATGCTATCTGTGAAGGTGTCCAAATTCAACTACGGTGGCGTCAAATATTAGCAGTGACTTTACTAAATCACTAAGGACTATTCGTGAGCTAGGTAGAGACAGCAATGGACGGTTGTATGTCTATCTCTCTGCTGGCTTAGGTGTGATTATGCGCTAGTATCCATGTGCTCACAAGAACGAAGTTGGATAGTATGCACTTTCTTTCTTGATATGGATTCGTTCCGTCGCGAGACTATGATTCACTGTTCCGTCGTTGGTATCAACTTCTTCCATCATTTGCTATGCTGATCCTTCTTCGACTATGATGTTTACCTCACTCAGTCTTGAGCCCCTCGACGCACAGTGTTGGATCGCGGTCAATCACACAGCAGAGCAACTGTAGGGATGACACCAACTGAGATCACTGAGTAACAGCGACTCTGGTCATTGAAGACTGCGACGCCAACAAGCAGACGACAATTTGAGAATCTGCAAGTCTTTACCAGAGGAAATAGAAAAGCACAGTGAAGACCCAGCAAGCTCTACCACACCGAATACCGAGACAAGCACTGCAGAATGCCATAATCAGGAGTAGCCATTGTCACCCAGCCCAATAGCCCACAAGCACAACCCCCCCAGCACAACACCTCATAAAGCAAAACTATGCATTCGGCCTCGCCACGCGGAGAATATAGCTGCATATCGACGGGCGTACGAACAAAACCAGGGCAGGAAACCTGCCCGACCCTTCATGCAGTAAAACCAAGACAAGACAAGACACCACCACTCCCATCTCCACCGACGCAACACAAGCAAGCCACAGCCCCTGCAGCGCACGATGAAGAAGAAGAAGAAGAAGAAGAACGCTCTCCGCACAGGAAACCGCCCGCAGCCACGCCACCACCACGTCCCACCAACGTCTTGTGCGCCGCCCTGAAACCCACCATCCTCATCTGCCGCCCTCGCTGCTTTCAGCTGTGCCACCATACACTGCACCAATTAACACCAACCAGAACTGCCATCACCAGCAGCAGCAGCAGCAGCATAGCGAGCACACCAACCGCCAGCCCCTCGATCCCAAACAAGCTCGCCACGCACGCAGCGTCGCACAGCAGGCCGACACCTGTACGACATGGCATGCGCATCTAGCTGCAGTGTCTGCAGACGCTGCAGGTGCTGCAGAAGGGAAAAACCAGGGCCGCAACGGAACCTCTTGGCGCCGATATGCGCGGGCTAGAACTGTGCGTGCATGCGTGCGTGCGTAACTGCTGTGTCGGACGGCGCGGGTTATAGCTCTGTCGGCGAGCCGGCTTGTGCTGCGGAGTGTGGGGGTGTGGATGAGGTTGGGGATGGGTGGGGGCGTGGAGGATGGTGGATAGGGTAAGGTGGTTGTTTTGTTGCCTTTACCTTTTTTTTTTTTTCTTTTTTCTTTTTTACTTGCCTGCCTACCTACCTCGATATTAGATGTGTGAGGTCGTGGCTGATCGCGATGTCTCAGTGAAGGCATACATGCTATCCCATTCTAAAGCCTTCCACCTCTTCCCTCCATCTCCCACCTTTAACCACAGCTTTTACCTCTTACCACCCCTTCCACGCCTAATACTGCACCCACTCCCCAGCCTCTTCAGCACCGCACCGCACCCCACGCACTCCCACGCCCACCCACCATCCGCAAACATCATTCGATGCACCACTTCCACTCCACCAAAACCACACGCCCCCCCCCCCCCCCCCCCCCCCCCCCCCCCCCCCCCCCCCCCCCCCCCCCCCCCCCCCCCCCCCCCCCCCCCCCCCCCACACACACACGCACGCACGCACTCCCCCTCCCCTCCCCCAGCCATACGCCATGTATGCCGTACGCCCTGCAATATCGATAACGGTGACGACAATGACGACGATGCCATCGGCGAGCTGCTTGCGCGCGGGCATGCAGGTAGGCGAGATGAGCTGGCTGGTTTGCACGAGCTGCGCAGGAACGCGGTGGACGTGGTGGATGGCACACAGCACTTTCACCAAGCCGCGGAGACTCATTCAAGCGCAAGGAAGGCGGAAACCAGTACCCTAACTGGCTGGCTGGCTGGCTGGCTGATTGGCTGCCTGGGGATAGATAGGCAGGCTGAGCAAGCGGGCTTAAAGTGCAGCTGGGCGCGTTCGTCGGAGATTTGTTTGAGAGTATGTGCGTATGTACACAATAAGTGCATGCACGCATACATACATGCGCGCGCGTGCGTGCAGACGGGCCGGGACGGGAACGGCGATCGTGCTCGTTCCGGGGCGCTGGACGCTGCGGTGAGTGGTGGGCATCAGAGGGGTGGGAGGTCAGGAATGCGGGGCGGAGGCGTGCGTGCGTGCGTGCGGACGGCGTGGACGGGCTGGCTGGCTGGTAAGGTAAGGACAGGCAAGGCAAGGCAAGGAAAGGCAAGGAAAGGCAAGAAAGAGCTAAGAAGCCACCTACCCACCTGCCTATGCGGCATGGTCTGGGAAGAGGCAGGAACGAAGCGAATAGGTATATAAAGCGCCTTTTCTTCTCCCGTCTGTATCCTCAGCCCCAACAACGCCCAACACTAAACACCAGACACCAAACACCCCCCAACAGCCATGCCCGCCCCGCCCCTCCTCCCAGCCCTAACCTCCTTCCTCCCGCTCACGCATTCCTCGCCGCAAACGCCGCACACACCAACGCCGACGCCGACGCCTACGCGCTCAACCCACGCGCACACGCACGCCCGTGTCCAGAAGCGCGTTCACGGCCGGGATGGCGATGGCGCTGGCGCTGGGACTGGGTCTGGGAGTGCTCTCCATGACGAGGACGAGCGCGTCCCGCTTAGTGCGCTTGGTACGTACCGTACGTGGACGCTGGCACTGTTTGGTTGGGGGCGTGTTGATTGATGCTGATGCTGATGCTGAGGTGGCGTGGACAGCGGAGCTGATGACGATGCACGAGGTGCCGACCGTGTGGATCGGGGGCTGGGATGCTGTGTTTATGGATTGGCCGGGCTCGAGTATGGGGTAATTAAGATGGTGTGGGGAGGGTGGTGGTGGTTGAGGAGAGGCTAGGGGGGGGGGGGGGGGGGGGGGGGGGGGGGGGGGGGGGGGGGGGGGGGGGGGGGGTTATGAGTGGTGATTGGTAGGATGGTTTGTTTGGGTTTGTTTCGTGTGTGGATTTGGTTGAGGGTTTGGTTTTGGGGGGATTTCGTTGGTACTGATGGATGGAGTGGTTGCGTTTTTGGATGAGGTTGAGATCTGGTGATTATATATGTTTTTGATGTGTGTACGAATGACTTTTTGGCTCTTACAGCCTTCTTATAGCGGATGCTGCTTACTTTTCCTCGAGATCGCCTCTGCTTTCACGGTGTATTTCAACAGTGAAGGCATATTCATTAACACCCAGCAGACCTGCCAGGCTCAATGTCCCCTACTCTTGCTTCACCAGCTCGCTCTTCTCCTGCTCGTCGTACCACCCCAGAAGCCGCGCGACATACTCGCCCGCCAGCCCCGTCGCGATGGCCCCGCCAGTGAACCAGCAACCGTTCCTGAACCACCACCAGCAGTCCGCGGGGCTACTCAGCCTGACACGCCAGATCATAGTTCCGAGCGTGAGCGCCGCGCCGCCGCAACTGCCAGCAAAGAACAGCGGGCCTGCGCCGAGAGCCGAGCCCGCTGCGGCAAGCAGGCCGATTTGCGTGACGGCGAGGCCGGTGAGCACCGTCTTGGTGTTGGACTCGTGCGCGAGTGCAATGCTTTTGATGCCGGCCTTGACGTCGTCTTTGATGTCCATGTGCGCGTAGATCATGTCGTACAGCACCGTCCAGGCGATATTGCTGGCGTAGAGGCAGGCGGCGGCCGTCAGTGCCGCGCTGTCGGCCAGCAAGTCGACGCCCAGCGCGGGGAAGCCCATGATCGCGCCCCAGGAGAAGGTAAGACCCAGGACGGCCTGCGGGTAGTACGTGACGCGCTTGGCGAGCGGGTAGGTCGCCACGAGGATGAGCGAGGGCGTCGCGTACCAGAAGCACGAGAAGGGGAATTGCAGCAGCACTGCCAGGCCTGTCAGCAGCTGCGCGCCAGTGAAGATGACCGCGTTGAAGGGCGTCACGGCGCCGCGGGCAATGGGGCGCAGCCGCGTGCGCGCCACGTGCGGGTCCAGATTGCGATCCCAGAGGTCGTTGATGGTGCAACCAGCGCCGCGCATCACGAGCGCGCCTGTCAGGAACAGCGCACTGAGCCCAATTACGCTGCTGGGCGGCGCGGCGGGGACGGTGTGCAGGCCGGCCATGAGGGTGCTGAAGAGGCAGGGGAAGAAGAGGTAGTAGGTGCCGACGGGCTTGTCCAGACGGATCAGCTCGGCGTAGGGGACTGCTGCACGCGGGATGTGCGCGAGCAGTCCTGTCTTGGGTGGCTGATAGACTGGCGCCGTGTCCTGGAGCGCGGATGAGGTAGTTTGCGCGTGCAGGATGCGATTTGATATGCGGCCATGGGAGTGGGTTTTTACAATTGGGCGCGAGGAGAAGAGACGGAGGCCATTTGAGATGGCTGACCGGCGGGCTGATAACCTTGTGGCCAGCATCACGGGGAAGAAAGCCCAAAGCGGCAGTTGACGATGGTGTTTTGATCGAGGCAGGCGCGGACAGGGTTTCCGCGGTTGGACGGTAATATTCCGGTATTTTTGTTGTCCGTGCGCCGAAGCAACGGCCACTCACGCGCCTTCCCGTCGTGTCCGTCCATGTCGCGCTCTACGAACTATCACGTCGCCAAAGCTCGCTCGCTCGTCCGCGCCCACGCCCACTTTGCGCTTTCGTCGCGCCAGGAAGCTCCTCCGAGCTGCCCCTCACCGAGCTCTGCGCCTAGCTTCGTCATGCACTTGAAGCCGGCCAGCCTGACTGCGCCGCCGCCTTGACAACGCCTGTCCCCGCATCCGCACCTGCACCGTCGCTCGCGAAAATGCCCGCCCAGCGCCAGCGCGCCTCCTTTGAGCCAATCCCTCCCAACTTCGACGTGCGCCAGCTCGTCGAGAATACCGACAACTTCCAATATGTAGATCGCATCTCCGTCGACATGATCCAGCAGCAGGGCATCGAGCAGTTCGAGAAGCTGGTCCTGCTGCACGTCGTCATTGGAGGCAAGCCTTTGGTCGTCGATGGCTTTGAGGACCTGCTGGATCCTTGGACTTTCACTCCGGGTTGGCTCATGGCTAACCAGGGCGACAAGGGTAAGCTCGGCCGCGTCGCACTGTCTGATCCGATCTAACAATGTGCAGTCGAGGATGCGCGGAACCTTACCGCGAAGGAGAACCTGCCTTTGACGATGGGTCACTACCTCAAAAACATGGGTCTCTTGACAGACCAGTACTTCGAGAAGCCCGACAACTACAAGGAAAAGAACAGACAGAGGATTTATCTCAAGGACATCGATTGCCCACAAGTGTGGCATGACAAGCTGAGGGAGCATATCCCACCTAGCTTGTTTTACTTGAATGAGAGCACGGGCGATATCGGTGGTCTCGGTGCTGTCGATGAGCCAATACCAAATGCCGCGGGTAGGAGAAAGGGAAAGGGCATTGCAAGAGCTGGGGACTTAATGAGCTCTCTTCCTCCAGACATGCGCGCACAAAACCTCCAGTGCTACATCGGGCACGAAGGCACCTACACACCAGCTCACCGCGAGATGTGCGCATCTTTAGGACAGAACATTATGGTTAACGCTTCTGCCACCGTTGGCGAAAATGGCAAGCCTGAAAAGCCAGGCTCCTCGATATGGTTCATGACGGAAGCGAAGGACCGTCATATGGTCTCCGAGTACTGGCTTTCGGTACTCGGACATGACATCGAGGTCGAAAATCATTTTGCTCAGCTGGCCGCGTGGAAGCACGCACCTTTTAAGACTTTCGTTGTAGAGCAGCGACCTGGAGATTTCATATTGATCCCGCCTCTTGCACCTCACCAAGTATGGAACAGGGGAACCAGAACCGTGAAAGTTGCCTGGAATCGAACCACCGTCGAGACCTTGGAGATGGCGTTCAAAGAGGCCTTGCCTAATGCTCGTATGGTGTGCCGCGATGAGCAATACAAGAACAGGGCCATTGTCTACTACACTTTACAAAAGTATTCCGGTTTGCTGAGGCAGGCCAAAGTCCAGAGCGAAGCCAGTCAAGAGGTGGCGGTTCAGCTCAAGGCAAGTATTAAGGTGAGACAAGTACAGAGAGATTTTAAGCGACTGTTCGAGCTTTACAAAGGCATCCTTTTGTCCGAGATGTTTGCGCCCGATGCACCAAAGGAACACCCGGAATTTCTCCCTTACGAGAGTCATGTCACCTGCGCCTACTGCCGTGGAAACATATTCAATCGCTTCCTCACCTGTAAATCTTGTACGCACGCTCTAGGAACGGATGCCGAAGAACCCTATGACGTATGCATGGACTGCTATGCTATGGGTCGTAGTTGTGCCTGCATTTCCGGCTTGAAGTGGGTTGAGCAATGGAGGTGGAAAGACCTCCTTTACAAATACGAGGAATGGCGCAAGCTTGTCGTTGATCTTGATGATGGGCGGATAACGGAGAAGACGCCGTTACCGCTGCAAGAAGAGCGCCGGGGTTTGATGAAGAAGACATTAGCCCAGGTCTGCCAAGAGCAGTTGAAGTTCCGGCCATGGCATGACATCAAGAATCCGCAAGCCAGGGAAGAAGATGACAAGTCTGACGAAGAGATTATCGTTAACGATGATGGTACAGTGAAAAAGACTGTCAAGAAGAGATCCAAGGCGTGGCTAGCAAATCACCGCAGCTGCCACGTTTGTTTCCACAGGCATCCAAAATGGAAGATGGCGGGTTGCACGACATGCGACTTATGGTATTGTTATGGAACCCTATTTCGCGCACATGATATGATGCCTCAAACCATCATGGAGAATCCTCGGTGGCAGTGCCCGCATTGCCTCAGGGTTTGCTCTGCTGGAAATTGCAGGAGGGATCCCAGACAGCATCCCTACGAACCAAAGGGTACGCTTTTAGGACACGATACCAGAAAGGTGGCAGACGCACGAAGTGTGGAAGCACTGGTCGACTTCAGTGTGTCAAACCTCAATTGGTTGCGGGATGAGGACCCTACTCCTGGTGGGAGTGCAAGGTTGCGACGGCGTAGAGAAGAGGCTGAAAGGGAGAAACTCACCAATCCGATGCATGACGAACGATTTGTGGATGACGATAACCTGTACGACCAGGATTTGGATCAGACTCAGATTGAGTACTCCCCTGCCCCTGGAGCTGAGGACGAGAGCTTCTTGAATCCATCACTTCGCTCAAATCCTTCCAACGGTAACACGTTACCTCCGCCATCAGCGATGCTTAACGGGGCCAGGCCGCACAACGGGTCTCCTCTCTTCATAGCACAGTATGACGGCGCATCGCCCCATGCTCCTTCACGTTCTGCTATGTACCGCGAAGACATGATGGATGTCGATGACGACAACTCTCTTTACCCGAACATTGATGGTGAAGATGTCCAAGTCTTCAAGAGCTCACACAAGCGTCGTCACGTTGGTGACCCCGACGACCTAATCAAGCTGAGTCAGTCGAAGAGGCAGAAGACTTCCAAGGAGAAATCCGCACAGGCCAAGAGTGATGCCACTAAGCAATTCTTGAAGCAGCAGGAGAAACAGAAGCTCGAGCAGGCCAAGAAAGACGGTCGCTTCATTCAAGTCCTCGCCGCGATGAAGGGCCGGAAAGCCGTTGTCACGCTGCGCCTCCCCAGTGATAGGCTCGCTGAGATCCGCGCACGCGATCTTGAAAAGCGGAACAGACAGCGAGCAGCCTTTGGCCGTGATGGCATAAACGACGACTCTGCTCAGAACGGCGAGATTGCTATTCTGCGTTCCGACATTGCAAACGGCAAGCAAGCTGGGCCTGGTGCCGATGGTGCACCGAAAACGAAAAAGCCAAACCAGGTCCGCGTACGCATGGAAGAGGACGAAGACTTCGGCGGCCCGAAGAGGAAGCCGAGGACGCGGTTCGAGAGTATTAGCGTCGGCTCATCCGAAGATGAAGATCTCGACGACATGCACGACGGCGAGTACCCAGCGCCGCGCGAACGAAGCCAGCGCCGTGCGCGTGCCAACTCGGGAGAGCTGGTTGAGCTGCCAGAGGACTGGCGCGATAGCCGTGCTAGCAAAAGGGAGCGCAACGCAGGCCGCAGACAGACACTGGCGACGGCGGGCGCGCAAATCAGGCCTTCCGGAGGCAAGAAGAAGGGACGGCCACCGCGGGCCAGCACTGGACAGATGCGCTCGGCGTTTGGTGGCGTCATTAGCAGTGGCGAGGAAGAGGAGTCGGGACTAGAGGACGAATCGTCGCCGCCACAGCAACAGCCTGCTCCAATGGCGCCAATGTACCAAGCCACCACTGCCAGGGAGGATCCGGCCGCCGTTGCAGCCGCCGCAGCAGAAGCACAAGCGAAAGCCAAGGCCAAAGCCCAAGCCGCAGCAGAAGCCAAAGCCGCCGCAGCCGCCTCGCGCGCCGCCCGGCAGAAAGCAGAGCAAGAGCGCAAAGCGCGGGCCGAGCAAGCGGCGCGCGAGGCCGCCGAGGCAAAGCGCAAAGCGCGCGAGGCGGCGCGGGTGGAAGAGGAAAACAGGCTCGCGAAGCTGGAGGCGGCGAGGTGGGCTCGCGGCGACGACGACTTTAGCAGCGACTCGGAGGAGCGGCGGCGACGCGCCGACGTCAGCAGCAGCAGTCCGGAGGTGGCGCGGCAGAGCCTGAAGGCGAAACCGAGTATTCTTAACAGGACTGGGCGCGGAGGGAAGAAGATCAGGATCGTGGGACCGGCGGGCAGGGCTGCTTTGGCGAAGCCTGGTGCTGGTGCTGGTGCTGCTTCTGCGGCGTCGGCGGCTTCAGCCTCGACATCGACATCGAAATCTGCGCCAGCTGGTGCGCTGCCGATGAGGAGCGCTTCTTCGCGCAAGAGCGGCAGCAGCAGGAAGGCTAACGAGGTCCAGCTCAGCGATACGGAGAGCGAGAGCGAGAGCGAGTCTTCGGATAGCGGCGGCGAGATCCTGGCGCGTGCTGCTGTTGTTGCGCCGGCGGCGAAGACGGGGGCGCCCGCTTTGCGTGGTGGTGGTGGTGGCACTGCTGGTGCGGTGAGAGGTCGTGGAGGGGCGAGGGCGAGGGCGAGGGCTAGGGGACGGGGTCGGTAGGTCGTAGGTGTTAGGTTGGTTGGTATGGTGGGGGTGGGGTCGTTGCGGTTGTGCGTGGCTTGCGGTGGTACTTAGCTGCCTACCTAACTTTGTACTTTCGTACCTGCCCGACTGGCTGGCTGCTTTTTGCTTTTTGGCTTTTCTGCGAGCGAGCTAGCTACATACTGTGGCTTGAGTACATGGATGGATGAGTGGGTGGGGCTGGTCTGTACTGTGCAGGAAATACGAATGCGAATGGAATGGATGGATGGATGGATGGATGGATGGATGGATGGATGGATGGATGGATGGATGGATGGATGGATGGATGGATGGATGGATGGATGGATGGATGAATACGATGGCGGAGTTAGGTAGACACCTAGAGCTCTCTCTGGCGTAGTGGCTGGCTGCCGTAGGTAGGTGGGTAGGTAATGGATTAAGCTGTTATTGCTATTGCTATTGCTTCGTAGGGCTTTGTGGGAGGGGGGGTATAGTGTTGTTCTGTGATATGCAGTATATATATAAAGATGATTCAATTGTTCGGGTAGGGTGGAAAGCTCTATCTCGACTGAATTCGTTTCTTTTCTTCTTCTTTTCTTCTCTTGTTCGCTTTCCACTCTTCCTTCCCTCCTCCCTCACTCCGCTCTCTTCCGTCATACCCACCCACCCACCCACCCATCCACCCATCTTTACCCATGCATATTATCCGTAACAGCTACATACGCACCATGCACCACGTACCTCCCAAATCCCCAATTCCAAAAAAGACCAATCCAAACCAATTCCAAACCCACGTCCACGCCCACGGGCCGTGGCACGGCAGATCTATGTAGAACGCCACGCGCGTGCGAGTGCGGGAATTACACGCCGTGTATCGCGTGGCAAGGATACGACGTCGTAGCAGAGGGTAGTGGCAGCACGCAGCACGCAGCCGGCCGGGTCTTACACGTGTGCGTGAGGTGTGGTGAAGTGGGGGGGGGATTTCAGTTTGTCTAGTTCATAGACGAGGAGGCGGACTAACAGCGAGTGAGTGTTATGCATGTGGTTGTTTGCGCTTTTTAGTTGGGTTTGGTTCTTTGAAGCGCTTTTGAAGCGCTTCTTCTGCATGCGCCTTGTGGTTAGGTAGTGAGGTGAGGGCTTTTTTCCGAGTGCCGTTAGGTGTTGGTAGGTATATATATATATATATATATGCGCTCTAACAATGCCTCACGTGCCCCTAGTTGCAGAAAGTGGGTAAGTAAAGCAGCTAGACTAGTACTCTAGCATCACGCACGCAGCACGCACGCAGCAGCGCGACGGCACGGCCCGGCCCGCCCGCGTACGTACCTAGGCTGCCTGCGTAGATCCGCCAAGCACTTATGTACATACATACATACTCTAGCGCAGAAGGAAGGATCGACGCAGCACGCTGCAACTTTGAAGCGGGGAGGCGGGTGGATGGTGCGCGGCTAAATGGACGTGCTGTACGCACTTACTTGGCTTTAGACGGTGAGTAGCTAGCACGCTAATTAGAGTGCGGGTTAAGTATTTAGAAAGTGAGTGAGTGAGTTTGGGTTTGGGTTTGGGTTTAGGTTTGAGCAGAGCAGAGCACTGGCTGGCTGGCTGGTGCTTACGGCACTTGCAGCGCCGTTATATGTGCGCTGACCTGCCCTGCCCAGCCCAGCCACCAACTAGGTACCTACTAGTTACTTACTGTATTCGCTCACCTGGGGCCAGAGGTCGGAGTCGGAGCCATGTCCTCCATAGCCAGCCATCAGCCAGCCACCAACACCAGCGCCAGTGCCTAGTCAGGCAACAACAACAACAACAACAACAACAACAACAACAGCCACCAACAACCGCACCGCACCGCACTGCTGCCTACCTACCTACCTACCTACCTACCGCAGGCAGGCACAGTCAGTCCGTAACGGCCCGGCCACCCCAGCTGGCTGGCTGCGCGCACGCCACCACTACCACAAACACGCCGACAACCACGCGCCTGCAAACACGCGAGTTTGGTCCGTCCGTTCCGCGGTGGTGGTGGTGGTGCCAGCGGGAGGGAGCAGCACGAACACGAGTACGAGTACTAATACCTATGTAAGTACCTAAGTAGCTTGTAGTCAGGGCGGGGCTGGCGCCGGCGCGGTTCGTGTGTTGCCTAGAGTAGAGTAGGTGCGCTGCTTGCTTGCTTGCCCTGACTTGGCTGCTTGTCTGGCTGTTTGGCTGGCTGTGCGCCTGCCTGCTCTGACTGAGTGGCGCGCTGACGTTGGCGTTTGGCGTGTGTTTGGCGTTGGTGTTGGTAAGATAGGTGGGTGGGGTAGGGGGGTAGGGTATGGTAGGGTGGTGCCTGTTTGTTTGATGATGATGATGATGCTGATGATGTTGCTGTTGCTGTTGCTGTTATTAGCATTCACTTACTCGCTCGTCGTTGGCTGTGATGACGACGACGAGAATTAATGACGACGATGATATTGGCGCTCATTAACGCCGCGAGTCGGTAGCTGTAGCTGCGTATTGCCAATCAGTACCTTACCTAGCAGACACCCAGCCAGCCAGCCAGCCAGCCAGCAAGCAAGCCAAGTGGGCTGACATGCCCTCGAGTCGCACAAGCCGCGGCTGAGGCCCAACAAGACACGCTCTCACCCACTCGCTCACTCTCGGGCTTAAGACAGAGAAACCACCGGCCTCAAGAGGCTCTGCCCCCTTCAAGCCCGGCCGAGCCAACCTTAGCCAACCTTAGCCAAGCCATGGAAGCCAAGTCCACTCAAGTCGACTCGACTCTGCAGCCAGCTCAGCTCAGCCCAACAACGTTACCCAAGCCAAGTCAAGTCTCATACCTAGGTACCGTACCCGTACAGCCCGCCACGCCACGCCACGCTACGCCACGCTACGCCACGCTACGCCACGCTACGCCACTTAGGCACGACCTCCTCTCCCGGCGCTAAAGAAGCAGGCAGGCGAGTTTGCAGCGCGCACGCGCTGGCCCAAACAGCACCGGGGCCGGCCTCGTGCGATTGCGAGGGAACCATGAAGTGAAGTTAGCGTCGGTACTGTACCTGTGTATGTGTTATCGCGCCGACGAAGCGGGCGAGCTTAGGTAGTATGTGAGGTATATGACAAAGAGGGCGAGAACGAGAACAACAGCCACAACGACAGTAACAAGGACAGCAACAACAGCAGCAGTAGTAGTAGCAGGGTAGGCAAGCAGGCAGGCAGTGCCAGCCGCCACGCCAGCGCCGCCTAGATAATCTCCGTCTCAGCAGCATTGCGACAGCGGCGTCGGCGAGCCCGAGACGCTGGCAAGCACGCAGGCGGGCTGAGAGCTGCGAACAGACGTGGATCCCGGGCAGTCCGCGTGTCGATCGGGCGGGGGTACTGTAGATATGCTTGCTGGCAGGACCCAGGCAGGCAGGCAGGGAGGGACGGAACCCAAAGGACCGAAGGGAGGAAGGGAAGGAAGGGAACTCCAGCAACGCGCAGGCCACCAAATTCCGTGCCGTACCCGCGACCTCTACCTAGGCAGGCAGGCAGGTAGCCGCGCTCCGGGCGCACAAGGCCGGGCGTGTACACGGCACGCGGCACGCGGCCAGCGCTCGGTCGGCACCACGTAGTGAATGAATAGGCGCGCGCGGGAGGGGGATGAGGAGAGCGCGGAGATATGCCCCGCCGCCACCACGACCACCACCCGCCTCCGCTATTAGAGGCGGCAGCCAGCAGCCACAAGGCCCACCACAGCGCCCCCAAGCCGTTGGGGCCTGGCGCGGCGCGGCGCAGGCCGAAACGGGGCCTGCTAGGCGAAAGAGCAGCGCGCGCGGTATGTATGGCAAGGCCAAGGCTATGGGCACCTAGGCGTGGCCAACGAAGCGTCCGTTTAGCTCGGCCGGCTCGCGCGCCCATGTTACGCCGACACAGAGCGAAGGGTTTGGCGTTTGGCGCGGCGTTGCTACCTACCTGCCTGCGCGAGGGCTAGCGTAGCGGGCGTGTTGTGCGCGGCCGGACGCGCTCAATATATCTGTGGGCGCCGCGGCGCGAGTGTTCCAAGCGCGGGCGCGGCTGTGGTTGATTGATTGATTGATTGATTGCTGCGCTGCATGCATGTGTGTGTGTGTGTGTGTGTTCTGTGCTGTGTGCTGTGTGTGGGCAAGCTGGTGCTTGCTTGGTTGCTTGCTTGGTTGCTTGGTTGCTTGCTTGGTTGCTTGCTTGGTTGCTTGCTTGGTTGCTTGCTTGGTTGCTTGGTTTATTGATTGATTGATTGATTGCTTGTTGTAGAGACCGCAAGCCAGGCACAGCAGCGGCGACGGCGGCGGCGGCGGTGGCGGTATCGTTGTCTTTGTGAGACGTCCTGGCAATATCAACGGAAATGGCCCGTCTTAGTTTGATTTGGCAGAAAAGGCAGAGCAAGGACTAGCGCGCATGCACCGATAGAGAACGCGCACCCAATCCCTGGCCGCGGCCTCGCAGAAAGATTAAAGCTGCGGCGAGATTTCAAATACGCCAGAGCCTCAAGAATGGGGGGGAGGGGGGCGAGGTAGCGCGCCTTTCTGCTCCCCCAACGAACGACAACGTGCGACCTGTTCACCACAGTATTGTTTGCAAAAGCCAGACAAGGCCGCCAGCCACTCTGCGCGGCTGATGTGGTTGCATTTGCCAAGCTCAGTCAGCGACAGCCCGTTCTGACAGATGCTAATAAGCGTAAGGATCGTCCCGGACATGCCCTCACTAACCCGCCCCCGCGAGCAGAAACACCCTGTCGCCACCGGACTAGTTATGAGCCGATTTTCAGACATGCCCCGGACGCCCCGAAAGTGGACTGCCCAGGAGGATGAAGAACTGCGTCTCGAGGTCTTGTCCCAGCGTAAGCACTACATCTCCTTGTCGACGCCAGATACAACTGACTTGGTGCCTGAAGTAGCTGAGGGAGAGGTCAAGGACTGGTGTAAAATAGCCACGAGGCTGCCTGGAAGAAACAACAAAGACTGCAGGAAAAGATGGCACAATGCCGTAGCTGGAGGCTTGAGAAAAGGACAGTGGGCCAGAGCTGAAGACACCCTCTTGAAAAACGCCGTTGCAAGATTCGGACAAAAGTAAGTTATCAACGAGAGGCAGAGGAAAGGAAGCGTCGTTGACTTGTCGAGCAGATGGACGCAGGTTGCAGATCTCGTCGGTACACGTTCAGCAGATCGTAAGTAGATGAACTTACCCCCACCTCGTGAAGAAGCCGTCGCGCCTCGCCCTAGGGCAAGCCCATCCTGTAGCACCGTATCCATGACGCCCTATAACAGAGGAGCTAATGCTGGCACAGAGTGCGCGAAAAGATGGCAACAATCTCTGGATCCCGAGCTCGACCGCAGCGAATGGAGTTCTGAAGAGGTTCGCACCCCCATGTAGCACGCGCGGAGTGAGGTCATTTCGGCTCATCGGTTTCTCCAGAACCGCATCCTGCTAGAAGCCGTCCGGACAGTTGGACGCCATTGGACCACGATCCAAAAGACGCATTTCCCGTCAAGGTCCAAGAACGGGATCAAGAATCGGTAAGTGGAAACACTGTCGCTCCCAGCTTCAAAGTTTGCTGATGTCAGCCCTTGAAGCTACACTGTCTTGACCCGAAGAGGGAAATGTAGAGATTCCGTAGACTCCAATACGCAAACCGCCAACGAGGGAACGCTGCAATCAGTGTCGCCAAAAGATGAGAATGAGTCAGAAATGGGGAGTGAATACGGAAACGTGGTGGACGGGTCGCATGTGAAGATGCCGTGGCAAGCTCCGACCTCCGTCCCGATGGACTGGAATTTTCAAAGTCCTTCTACATCGTACACAACAGTATCCGGCTACCGCACGCCACGAACCCCTAGCATGGATCCAAGTTTTGCTTTGTGTCCGGACATGGATCCTGGGATTTGGGGTGGTGGTAGTAGCCGGCCACAAGAGATACTGGGTGGTAATTTCTCAGCATGGGCATGGGACATGAATTTTCCATCCATGGCTGGTGGCATCCCAGATCTTACGTCTTTGGAACAATTTCCCCAGAACAGTCCAAGGAACCAGGGGAGCTCGTTCGGAACGGTCCAGATGCCCGGTCAAGATTTAATTACAGGACAGTTGCTGGGAAATACGCCGGGGCACCTCGCTACTGCGCACGCAAGCATTTCGTCCCCCAAGGACAAGCTTTCGGCAGAAGCTCCGCGGCAGGACGCATGGGATTTGAACTCGGTGTCAGGAATGGGAGACCTAGTGGATGAAGAAGCAGTGCGAGTGACTTTCACTCTCAACAAGCCCACCGTCAAGACGATGAATTCTCTCATGAGAATAGCGATGGAGAACAAAGCGGGTCTTCATCTGCAGCGAGATTAGTAGAATTTGCTTGTTCCGCAGTGTCGACGCATGTAATTCTACCACTCCTTGATAGAAAAGAATCGAGATACCTCTTAGTACGTAGAAGTTGGAAGAGATCGAACCCTGGCGATGCATATTGGTATCAGAAGTTCATGCCGCCCTACTGATGAGTCGCAGCAAAACCCCTACCCGGAAAAGAAGGATTTCGGCTTGATACCAAACAGACCCCCGTCCAGAAGGAGAAGTCCTTTATCTCGGCATCTGGTCATCAAACTCTTAAGACACCTACAACTTGACCCCTGGGTATCCGATCACGCGCCCTTATACCCATACCTGAGACGTTCCAAGCCAGCAACATCAACAGGCGCCAGCTGTGAGCGGACAAGGTAAACAAGCCCCAGAATCACTGTCACATAATCAGCACCAGCATCCCAATTACAACCGGACCCCCAAGACACCACTTACAGCCAGGCAAATACCCCTCCCAAGGACTAACTCTCGTGCCCGCAGCCCACGAGCTCAGAGCCACAACCGCGCAGAGCGCTCCATTCAAATACCCTATCGACCGCTCAATCGGGCTGCCGGACTCGAGGTGCGCATTCACCACATCGAACGTCTGGGGATCCCTCGCCGCAGTTGGCGACCGTCCCGGCGAGCGCAGCGGGACAAAGTACAGGATGTAGGCCGAGGCGCAGAGACTCGTAATGGCCAGGCAAGCGGTGAGGAACTCGGAGAACGAGGAGGGCGAGAAGAGCGGGCGGAGGTACAGGATCAGCGACAGCGCGGGGATGCTGACGAACGCTTTCTATGGCGGGGGAGGTTGTGTTAGCGGTGGACTAGCACCAGGCAAGGGGCGCGGAAGTACCTGAAAAAACTCCGTCTTGGCAATGTCTTCGAGTGAGATCTCGGCGATGAGCTTGTCTTGCTCTGTGAGCGCGTGCGTCTTGTCAGCGAAGCCCGTCGCGAAGCTACTGGTTTGTTTGCAGGCAGAGTGGGTGGGACAGACCTTCCTCGTCGATGCCATCGACAGGTTCATCGTCGTCCTCGTCATCTGGGTAGCGAAAAGCTTTTCTCAAACGCGTGCTCTGCATGTTGTTGAACCTGGTGTTGATTGAGCGACAGACCTCAGAGAGAGCGCGTGTAGAAAGTCCGAGGTATGACGCAGCGAATGCAAGTGACAAAGAGAGCGGACCTCCGAGCGCCAAGAACCCCGCTCCGCAGCGCGACCGCCCGCCCTGCCGCCCGCCGCCGCCGCCGAATCATTCGAGCGCAGCGGGAGCAGCAGCAAGCAACCACCACCACCACCATCACACGGCAGCACCCACGCCCACCGTCCGCCAGCCATGCAAGCGCGCCCGTCATTATTCCAGCGGCTGCGCCCGCACCTCCAGCCGGCCCGCCCCGCCACGCTGCGCCGCACGCTCGTCGCCGCGCCCAAGCCCGGCTCCGGCCCACTGATGGAGCGGCGCGCCGACCGCGCCCTCCCCAGCGTCTCGACGCACCGCCGCTGGGTCTACACCGTCCCGCTGTTCTTCGGCATCATTGGCGTCTCTGCCCTCGCCATCTTCAACTACCAGAAGCAGTCGTCCTCCGTGACTGAGAGCACGCTCTACGCGCTCCGCACCAACCCTGCTGCGCGCGAAGCCCTCGGCGGCGAAATCTACTTCGCCAGCAAGATCCCTTGGATCAGGGGCGAGATTAATCAGTTGCATGGCCGTATCGATATCAACTTTAGGGTGAAGGGAAAGAAGCAGTGTGGGACTATGAGGTTCCGGAGTGAGAGGAAGACGAGGATGGGCTATGTGAGTGTTTTATGTCTTTTTTCTTGCGTATCTTTGGCTTGCTTCCATTCGAGTAGTCCGCTCTTGCGACTATCTGTTGCTGGTTGAGCAATTGGGGCTTGATTGGACCGTGTGTTGCTGACTCTGTGACCACAGTTCGAGACGCTAGAGTGGAGCCTGAAGACCGACGACGGCCAGGTTCTCCAGCTTCTGGACTCCGCCAAGCCGGATCCGTTCCGTCGGAGCTCAGATGACGAGTGATCGGGATTTTCATAGGAGCTGTGTTAAAGATGATCATTATGTCACGGAGATCAGAAAATAGGTGTATATCATTGCATCACATGGCGTTCGAGGGCATGGACGGGGTATGATTAGGATTCTCGACCCTAGAGCGGAGCTAAGCAAAGCCCGCAATCGGTTTCTTGAAGCAGGAACCTGTCGGTTTATAAAAGAACAGTTTCAATGGCAAAAAACAGTCGTACCAGACAAATGGTGGAGTGATGAGTCGTCTATCTTCATTGCTTCAATTTCTTCATTGCTTCAATTAAAGACAGTCATCAGCGCGAATTACGCAACTTGAGGTATTTCATCAAAGGACAGTGCCCTCCCAACGTGTGCCCGCTGCTCATACGCGCCATGTGCACGTTCCCAAACAAGCAAGCAATGCGAAAAGCATGTTGCAAAAAAGGAGCGTACCAGTGAAACGCAGCAAAGAAGGGGAAAGAGAGACGAAGATTCATAACGCCCAGTTCATCGCGCTTCAGACCGCGCTCTGCCATTATCCATCATTCCACCATCTTCATTTTCGTTTTCATTTTCATTTTCACCTGCCAGCATCGGTACCAGCCTCGGACCAAAAGTCGGATCCAAGCTCGTACGGGTTACCGCCCTTGCGCTCGCTAGGGTGGCGCGCCGGGTCTGGTCGCTGGAGCTGCGCGAACTGCGAGTTGCTGGTGTCCGACGGGGAGGAGACGTTGATGGGAATACGGGGGCCGACGCTATCTCTGCTCCTGTGGCTGCGGTGCGACTTCCTGGAGGACTCCCTCGACAACCCCGGACGGTTGTCCACCTGCGACCTCGTGGAAGATTGCCTTGAGACTTGCGGCCGGTAGTCCGAGTGCGTGGTCTTAGTCGACTTCATGGGAGACTGGTTGCTGTGGAGGCTACGGTAAGACGGCAGGATGGAGTCGCGGGCGCGGTGCCAAGCGCTAGTTGGGTTGAACCTGTGCGGCGACCTATCGGCGGGGGTGTACGGAGGCTGGAAAGGTTGCTGATGAATCGACATGCTGGCAATGGAAGACTGGTTGCTGAGCGCCTTCTCGGCAATGTCAAACTGCTGGTTCTCGGCATCGGAAACAGCAACGGCACCCTTGTGGCGGACCATACGGGCAGTGAGACCGAGGTTGGGGTCACGGAAAACGTAGCTGATGACCATGTTGACGAAGCCCAGGACAAGGATAACGATGCCAGACGCGATCACGATGCGCCACATGGGCAGACCCAAAGATTCTGCACTGGTGGCTTCCTTGTTCAGATTGCCGAGGATGTTGATTCCGAGAACAATCATCCCGAATCCCAGGGTGACGAAGCCATGCTTGGGACTTAGGAGAGGCCAGCAGCGGTCAAAGTAAGTCCTGAAGAGCGGCGTCTCAGAGGCGACGAGGAACACTATATAGGTCAGTTTAGATCATATCACATATCAAACAAGCAACTTACAGCTGATCAGAGCAGTGATAACGTGACTGCATGCGTCGAAGAAGAAAAACTTGGACACGATAAAGGTCTTGACGAGCATGACGATGCTGGCGGTCGTGACGGCCAGCAGGCCGACGATGTTCATGCCACGGATGACATTGAGAATGATGTAGCCCGGACCAGCCAGGGACTTGGTGGAAAGAGGCATGATGGCGGCGTTGGGTATGTGGGTCTTGTCGAATTTACAGATGAAGTCGTTCTATTCGTTCAGACACCGTCAAGATGGCTCGAGATCTGCACAGCAGACTCTGGGGTGGGCAAACGCTTAAAGAGGGAGTTGGTAAGAAAAGAGGAGCAGAAGTCCTGAGCCGCGAAGGCAAAGGTTGGCTTCTACTTTGACAATGGGATTGTCCCGGACAATAGGAAAAGAACGTGAACTGAAAGCAACTGAAGAGAAAGGAGAGAAGGGAAAATCGAAAATGTATGCAGATCTGGAGAGAAGATGATAGACAGGCGAAGCCGGCACGGACTCATGCTCGGTAACGTCAGGATGGACCCAAGCATTTCACAGACATTGATCCTGCATGTTGGGAGAGGCAACCGCCAATGAGTTGGCGGCACGAAGCGACAACAGCACTGGCAGTGAAACGCCGATGAGGGGCGGATTCAAGCACATCAAGGTTGTTTCTACGGGCGTGCGGGTAGTACACGGAGGTGTGGCCGGCCGGCCAACTGTGCAGGTGGTTTAGGTTGGCCGTGAAGCGCGGCGAGGGATTGGCTGTGAAGCGCTGAACGTGGTGTTTCAGGTGGGCGGGCTAGCATGCGGGCGCCAACGGCCACTCTGGCTGCCGCAACTTGCGCAAGGTCATGTTGCGATCGTTGCCATGGGGCCGATCAGCAAGGAAGAGAGGAGAAGAGGAAGAAAGGTGTTCGCACGGGATTTATCGGCGTCACGCAAGCCGGAAGCCGTGGTGCTGTGGTAGAGGCGTGAGAGAAAAAGGGCGACGATGCGGGACGGAGGTCTTTTGGATTCTGGAAGCGGCGGTTGCGGCTATTTTTAGGGGCGAGCCATCAACAACTCTTCGACGGCTCTTTCGCCTTCTTCCCCCCGATTTTCCACCCTCGCCCACTGCATCCCGCCCCTCGAGCCGCAAACTACTGCGAGTCGGAGCCTCAACAAGCCTCAAGGCCTGCACCAGTCCCTTTCCAGTTCTCTTCCAAACATGGCGCGCGGCAACCAACGTGACAAGGCCCGTGAGAAGAACCAGAAGGAAGCCTCCAAGCTCGTACGTGCCACCCTGCTTCATCTTAAGCGCCCGTGAAACGCCTGCTAACGACTCGCCTTACAGAAGTCGAAGAACAGTGTAGGTTTCCAAGCGACCTGACCCGCAGTCACGGGATTGTGGGTATTGTGGGAATGTCGGTAGGGCTAACCCACGACAACAGCAATCCGGCACTGAGTTCGCCCGCACCAAGGAGGACCAAGCCGCCATCATGCGCGCGAAGCAGGCTGCTGGTGAGTCAACCACCCATTGCTTCCATCGGCCTGCCTCTGAGTCTCTGGCTGTCCGCTAACCCCGTGACAGCTGACGCCAAGAAGACGGGTCCTCAGAAATAAGCGCGCGCATCCTCAACCATCGTCCCGTGCGGACGTTTGATGGCGTTGCGGAGCTCTGGGCCGGAGTCACTGATGCTCTTGGAGTAGAGTTGGGTTTTGTCAAATTTTTTTAATCCCTGCATTTCAGCGACGGGGAACAATTTCTCTCCTTGGTTTGAAATGACCAATCAATTCAGCAAGCACGCTCACATACTGCCCTCATTGCCAACGTGCTTTCGTCATTTTTCGCACGTTTTACTTTATTCGTCACAGCGGATCCTGCCCGCGTTGGTATTACTTGTTCCCCTCGCTAAAGACATCAGGGAAAGCAAAGGTAGTTCTATCAATATCCGTTCGTCCATTCCCTCGTGCAACTGCCTGGCAAACGTCACAGGCAGCAATATATCCGGACCAGCCTTCTTATACATCAAACACTTGCAACCAGAAACAAACATCTTACATCCAAGGAGCAGGAGTAGCAGCAGGAGTAGCAGCAGGAGTACCAGCAGGAGTCCAAGGAGGAGTACCAGCAGGAATCCAAGAAATAGTACCAGCAGGAGTATCAGCAGGAGCCTCAGCAGGAGCCTCAGCAGGAGGCATCATCATCATGCCAGCATCAGGCATCATACCTAAGAAACATCAACAAGCGCTCTTCTTGAACCCCGTTCAAAAAAACTTACCGGCAACTCCGCCATAGTTGTTCATAGCCGCGCCTTCCGGGAAGCTGTTGGCGCCACACAGGCAGCTGCAGTCGCACGCGCCGCCATCAGCCGCAAACCCCATGCCCGGCACGGTGCTGGCGCTCGCCGCAGCCGCCGGCGTCTCTGCCACGCTTGCCGCGGCCACACTCGCCATTTGCGGGGTGGCAGCGGCTCCTGCGGGTGTAAGCATGTCAGGCGTGGCGACCGTCATCATGCTGGGTGTGGCGACTGCGGCTGGCGTCATGGCCATCATGGGTGTCTCGACAGCCGCGGGCGTTTCGACCATAGCGGGAGTCTCTGCCATAGCGGGCATATCAGCCATAGCAGGTGTCTCGGCCATAGCGGGCGTCTCCATTGCAGGCATCTCCATTGCGGGTGTTTCCATCGCGGGAGTTTCCATTGCGGGCGTCTCCATAGCGTATGCGTTCGTCTGGGCTGCGTCTGCAGGCATCTCGTCGGCAGGCATCTCATTCGCAGGCATCTCATCCGCAGGCATCTCATCCGCAGGCATCTCTCCAGCGGGCATCTCTTCAGCGGGCATCTCTTCAGCGGGCATCTCGTCGGCGGGCATCTCGTCGGCGGGCATCTCGGCTCCATCCATAGCCATATCACCTGAGTCCGCAGCCTTATCGCCCGAGCCAGCGGCCATAGCACTCGAGTCCATGGCCGCCATATCGGACTCCGTGCCGTTGATCTTCATCGCCAGGTCCTTGAAAGCCTCAAAGGTCTTGTCGCCCTCCATGGCGGCGTTGATGCTAAAGACCATGCCCAGTCCGCAGTGAGGACCCTTCTTGCAGTAGGCCCCTAATGATTGTTAGTTATGTCGCTATATCCCAATCGTTCCGAGACAGATAACACTTACAGACTGGCTTAGTGTCGTTAACCATGACAGACCAAGTGACGCCGTCCTTGCCGTCAGGGTTCGGCATGAAGCCAGAGTCGAAGCCTGCGCGCGCAAAAGAAGGTCAATTACGAGTTCGCATCGAAATGTATGGTTGTCCATGGTCTGCACGTACCATCCTCAGCCTTGACGCATGGGTTGTCAAAACTCGACTGCGTCACTGTGTGGTTCATCTCCATGAACTTGAACTCGACCATGTCGCCGACAGCCGCCTGCACGTTCTCCGGGTTATACACCAGCATGGGCGTGGGGGTGCCGCTGGGCTCAGGTGGCGGCATGACACCGCCCACCGTGACGGTGTGCGTCATCTGGGCAGCCGCACCGGCGGCGAAGAGAGTGAAAAGCTCGTAGGTCCTCATTATTACGGGATTGGCGTAAAAAAGTAGTGATTGGAATATATGGGAAAAACCGCGCTGCGGTGTGTGGTTTTCAAGTGTAATCGGTGGTGGGAATTGAAGATCGGACGGCGCTGATCGAGGGCCTGCTCGGTCAATGAGCGGATGGAGAAGCGGTATTAAAGAGGCGGCTGCAGAGAATGCACAGTTGATGCTGGATGCCTTTGGCACGTCGCGCTGCTTAAATCAGAGAGCGAAATTTGCACTCCGCGTACTGGCGTCGCAACGCGCAATCGGCGAAACGGGCACAGCCTCTCGGCGTATAGCTATCCGGATGATCCGCATCGCATTTTGCTGTGGAAAGTTCACTGCTGCTTGACTTTTGGTGTTGGATGTATGGTGTCGCTGACCTTAGACGTGTCTTGTGTGGGAGGTGTCTCGGATCTTGTCACAGATGGGTCTCGACTGCTCGCCTCCCCAGATCTCCGCAATCTTGACAGCCCTAGCAACGACGATCTCCTTAAGCTTCTTTTAACCTTTGTCTGAGAGTAGTGGGGAATGCTATTCTTGACAGCTGAAATTGCCTGGTGCGGAGGGCCAAGCACGCTCGTAATTCTAGTTCATGCACTTCGATTTTTCGCGGCTCCCGTCGGAATCACACTCTGACACACAAGTCTTGGCTAGTTGGATTAGCACGCAATTGTCAATGGCGAGAAATAATCTATACGTACAACTCATTCTATGTTCACTTCAATTATGCCACCAGGCGGGCTTGTTGGAGCGAGCCGAAAGCTCAACGCTTCCTACTCCGTGCTTTTCACCCAGTATGTGAATCAATCAAGAAGATGGTGTTTCCTACTCCATCATTTGGGCTTAGACTCCTGCATCTCTTGGGCAGCCTTTTGCTGGCCTTCGTAGAGTCCGGTGTAGTAGCCAGCGTAGTACCAGGACATCATCAGATTCTTCATAGCCTCGTCTTGCCCTAAACTCCTGTTAGCATACGGTACAGGCAAATTGATTTCAGAAAAATATAGCAATGCACGTACCGCTAAGCAGCATCTGAGGCATAAAACCAGCAGCCATTGGTGGGGGCATAGGGGTAGCCGTACTGGCAGCAGTCGCGTTCGTAGAAGGAGCACCGGGAGCTTTCTCTGTGGTCTCGTGAAAGCTTTGCTGCTCTGCTACATCGAACTCTGGTTCGAAGGGCAGTTCCTCACTGTCGTTCATGGGAGTGATGCTCGCTCCCTCTGCAACACCAGTGGCTGCTTTTACTTGTGACTTAGAGCTTTCCAGGACTCCTCCCTCACTATTTCCTGTCAGCATGTGTCCTTCCCGGCGAGCTGGCAAGGAAAAGGCTTACCCTTTGAGTTCCTCTTGCTTCAAGACATCCTCCACATTTTCGCCGCGGACTGCAATGCTGTGGTATTTCTAGCACATAGGTTAGTATATACCATAGTGAGGAGAAAAGATAATCTCACCTTGTACTCCTCCACAGCAGTGTTCCAAGAGCGCAACAAGGCGCCATCGTCCCAAGCGTCCTCGTCCCCCAGATCAATGCTCGCCTGCATGTTGCCTGTTCAGTCGCCGCTGGTAAGAACCGATTCAAGGCGAAGTTCCCAGTAGCAGAACTGGATCGACCACGCCTCTGCAAAAGCCTGGCGAAAATATTAACTTGATCAAGTCTTGTAAAGGTGACTTGACGAGAGCTCGAAGGTCGCGGGCAGCCTCTCGCAGTTGATAGAGCTCGGCGCCATCTCGGTCAGATCGCTAGCGCACGTTCGCAGGGTCGCAAGAAAAAGTTGCCCGAAGATGCATCGCGACAAGAAGCCCAGCAGCAACATCACATTTCACAATGGCGCCCGAGACCAAGAACAAGAAGCGCAAGAGTATGATGCCAATTGCACGTCTTCTTGAACTTTGCTAACTTTCCCCTTAAAAGGCGGTGTGACCGCGTCCTCGCCCTCGACCAAGAAGCTCAAGAAGGCCGAGGCGCCCGTCGCTGAGGAGGCGCCCGCTCCCGTTAAGTCTACGAAGAAGTCCAAGGCTGCTGCACCGAAGGCCGAGGCCGAACCCGCTGTCTCTGCGGCTGCCAAGTCCAAGTCTTCGCGCAAGCGCGCGTCGGACTTTTTCCCTACCGAGGAGGAAGAGACGCCCGCGGTTGAGACCAAGAGCAAGAAGGCGAAGAAGGCTGCCGATGCTGAGGAGGCTACGCCCGTGAAGGCGACCAAGGAGAAGAAGAGCAAGAAGGCCAAGGTTGAGAAGGAGCCTACTCCGGTTGAGGAGGACGAAGAGGAGCTTGTTGCCGAAGAGGCCGAAGACAACAGCGACGACGACGACGACGACGAGGATGACCAAACCGCGGCGCTGCTGAAGGGTTTCGAGAGCGATGAGGACGAGAACGAGGGCGAGGAGGAAGAAGGCGGAGTCGAGATGGACAAGATTCCCACGTTGCCGAACGAGAAGAAGCTGCGCAAGAAGCTGAACAAGGCTTCGGGCGAGGACAAGTCTGGCCCCGGTGTGGTCTACGTCGGGTATGTCCACAGCATCTCCATTTCATGCTTCTCACGAATCTCCACTAACCATTGGCCCACTTTATAGCCGCATTCCCCACGGTTTCTACGAGCACCAGATGCGCGCGTACTTCTCTCAGTTCGGCAACATCACACGTCTGCGGCTGTCGCGCAACAAGAAGACCGGACGCAGCAAGCACTACGCGTTCGTCGAGTTCGAGCACGCGTCGGTAGCCGACATTGTCGCCGAGACGATGGACAAGTACCTGATGTTCGGGCACATTCTGCAGGTGCGGCAGATCCCCGCCGAGCAGGTGCACGAGAAGCTCTTCAAGGGCGCGAACAAGCGCTTCAAGCCGGCGCCGCGCAACAAGATGGAGGGCCGCCGCCTGCGCCTCGCGCTCGACCGCGACGGCTGGGACAAGCGCGTCACGCGCGAGAGCGAGCGCCGCAAGAAGAAGGAGGAGAAGCTGCGCGAGCTGGGCTACGAGTTTGAGGCGCCGGCGCTGAAGAGCGCGAGCACGGTCCCTACCAAGGATAAGGCGCTGCCTGCCCCCGCTGAGGAGGAGAAGCCCAAGGCTATTAAGCAGAAGGCGCACAAGGAGACGAGCGACGAGGTTACGGATGTCGTTGTGCAGAAGGAGCCGGATGCGGTCACAGTCACGGAGAAGACGACGAAGAAGCCCAAGAGGAAGAGCAACGGCGCCGTCGAGACGGAGAAGGAGGTCAAGGTCACCAAGGCGAAGAAGGAGACCGCGAAGCCCGCCGCAAAGGCTGCTGCCAAGCCCGCTGCGAAGAAGGCGAAGAAGGCCAAGGCGTAAGCGCCGTGCGGTGCTGTAAACTCCATCTCAGTTTTTCTTGGGTAGTCACGGGCTTGTTGTTAGCAAAAAGGAGTTACGGAGACGAGGCTTGGTCGATTTGGTCCTGTCCACTTTTACTACGTAGCTTGCGGTCTTGAATATGCTCAGACCTACAGCAAGCACCAAATTTTGACCGGTCAGATCGAATCAAGCAGTCGTAAAATACCTAGGGTTTCTGCACAAAATCACATCTTAACTCCAGTGCCGTATAGTTGCTCGAATCACGTTTGGAGCTATGACGCCCTTCCTCGTCAAACGAGGCCTATGGAATGCTCTTTGTGGCTACAAGCCTGAATCCTGAATATAGGTGACGAGGCTTGAGAACGCTCACAACCTATGAATATTTTAGTTCGGTTCGGTTCTCACCCCGTACTCGAGCATAAGCGTGGTTGTATCGTTAGACGGTGAATCTCGGTTGAGGGTGACGGACGTTCGTTGATCAGATCGCCTCAGATCTCATCTGGAGCTGCATGCCAATCGCACATTGGCCATAGAGCAACGACTACAAGAAGATCATATCTGAAGCAACGTCAATACTCGTTTATTAAACTCTTCACCGGATCAAGGGATACAGAAAATGTCATACATCCGAATTGATTGCAATGGGCATAATTACCCGAAATTACTGTATATAGTTGGAAGATTAACGAGATGACTTTATCACCCCTTAAAGCTGCTGTATTCATAAATCAATTACGTCTTAGGTCTCTCTTTTCTCATGAATAGCAAGTAGCATCCGAGCTTTGAGGGAATAGAATTTCAATAGATTAAGAATTCTCCCCTGGCTGCCAGCCGGCTGGCTCCTTCTCATACTGCAACCTCATCAACGTCATGCAACTACCATCAGCTCGTCATGGAAATCTCTCCACCCTTAGGTGAGAGGCAACACCAGGCGCCCTGGAAAAAAAACACCAGCCATATCTCGTGAAGAGAGTGACGCCACAGCGAAGCACTCATTTGACAATCAACGCGGCGCTAGGCACCATGCCCGCCTCCTTCAGAGTCTGACCAAAGTCCGTCTGGTCAAACACCTTTCTGGGGAAGTTCTGCGTGAAGCTCGTGACCTGCGTACCATTTTCCTGCGCCAGCTGGTGTGCCAGCTCGAAAAGCGTCGTCTCGACCGGCAGCGTCTTCTGCACCGTGCCGTTGGGTGTCTGCAGCCGCAGCCTCGCTTCAGTGTACTCGCTCGCTGGCTTCGAGGTCGTAGGGCCGGAGGATGTGGGCATTGCGGCGGGCTGATGCACGGGCGGCGCTTGGCCGGCGCGGGCGGCCTTCTCGCGCTCGGCCTTGAGGCGTCGCGCTTCCTTCTGCTCTTCAATCTTGGCTTGCACGCGCTTACGCGCTTCAATTTCTTCTTGCTTCTCGCGGCGCTTGGCTTGAGCTTCCTTGATGCGCTCCTTGGCTTGAAGAGCTTCCTTTGCGTCCTGGGACTCCTTGGTGGCTTTGCGGCGGATTTCCTATATCCTCAATCAGCTTCTAGAAAGCGTGGTGAAAAACATATAATGTTCGTGAGGTGTACTCACCTCGTTCTGCTTCTTGTCGAGCTTGTCTTGGTCAGACTGTCCAGCGCGCTTGGCAGCGAGCTTCTCCTTGAGTGCCGCTAGCTTGGCTGCCTTCTCCTCTTCGGTGAGAGGCTTGATCTCTTCCGTAGACTCTTCGAAGTCGGTGTGTTCACTGGGGTTGGAAGCAACTTCATCAGCATGCACGTGGGGAAATGTGGTGTGGTTGACTCACGTCTTGCTAGCATGCCACTCGGCCTGAGCGGTGCCTCTGAACAGCTTGCCACACTCATTGCACCTGAGGCTTCGCGCTTCAGCAGCATCAGCCGGGGGCATCTGGTCACCGGCAGCGTCTTCAACCTTGATGTCATCGAGAGACTTGTCTTGATTCTTCTCCAGCCAGTCTATGGCGTTCTGGACTGCGGAGATGTTAGTACCTGTATGTTAAGGCAAACGGCGGACGGAACGCACGCGAGCCGGACTTTTTGAGAGCGATGTTGGCGCGCTCCTGGTCGAAGCCCATGTCGACCAGCATGTTAAGGTCGGAGGAGGCCATGGTCGTGGTTGTCGGTGGTAGGTGGTCGAGTAACAGAGAGCTACGTGGGTAGGTGTTAGAGCTGTGGCTACTCCGCGGCGGCGCGGGACGGGTAGTACTTGGGCATACGTCAGTGCGGTTGTGCAGCCCTGGACCTAGGCCGGTCGGAGGTGGGAGCGCTAACTAGCCGCTTTCCCCGTGTGTGAAGCAACAACTTGTAGTTACCCACGACAGACAAGCCTCCACGTTCAAAACAAACCGTCCTCGTTTTTCTACCCTCGACGACCTCCCTTCTCCTCGCACAACTTTCTTCAACGCTTGTCGCAACACAACCCTGCCGCCATCTAAACGTTTGCGACTCGACACACCCTTTGCTGCAACCGACCGAGCCCCTGCCGACAAGCGCGTACATTCGTCATCGTCATGTCTGTCGAACTGACGCCCCCAGAGCTGGGCTTCAAGCGTATGCCGCTAGCCTTTCCCGGTCCCGGACGCAATGCAGTCTCTAATGATACACAACAGGCCCCTTCACCACCGAGGTCAACCAGACATTGCGCCTGCGCAACCCTCACAGCGACCCTGTGGCGTTCAAGGTACGTGCTCGACTTTCTTGGTTGATCAGTCGCAGTAATAGCTGACGTTTGATTCAGGTCAAAACCACCGCCCCCAAGCAGTATGCCGCACCATCCGCTCGCTCGTAAGGACACATACTCACATTCGCTCCCAGGTACTGCGTGAGGCCGAACTCTGGACGCATCGAAGCAGGGAAGGAGGTGGAGGTACAAGGTTGGCACCCTACCGTCCGGCTGTCGATAGTATTGGTCTGACATGTTTACAGTCCTTCTCCAGGCCATGAAGGAGGACCCTCCGCCGGATGCCAGGTGCCGCGACAAGTTCCTCGTCCAGTCCGTGGCCGTGACGGCTGACAAGGAATTCAACAACGTCGCTCAAATCGTATGATTTAAACCCAGCAAACGGCTAGAGGCGGGTAAACTAACGGCTGTATAGTGGAGCCACATTGAACAGACCGCCAAGCACTCAATTCAGGAAAAGAAAATTCGCGTCGTCTTCCTTCCCGCGGATGATAGCACGGGCATCAACGGCGGTTCTCCGACTCAAGACCTCTCCTCCTCCCAGCAGCGCTCGCCTTCCCCTGAGGCCGTGACTCCTCAGCGCGGCTCCACCTCCGAGCCCGTCGGAGCCGTGTCTAGACCCGAACAACGTCCGGCGGACAGCAGGCACCTCGGCGAGGCGCTGGGATCCGCGTTCAACCCAGCCACCGGCCAATCCACCATGTCTTCCATGGCCTCGAGCGTTGCTAACGCCATACCCACTTCCGGTGATGACGTCAAGGCACAGCTTGCGGAGGCAAAGGCGACCATTGCGAGGTTGCAGGATCAGGCGGGCCAGGGCCTGAGGCAGCGCAAGGGTGATGTGAGCCGGGGTGCGAACGAGAAGGTTTCGGCTGGTGGTATGGCGCAGCAGGCGCCGGCTGGCGGCGTACCTGTCCAGATTGTTGCCGGACTTTGCCTGTTCAGCTTCCTGCTGGCCTACTTCTTCTTTTAAACGTTGCAGCCGCATGGGCAGGTTGCACGCTTGGTCGCAACGCGCCAATGGGCCACATGGCTAGGATTGAGCGTCGTTGGACCGATGATACCGGCTTTTAGGAGGGACGTTGCGTGGTGTTGTGATTTCTTAGCGTGAAGGCGTCGGAGCGAGACCTCGTGCCTCGCTTGCACCATTTTTCTGCTTGCATGCATTCACTTCTTCATTTGCTTTTTAGGTGTCGGCGGCTTGCTGGGGAGAATTGGTGCTGGAGCATTTCTGCGCTGCCAAGCAAAAGGGTTATCATTGGGTGTCAAAACAATCGACTGATGGTTCGTCCTCTCCACCGCGGTGACCGTTGTAGGAACAAACATCAAAAGGTGACCGCATTCATCCAGTCATAGCGCCCTTAATTCGACACTCCGCCTAGGGCGCGGCCACCCGTCGGTCCGTGTGCGGCGAGACCGGGGCGGGCATTGCGCTCTGGCTCCGCTAGCGCGGGGCAAGTTGACTCAAAAAGTCTCCCGGCGAAAGACCAATACACGTATTTCAACACTCCCGCCGCCGCCCTCTCTTATCTCCCTCGACGATTCCCGTAAAACCCTCCTCTCCTCCTCCCTCTCTCCCTCACTTGTTCGTGTGTCACCGTCGCCAACATGTGTGGTATCTTCGCTTGCCATTGGTATGTCTGCTCGCCCGCCGATTCGCCTTGAGCCGCCTCAAGCCGCGATCGTCATAAATTTTGAAGACCAAGTTGCTGACGCGCTGTACAGCCATCCCGATGTCCAAAAGTTCAAGCCTACCGCCCTGAAAATGGGCAAGGCGTACGTGTTCCCTCAATTGGCCTCTCCGGATACCTGTTAACTGTACAGCGCGCAGTGTCCGACATCGGGGCCCTGACTGGAGTGAGTCCGCCCTGTCTTCATATTTGCGTGGAACGACGCTGAGCAGTTCTAGGTGGCAACTTCATTGCCAACAACACCATCCTGGTCCACGAGCGTCTCTCCATCGTTGGTGTCGACTCCGGCGCGCAGCCTCTCGTCAACGATGAGGGCACCATCTCCCTCGCCGTCAACGGCGAAATCTACAACCACAGGGTGCTGAGGAAACAGCTGAAGACGCCCTACAACTTCAAGACCCACTCTGACTGCGAGGTCATTATTCCTTTGGTATGCGTTCCGACCCGGTAGTTCTGGCGCATGCTAACACAAGGCAGTACATGGAGCACGACATCGATGCGCCGAGGTATCTGGACGGCATGTTCTCCTGGGTCCTTCACGACAAGGTCCAGGACCGTGTGATCGCGGCGCGCGACCCAATCGGTGTCACCACCTTCTACATGGGCAGGTCGAGCTCGACTCCCGGTGCTGTCTACTTCGCCTCCGAGCTTAAGTGCTTGCACCCCGTTTGCGACAGCATCGTCGCCTTCCCCCCTGGTCACGTTTTCGACTCCAAGACCGACAAGATCACCCGCTACTTCGATCCTCAGTGGATCACCCAGCCCAGCAACATCCCCAGCACACCCCTTGACCTCAAGGCGATAAGGCATGCGCTGGAGAAGTCGGTCAGGAAGAGGCTGATGGCGGAGGTTCCTTTCGGTGTCCTTCTGTCTGGTGGTCTGGACTCTAGCTTGACGGCTTCTATTGCCCAGAGGGAAATCCAGAAGATCAACGAGCAGGCTCGCCAGAACAAGAGCAAGGGCCACACGGAGGAGCTGGTTGGTATCGATGACGAGGACCACCTGTCCACCGTCCAGATGCTCCCCGAGCTTCACTCTTTCTCGATCGGCCTGCCCGGCGCCCCTGACTCCAAGGCTGCCCTGGAGGTCGCTGAGATGCTTGGCACGAGGCACCACAGCTTCGAGTTCACGCTCGAGGACGGTCTTAACGCTCTTTCCGACGTTATCTTCCACCTCGAAACCTACGATGTTACCACCATCCGAGCTTCCACTCCTATGTTCTTGCTCAGCAGGAAGATCAAGGCGATGGGTGTCAAGATGGTGTTGTCTGGAGAGGGCTCCGATGAGATCTTCGGTGGTTACCTCTACTTCCACAACGCGCCGGACAAGAAGGCGTTCCACGAGGAGACGGTCCGCCGTGTCCAGAACCTGCACCTGGCTGACTGCCTGCGCGCCAACAAGTCTACCTCGGCATGGGGTGTCGAGGCGCGTGTGCCCTTCCTGGACAAGGAGTTCCTGGAGCTGTGCATGAACATCGACCCGCAGGAGAAGATGATCACCAAGGACCGCATTGAGAAGTACATTCTCCGCAAGGCGTTCGACACGTCGGATGAGCCGGACGTCGAGCCGTACCTTCCGGAGAAGATTCTGTGGAGGCAGAAGGAGCAGTTCAGCGACGGCGTCGGCTACGGCTGGATCGACGCCCTCAAGGACAACGCCGAGCTGCACGTGTCGGACGAGGACATGAAGAACCCTAAGCCTGAGTGGGGCGACGATATCCCGGACACCAAGGAGGCGTATTGGTACCGCTGCATGTTCGACGAGCACTTCCCGCCTTTCTGCGCTAGCACTGTCATGCGCTGGACGCCTACTTGGTCGAAGCAGACCGACCCCAGTGGACGGTAAGCACCTCCTAGTTTTTATTTTTGTGTTATGCATTTACTGACGGTTTTGATAGTGCCATCTCGGTCCACGACCAGGCGTACAAGGAGAAGGCGGCGGCAGGCAACTAAAAAGGGAAAGTTGGTCTTGTGATATCTAGTGTATATTTTTCCGCATCTTTCGATAGCTTATCGGCTCAAAAACTGCTATGATTGGATTTTGTACGCATAGATGCGACATGGTCTTTGATTTTGGGTAGATGGGAAAAAAAGCAATGGTGTTGGTCGTGCGGATACTCTTCTCTGCTCTGTGTGGTGAGTTTAATGTGAGTGTTGAAACATTTAAGTCTGTAGTACTATGAGCATTGAGAGATTATTATCTTGTCATCCCATCCTACCGTGGTCTGACGACTGATGGTACCGGTAACGGAAAGATTTGCCTATACCATTGCAACTCGATTGACCTGCCTCGGGATATATAAACAGCAACACCAGCCAGTAAGAATACCTCTCACTAGCAGTCAGATTCTGCATATTTTGCCCACAGCGACACACACATTCTCACTATTACGCTATTAGACTACGGACCCCGCCCACACAAACACCATCCACAACAAGTCAAACACACCTGCCAGCCAAATACCCGAATTTAGCAGCCGCCGCTTCCTACTCCTGCAGCAGTGGAGGTGCGCACCAGCATCGCGTGGAAATGATATCGTTCACGCAAACTGGGGGTTGGGCACATGTGGCTGTGCTGCTTGGTGCTAGTGAGCAGCGTTGGGATATGGGTAGGTGTGTGGGTTTGTGGTGGAGGAGGGGCTTGGGTTTGGGTGGTGTTTGTGCTGGAAGGGAAAGAGGGGCGGCACCGTGGACTGTGCTGCTGCATACGCGCTGCTGAAAAATGCCGCTGCCGCTGGTGAGGGTGCTGGTGCTGCTGGCGCTGGTACTGCTGGGGTGGGGTTGCTGGAGAGGAGGACGGGGTTTATATGTGCTTGGAGTCGGCTGGGTGGTTGTGGTTGTGGTGGTGAGCTGATGGGTTTGTTTGAGCTTCTGTATCTTGGTGTTGAGTATAGGTATTGGAAAGGTGGTGAATAGAGGTGCTTGAGTGATCATCCGTCTGGAAATGAACTGCTAAAGAGAAGGATAGGGTTTGAGTTACACGAAACCGCTATTGAAATATGTGATAGAGGAGCATGTGACTAGAACGACGCCTTCTCTTCCTTCAAAACAAAAGATTCTTTTGACGACAGAAGCAAACTACAGACGGGTTTGACTATGAGATGAGCTTTGCAAAAGGACCTCGCATCTCGGGACAATGCGTTGGCGGATCATCAGAAGCGCACGGACACATGGCCTAATCGGGTAATTTCTCGGATCAGCTTCAACATCGAACGTAGAGGCACTTTTGGAACAGACCGTCTCTGGACAAGGTTTGTATGGCGTTAAAGGTCGACACCACCACTTGCGCCACAAAACCCCTATGTAATTTACTCAAATTCGCGCATTCGCTGGCCACTACCTGTCCGCAGAACCTCCCCAAGGCATTTTCTTACAAGAGGCCTGGTTGTGGAGTTATTGCGTCCGGGAGTGAAAAGCACTTGGGGGCTGCGTTGTTGCGCAGATGGCGATGCGGCTCACCGTACGGAGCGTATCAATGAGGTTCCGGCCGGTGCGGCAGCGATCATCGATGATTGATTGGCCGGGGCAATCGCGATCAAGACCGTCCCAACTCCAATGCTGATCTCTCGACCGGCAGACCAGTTGTTTGACCGGCTGCCTCCTGAAAAGACGCGCCAACAGACGAGACAGCTGCCATGTCCCCTGAATGCAGACAGCCGATGATGACATTGGCGTCGTACGCTCGGGTGCGAGAGGCCCGTGCCACGTCGGCGCAGCAAACACTTGGAAGGCGGAGGCTCTTTCCAACGGTCTCGCTCCTCCAACAGCAGAAGGCCCCCACTCTTTCCTCGAGTCCAGAGGGCGCGTGCTGCTCTTTGCACACGACGGCCTAGGTTTCAAGCGGCTCCACGAAGAGCTCCGTTACAGGCCGTTCGACTGGCGTCAGCCTCGCCCAGCCTCACGAATAAATCAAGAAACCCACTGCGCTGTCACCAGCCATCCGGCCGGCTAGTCTGAAATACCCGCAGTTGCTAACCGCACCAGGCATCCTCTCTTGTAGATACCTACCCCAGTTTCCAATCCAAAATATTATTATCACTTTCCTATCGTTCTCTCTTTCCTCGTTGTCGTCGTTGTCGCCGCCGTCGCGATATTTACACACGGTCGTTCCCGAATACCGCATCGTCCCACTTCTACCTCATCGATGCGCAACCAACTCCTTTCTCTCCCCTCCTCCCTCCTGGCCCTGATCTGCGCCTCGCATATCGCTATCGCCGACCGACCGTGGCCATACAATCTACAACCGCACGAGAAATACTGGCCGGAACACGAGGAGCACATCAAGCGCGATGCCCAAATCCAGAAACGGATGGCGTGGCAGCCGCCGGCGGGAGTGCAAAAGATGAGCGACGACCCAGGAGAGAAATTTTACATGGATTACTGGCAGTTTGAGGCGGCAATGGAAGAGGAGGAAGAGAATTCTCTACGGAAACGAGGTGTGGAGGTCAACGACTTGGACGAGCAATACGCAAACGCGACGATGCCAGAAAGCCTCCTCCCACCATTATTATTGCATACAGACACGCAGACCCCGCACTTAGGCCTCCTGAGATTCTTCGAGCGCGATCTGCTGAAGCGGGGTTTCCAGTGCCCCACCGGCACGAACAGTTGTTCCAGCATTGGCCGACCGAACAGCTGCTGCGGCAGCGGGGAGTCATGTGTGCTCATCGACGATAGCGGATTGGGCGACGTGGGATGTTGCCCAACTGGTGATACTTGTTCTGGCTCTGTTACGTCGTGCGATACCAGCGCGGGCTATAGCAGCTGTCCGGAAAGCGACAATGGAGGCTGCTGTATTCCAGGCTATGTTTGCCATGACGTCGGATGTAAGCGCCCCAAAATCGACACCAAAGGGTCATAGTTGGCGGTTATCATGCGAAGAATACCTTGACTAATTCTCGACAGGCATTGCGAGTTCGACATTAACCACGACTACAACTCTGCCAGCGGCAACAGGGAAGAGCGGCAGCAATTCTGCGTCGCACAACAGCGCAGGTGGATCTGGCGCAGGAGGCGCTAGTGGAACCACCAAAGGTCATTCAGGCACGGCGAGGTTAACATCGACAACGGAGGTCACTACAACGACGACTGATGTAGAATGTTCGTCCTCCTGCTCTAAGGACCGTTCGAAGACCGCTTCCCAAAGCACTACTGAAGGCCCTTCTCAAACCCTCACTCAACAGCCTTCTCAGGGCCAGATGTCCTGCAGCACGGGTTTCAAGAGCTGCCCCGCGAGCTTGGGCGGAGGCTGCTGTGCGACAGACCGCGAATGCGGCTCTGCTGAATGCCCTGCATCCACCACCACCAAAGGCTCTGGCAGCGCTGTAGCACCCGTTCGGCCTACTGGGGCGACTGGTTCGTTGATCACATCTGGACCAGGCGCGACGAGCATAGAAGGCTGTCCGACGGGTTTCTACATGTGCTCTGCCTACTACAGAGGCGGTTGCTGTCGTGTGGACCGTGACTGCCACTCGACCTCGTGCCCGGCCGCGCCTACGAACACGGTACTTACTAGCAACGGCGTGACGATAGTTGCACCGTCGGGGGCGAGTTTCGCCGCTGAGAGCGGCAGCTGTGCGACAGGATGGTTTAGCTGCCCAGCAAACCAGGGCGGAGGCTGCTGTCCGACGGGGTATGGGTGTGGAAGCAGCTGCACGAGGACAACTGGGCCTGCGTCGGCGTCAGGAAGCGCAGTCGACAAGAAGGCGCCGAGCACGGCGTCACTCAACATGGAGTTTATGGGCTGGTTGATGGCGGTGGCGGCATTAGTGTCAGGGACGGGGATGATGTTGCTATAGAGCATTACGACGGATGTACGAATAACGCGAGACGAAGGTCATGAGCATAACCAGCCGCAGATCTTGGGAGTTTAATATGATAGAGGCTTGATGATTAACCGAGGAGTCTCCCATTAGCACGAAGAAGGTTTGCTGTTCCTTGGCTAGGCTGATGCGGCTTCCCGGGGCCATGTTGCATGACGGGCGATGATGTTGGTGGTGTCACGATTGGTTGAGTAGGCCGACCGCAGGAGATGACGAGGGGAGATAATTCTACTCTTTTACATGTCTGTATGTGCGAGGAGCTTGCAGAGTCTCGCGACAGTGAGCTGACCCGGGCTCGCATCTTTCACGTGCGGGCTGAAACGGCGTGCGTGGTGGAGGGCTCAGTGTAGATCTGTGGAGAGTTCTGACCAATAAAGTACGCGCAAACGCCCCCACATCATCGTTCCCGCCGGCCGCCAAACGTCAATCACCACGACCTGTGGCCCATCTGACGCCTTTTGTGAGCCAACCACACTGCGTCTAACTCCAACATCCCAGCGAGCAACCTCCCCCGTCGTGACCGGTCGCCACAAGCCAACACCGCAACCCCGCAAGAGCACTGCAATCCCCGCGTTCTGCTGCAGCTTCACGACTGCTTCATCTGCCAATTCACTCCCGCCGGAGCCTGAATCCCCCGCGTCCTGCTCCTCGACGACCTCGACGGCTGGGCGCAAGCGTCTTGATGGAGCTTCTCTGGCTGCTGGCCTCATCGCGATTGCCTTGAAGACCCAGACGGTCTTCAACAGCTAGCGATAGCCAGCATGCCTCTGCCGCAAGACGACGCTCAGCGTCGCGTCGCCACCACGACTGCTACTGCTACTGCCCAACAACCCATGTCCCAGGCTCTGCTCATGAGCCACCAGTACAAGCGATGGTGCAAGAAATACAGGACGGAGATTGCGGCTAGCTCGAGCAGTCTGCTGTCCACCATTACGGCTGTGAGTGGCTTATATGGCGGGGTTGGCGCTGGCAGGGCAAGACACTGACGTCGTGACGTGAACAGTACCCCTTGGACTCGGTGAAGACGCGCATGCAAACGTACGCTTCTCATTTTTTCGATTGCTCGACGATTGGTGCTAATGTTTTTTACCCAGTTACCCTACGCGATTCACGGGCTTCGTCGACTGCGTCAAGGTCACATATGCAACTGAAGGTGCAAAGGGTTTTTGGCGCGGTAAGTATCCCTAGCTGCATTTCCGTCTTGTCGTCGCTTGTAAAGCTCATACATCTAATGCGAATTGCCAGGCGTCCTCTCTCCACTCGCAAGCATCACATTTGTCCGAACCGTGTCATTTTCCGTGTACCAACGCGCCAAATATACCTACGATGACTGGATACGCAAAGGCTTTGGATACTCGCCACTTGATATTGCCAATGCTCCAGGAGCAAAACCTAACCTCATTACCATGAGCTGTTTCGGCGCGGCGGGCGCCACGGCGGGAGCAGTCATAACGTTTATTGCATGTAAGCAATGGTCAGCAAAAACACAATGATGAACAATATGATAACGAATAGTACAACAGGTCCATTCGAATTGACCAAAATCAGCGCTCAGATTTCAGAATTAGTCCCCAAGAGCGGCGGCAAACCCAATGCCATCGCACAGAGCTATTCCAACCTCGGCACCATTAAGACAGCACGGAACGTGATCAGGCTTAGAGGCATCGGCGGATTGTACTCTGGGTGGCATTACCACTTGCGTAAGTGGTGCTATCGATGATCGGGCGGACGGAGCTGTTGTCCGCCCACAGGCTACCCGGAAAAGACAGGCGCTGACCGCAATTGCAGTACGCGACACCATCGGCACCGGCATATACTTCACGACCTACGAGAGCGCGAAGCAGCTGCTTTCCAACACGCGCGAGAAGTCGCCCACGTCGCCGATGGCGGTCGTCGTGGCAGGCGGTCTTTGCGGCCTCGTCAGCTGGGCCTGCATCTACCCTATTGACACGGCCAAGAGCCTCTACCAACGCAACTGTTTCACCAGCGAGAAGAAGAACACGCACAAGCCGAAGATTCAATTTTTCAATTTGCTTATGTACAGAGGTAGGCCAGCGCTGCGTGCTTTCGTTCCATGAACAAAAGGCTCTGTCAATAATGACGACGCCATTTGTTTACCTGTTTGTTTGCTTATCTGACCGCTGACGACACGCTTCCACCGCAGGTCTCCTAGTCTCCATGAGCCGCTCCTGCACCGTCAACGCCGTCTTTTTCTCGGCTTTTGAGTACATGAAGAAACGCGTCAACCGGCTGCAATACGACGAGGAGCTGCTCAAGGCCAACGGGCTGTAGAAACTTAACAACAAACAACAAACAACAACCATCACCACAACCGCGAAACCAATCACACAAACTTACATTAGGGCATCAGGTGCGGCAATCAGCCGGCATGGTGCTCACACGCAGGGAGGTACAAGAGAGGGCAGACGTGAAGGGTGTGTACATGTGTGTGTGCGTGTGTGCATGGCGCCTTCGTTTCGAACTTACCCACTCACTCGCTCGCTCACTCGCTCCTCTCCTCCCTCTTTCCTTGCGACGGTGGTGGTGGTGGTGGTGGTGGGGTATAGCGTCTTGAAAGGTATTTTAGCTATTTCTTGACTGGATGACGAATGGGTCTCGTCGGTTGATTAAACGAACGAACGAAAGGAACCAACCAGCAAACAAAACAAACACATACATTCATGCATTCATGCATGTGTGCAGCGCAACGCAATGCATGCAAACAATGCAAACAAGGACGGACGGATGGATAAATGGATGGGTGGGCGGGAGGAACGGTGCCGGAGTCTGAGCCGGAGCTTGTGCTTCCATGGTTTCGTGTAGGTATACATCGCCGAGCGTGGTTAGTTAATTAGCGAAACGCGCAATGAGACGGCTTTTATGTTTATGGAGAAGTTGTGTTGCTGCGTGGTGTGAGTGAGTGGTGTGCTGTGCTGCGTGTTTGGTATGTGTTGACTTATGCCATGGTGCTTGCACGATTGCCTTGACTGCTTTCTCAATGATAATTAAGAACATGGTTTAACCCCTCTTGCTACTATACTACGAACTACTACTCTTACTACGGGAACTAGCTCAGCGGTATCAAATAATCGAAGCCACATATAGTCCTAGCATGTATATATTTATCTCGCTAATATAGCTACCTTGTTGCCTACCTTCCTATCTGCCTGCCTATCTATCAATCTAACTGTCTGCCTACCTATCTACCTATCTATCAATCTGTCTGTCTGTTTAGTTAGCTGCCTACGTATCGACCTAGCTATTCATACTTTATAGATTCCCTTATTGTCGATTACCTATTTGGCTGGCGGTAGCGGTAGCGGCAGCAGAGAGGTAGGTAGGTAGATAAGTAGGTGTTTATTTATTTATTTATTTATTTATGTATTTATCTGCTTGGATGGATGGATGGATGGATGGATGGTTAGGCTGTGTGCGCTTGCTTAGTTAGTTAATTAGTTACTTGATTAGTTGCTTACTTGCTTAGTTAGCTAATACAGATATCCTCCTACTAGGCTCTAGTGCTGGTGGTAGTAGTATTAATAGTAGTGTTAGTGATGATGTTGATAGGTGGGTAGGCTGGGTATGTAGAGGAGTGCTTGTAATCTTAGTAGTAAGCGAGACACGTGCTCAGTTGCCTGTTTGGGCTGGAGGCTGTGGGCTGTGCGGGGTTTTGTGCTGGTGTGGGTGTGTGTGGGTGTGGGGAGGCGTAGTAGGGGCGTGGAGACGGATGGGGTGGGTGTGTGGTTTGCTTTTGCTTTTTGCTTTTTCTGTGCTGTGTGCGTGTAGGTGCTAGAAATAGTAGGGTAGGGTAAAGCAGGGTAGGGTGCGGGAACGCGATGCGTATGCGTGCTTGTCAGGAGCGCGGCGGGGCGGTACAGCATCTCCCGTCCATGCTGAGCCGTCCTGCTGTATCGTGGTGTTTGCTCATCTGTTCTTCTCCGCTGCGTACCTACCTACCTCCATCTTCACCATCCTCACCACCCACCACCTTCACCACCACACACTCCCAACCAGACAGCATAACCACCCCACCTCACCCCACTCCACCCCATCCCACACCCTCTGACTCCTCCCTCCCCCGCCCTACCTACCTACCACATACCTAGCGCCTCTCACCACGCCAACGCCCAACCACCCACAGCACCACCACCACCACCACCACCACCGCAGGCCACAGGTCACAAGACCCAGCCAGGCAGGCAGGCACAGCGTGCTCGCGCGCTCTTATCAAGCGCGGCGTCTAGGCGGAGCCCGGCTGCTTCCTAGTGCCAGGTGCGTGCGTGGAGTGTGGCGGCTATCGAGGTCGGGGCGGGTCGTGGTGGGATTTGGGTTTTGGCTTGGGGAGGGGGCCCGTGGGCGTGTGTGTGTGTGTGTGTGTGTGTGTGTGTGTGTGTGTGTGTGTGTGAGGGAGGCACCAGAGGCACTGGGGCTGGCCTGTCCTCGTGGGTCTGCGGGTCTGCTCTTTGAGGCGTGTGGTTTTTGGCTCCTGCTGCTGCTGCTGCTGTGCTTGTTTTACCTGTTTGGTTGTTTGCCCGTCTGCTGTCCGTCCTTCTTTCTCTTGTGCTCCTCCCAGCTCCCTTTGCGAGTGCAGTACAGTGCAGTGCAATGCAATGTGTGCAAAGCGCAGATGAACGGGCGGATAGATGGCCGGTCGACGAACCTAGGTAGCGAGCTCACGTTGCATCGCCACTCACTCGCTCACTCGCACTACTGTCGACGACAAAGCAAGTCGCAAGCAAGCAAATCGTGGCAAGCTCGCTCGGAATCGGGGTGAGATAAGCGCGACCACGACCACCACGCGGCCGTGCGGCGGCGGCGGCGGCGGCGGCGCGTTGATCGGTGCAAGGTGGGCGGGCGGGCTATTAGTAGCTCGCAACGTTGCGGAGGCAAGATTGGGGCGTGGGATGGATGTCGGCGGATTATTTAGACGGGGAAGTCCAGTGCTGGCCGGAGAAGGAGTCATTGCTGTAGGACAGGCGTGTGGAGCCGATGTCGGGCGTTGGCTTGCTGCGTGGTTGTGTGATGGATGCTTATGCGTGCTGGGTGGTGCAGCGAGAAAGCTGAAACCGAGGGCTTTCAACAATCAGCGGCGGTGAAAAAGGCGCCGCTGGACCCTGCATGAGGGGCAGGGACAACAGGGTGTCAGGGCAGCGAATCATGAGCGTGATAACTAGCGACCACGTCGAGCTTTGGATGCACGCGCTGCTTTTGCTGCTAGGTCCCGGCAATTAAATGTGTGCAGCCAGCCATTCATGGAGGTATGTGTACGAGTAGGAAGGAATCTCAGCTCCGGGGCCAGAGATAGGCCCGACGCCCCGCGAGGGAAAAAGAAAAAGAAGGAAAAAAAGGCGTACCGCAAACGAGCTGGCTGGCAGCTGCTATCGTGATTGCATGCCTGCTCGACTGATTACCTAGAGAGGCACGCGAAGAGCACACCGGACCGGTCACGCCAACGCCGCGGCAAATGCGCCGAACAAGGCCAGGGCGGCGATCCGCGTGCTCCGCTACCTCGTGGACCCTGAAAGCGGGCTTCGCTCCCTCTCGCGATCCCTCGCCCACCTAACTAGCTACCACGTCCCACGCTCCCGGTGGCTCCGGCCCCCGTTTGATCTCGCTCGCTAGGTACCTACCACGTCCTGTACCCAGCTGCCGATGACTCGGGCCAGGGGGGCCGTCAGCTTCTGCACACACACACACACACCCTGCAGCCAGTCGCGGGTGCCCGGCTCGCCTGAACAGCGGATGGTGCGCCTGCCTGCCAGCCAGCCAGCCAGCTCAAAGCTACCTAGCAAGGCTGCCCTTTCCCCGAGCTCGCGGGAGCCTGGCCGGCTGCCGGGATGTGGTATTGTATTGTGGCAGAGAGAGAGAGAGTCAGCCTGCCGGCTTTTCACGAGTCGGGATATAAACACTATCTCTGTGGAGACGAGAGGAAGGAAGGGAGAATGGCATGGCATGGCATGGCATGGGTTGCATGGCGTGGGGCTTTTCAGGGTCTGGGCTAAAGCCATAGGCAGATAGCTCGGCAGCGGAACAAAAAACGGTCGGGAGATGTCGACTCTCTAGGTTGCAGGGCTAAGGTACCTAACAAAGGGAAGATCCGGCCGGAAAGCGGGCTGAGGAGATATCGGACGGAACTGGACAGCCTTGAGGCTCTAGACTCGGGGTCACACGAACCACTTGGCGCCTGCGAGATCGCTGCTGGTCAATACGGGGGAGGGCTGGCTTCTTTGAGAATATATATATCCAATCGTCCTGGTCCTGTCGTTTCTTCTTCTTCTTATTCCTTTTCCTCCCTATTCAGTCACGCTCTTTGGCACGGCGTCGAGGCTCCTCCATACCTGCACCGTGAGTCCTTGCCTACCTTACCCATCCCCATCCCCACCGCCCCCGTCTACTCAGCCCTGCCGCGGCGCGCGCTCCTCCTCGTCCTTGGGCGCCTCAATCAGCAACACCGCCGGTCTGACCACCACAGCAGCTCCCAACCAAGCATTCATAAACGGGTCCAACAATCGCTTTACCAACATCCTTAATCCAGCCAATCCAACCCAATCCCAAGGCATCGCACAAAAAAAAAAAAAAAAAAAACCCCACCAAAATGTGCTCCTACACGTACAGCTTCTACTACTGCAACCACGACTACTACATCTGGGCCAACAGCATCGAAGTGTGCCCGAACCGGCTGCTCAGCGGCTACTCGTACGACGCGTGGAGCATCGACATGTGCAAGAACCTGCAGGTCAAGTGCGGCGGCTTCAGCAACTACTACTGCTCCGAGTGCTCCGAGGACGTGTGTCTCGAGTACGAGCTTGACGAGCTCTGAAGGATTGTCACCATCATCTCCATCCATTACCTCCTCCCCCTATTTTTCCTTGTTTTGGTTCTTGATCTGCTGCGTTTTCCCCCCGCGCTGGGCATCATCAAGGTGAGTTGTTCTCCCTTCCCTTCAGCCCAGCCTTCTCCCAGGCCCCCGGCTCTTACCGAGCCCGTGCCGTCCATGGCTAGCCTCTGAAACAATTTGCTGATCATGCCCAGAAGCGGCATCCGCTTATCGGCGCGTTTTAGACCCTGGATTTCTTGGCGTTGAGATGGCCGTTTTTAGCGCCGCACCCCCGGAGTCTGCCGGAGTCTGCCGGAGTAGTAGGAGTTGGACTGACAAAGGACTCCTTTTTGCTCTATCTCTTTGATTTGATTTTTTCTATTTTTATTTTTTTGTTTCTAGGGGAGGCAGGAATGGCCTTTACGCTTTGATGCCCTTGTTTTCTTTGCTTTGAACGTTGTTTTTGGTTTTTTGGCGGCTCGCATGGCTTGCGATTCCTGGTCTCTTTTTCTGCTGCTGCGACGTTTTGAGCGGCTGAGCGCGCGTGTGGTGCATAGAGAGGCGCACTGTTTTCTCCTTTTTCCCTTTTTTATGCTTTCAATTGTCAGATATCCACAGAACTCGCGCTTAGATCTACACACATGTACATATATACAGGCAACAAGGTACATTTCCCAACGATCTACAACCCCTCCCGGGCAATCATTCCGTGAGCCTTTCCAGCTCGCCGGCATCGACCGGACCGTGGATGGGCCCGTGGCCTTGCATGCTGGACTCTACCCGCTTCATTCTCCTGCGCGCGTCCAGGTACATGATAAAGTCTCCATAAGTCTCGGGCATGACCTTGACGTCCTTCTCCACCGTGAAGGTGTAGTTGAACTGCCCGGTGGGCTTCGTCTCGCCGTGCTCAACGTCGCGGACCCTCGAGTCGACCGTCACCTGCACGCGGGTGTACTTGCTCTTGGCCGCTTCCTCGCCGTCGTCCGCGCCAGGCACGATTGGTGGGTCCGTGTAGGCGACTGTGGCCGTCAGGTATAGCACGCTGCCGACTGGCACCGGGTTTTGGAACGTGCTCGGGTCCAGTGACACGAACGTGGGCCGCGCATGTGCGAAAGAGGCGGCGCAGCAGAAGGCCAGCTCGAAGGTCTGCTTCAGTAGGAAGCCACCGAAGATCATGAAGTGATGCCTGTTACGGTATTGTGGCTGCATGATGCTTGCGGTTTCGAGCTTCGTCTTGTGCATCGCATAGACGTTTGATGGCTTCTGCGTGGGATCATTTGGATCTTATAGTCAAGTTAGCTCGAATGTTTCGTGATTGGTGGTCACAAGTGTAGGTGTGCATAGCACCAATCTACACCTCAACCACATATGGATGGTGCCAAGTAATAACTTAAAGGGACGAGGGGAAAGGAAATATTGACGAATATAAGCCATATCAAACATTATCCTTCAGCAAACATATCGGCCTAATTAATAAGCGGCATTGGCTGAAAGAAGATGAAGCATATGACTGTAGGAATTGGGCTCGGTGTATATTGTATCGTTGCCCTACGTGATAGAAAATTAAGCACTTACCATTGTACTTGAGCTGTTGCTGCCACAACGCGTGAATCAGATCGCTCTCAAGATTATCTGGTGTGTGCTTGGTCAAAGATTTTGTCTTCAACTCTTTCCGATGCTTGGAGTTTTCTTCGCCGATTGCAAACAGGCGTTTTTCATCTTCGGTCTCAACAATGACTGGGTTCACGTTTACTGGCCTATTGTAACTTTCAGTGACTGTTTCAGGGGACACACTTTTATCTCCACTAACCTTTTGGTGCCTGGATCAAGCGCCACCATGGTAAAGGTGCAGTTCATGAGGACGTCCTCTTCTTTTACCTTCTCTCCTTCCTTGGGAGCCTTTGCAACTTGCAACGATATCTCCATACTGCTTCGACCAGTAGCATAAGTCACCTGGCCGCTGTACTGGAGATCACAAATCTCCGTAAGTGGGTTGCGGATGACAATCCTGTCACAAGCTGCTGTGACGGTTGTGACTCCATCACCGGTATGCTTGTATGCAATGACACCTGAGAGAGCATCCAGATCCATAAAAAGCGTTCCAAGCCTGCCATATGTCAATCACGTGCATTCGTACAGACAGGGGCTGCATACCGAATGTGGCCAGAAGAGTTTAGATATCTGTCGAGTAACCATGGATCTTGCGCCAGCGGAAGGACCTAACGCACTCTTCGTTGGCATCGCCTCGCCGGCATTAGGGTATTGATCATCCACTAACCACTGAATAGTACGAGTCGGACATTTTCTTGGGTTCCAATCTCCGATCGGCAGGCACCTTAGATTTGTCTGAAGCTTGAGTAGGGTCTTTGCCCTCCCGCTGCTTCTTGCGCAACGCTTCAACCCATGGCGTCTGGACGCGATTCTCTGTCAGCGCGCGAAAGACACCATCGGTTGGTCGACGCGTTGAGATACTGAAGTCGCGGGTTCTTCCGAGACGGGAACCAAGAATGGGCGAGCCACCCTTAAACGGGTTTCCAGAGAGGCGCAATTGCCTTGAGAGAGAGCGTTGTATCGTAGCCATTGCGCTGGGAGATGTTGTTTCAATGCTGCAACCCCCCCGCAAGGAAGCAAGCGAACCAGACAGGCGGGTCCTCGGTCGCTCCCGCTCCGTTTTCTCCCGTACCTGCCTGCCTTATTGCGGGGCATAGCCGAAACTCGGGACCTGTCAACTGTCTTCTCAACATCGCCTTGTCATGGTGCCCTTCACTGACCTCTACGAATGTCGTCGACCGTGCGGCTGGGAAGTCTGCGACTGAGCCATCCCAAGAATCAGCTGCACATCGAATCCACCACCTATGTTACAACACGTTCATCACAAGACTCGTCTGAGTCAGACCTACGCGCTAACAGCTCGGCTCAACTGACCTCAGGATCCGCGTGGGTGTGTCGAGGGGTGGGCTTTCAAGTCGTCTTGGACGTCAGCTTCAACGGTTGCCCGTTGGGGTGTCGGCTCCGCCAGTGCCTAGCTAAAGACATATGCAAAGCAGATGCAAGTTCAAAGCTTTCGCTTGCTACTCTCCGCTAACTCGAATGTAGCTCTGGAGGCAATTGGGACTTGAAGCCACTCTACCAATACTCCCATCACAACATGAACCGGACCCTGGTGGGGCCAGCGACATCATCATCAAACTCGCTCATTCTAGCTACAATGATTCTCCACAAACACAATTGCCTCACTCTTTATCAGCCAAAGACGTCAAACCACCTGACGGTGTTCATGTCATTGGCCTGGAAGTCGTGAGATTCCTAATTCACGTATCATCGACTAAGCAGCAGTCCCTTAAGCGGAAACGAGGCGTTGAAGAGCTTGGATTTGACCAGTCGTATGATCATAATGGGGATTATTCTGGCCTCGGCCGAATCATAGCTGCAAAAGGTGAAGAGGCGGACGTTCTCATGTTACACGGCTTGGAAGATCCTTGTTTACTGGGCGAGGCTGGAAGACTCTTCACAGGGTTAGCTAACCCATCTTGTGTCGACCTACCGGTACGGTGGCCATCTTTCAGCCCCAGTAAATTCCACAACGTTGAGCCGCTACCCACGGATGACCGAATAGGGAATCAACGTGCGGAGCAGCACGAGCAGGATGCATGTGACATCGGCCGCTTACTGGAGCTGATAGATGCCGTTCTACGTTTGACAATCTGCGACAAGCGCTCCAAAATCCCTCAACTTGTTTCAGGCCTCCAAATTCACCAGGATGACTTCTCAACCAAGCTCTCAACTGCTGCTCCAAGCATATGGAGTCCTGGATACCTCAAGGTTTGCTGCTCCATCTTTGCCATACGTAACGCGTTTGGATTGATCTTTGGTACTAGGCTGTTTCGGCACAGGCTGTATTTCTGCCCACGATCGCTCACGCACTATCGACCTCACTTCTGTCCAATGCAAGGTCAGAAACTTTGAAGCAGAAAATAGAGAAGCTGATTAAACAAGATATACATGTGAACAACTCTGGACAAAAGTCAATGAAACCAATTCCGAAGGCTGCCTACAAGACGGTATCCGTGGGGCTCTGGACCATTTTGCAACAGCAACTGTTCGACCCTACGTCTACAAAGCACCTCAAGGCACTCAACTCGAAGGGCACTGATTTCGAAGTCATGGAAAAGAACGAAGACGGTATGCTTGAATCAGAATGCACTTTCGAGGACGAAGATATGCTGTATTGGCAAGCCACACCACAATCGGAATTTTCAGACGATACACTCCTTTGGGAACACGAAGATGAAGAATTTGATAACGAAGGTGACGACGACTTGGAACTTCTTCATGAATTCGATCACCCCAAAAAAGGCTTTGCATCACTTATATTTAATACCACCAAAGTCGAGCCAGATTCCAGGTCAGACAGCATCCTGAGTAGTTGTATGGACACTGAAGAAGAAGAGAATCAGCCGACAAATACGACATTCCGTCTGGATGATAACTCGACCAATTTACCGCTCGAGGAAGGCATGTGGCTTGGTGGGCTTGGTGGGCTTGGTAAAAGTCAAACCCAAAACAATGAATGCTTGGTTGCGGATGCAGATATATTGTTTAATATCGATACCTGAAACATTAAGACTGGAGTCCTTGTAATGGTGATTGATGGGTGGGAGGCGTTTGGCGCGTGGCTGCGGAGATCGGGGGGCTTTGTCCTTTGGGAATTAGGCGCGCATGTGGCAGATGGCGCATGTGGCAGAGGATCAAAGCATAAATATACTTACAACAAAAACCCGGTCATTGTGTTACCAGTGGCAGAACAAGGGTGAGCGAGATGAAGTCGGAGTCCGCGAAGCCACGATCGCCATACTTACATGGCGCTACATGTATGTACTGTGGGCGTCCTGTGTCGATTGCGCCTTGGACAGAAACCAATCGGAAGGCCAAGGTCGTGGCCCAGACATTCAGATGTCTTCGGAATGAGACGTCAAGAGGTGCACCGTCGGTCGCACTTTAGGATCTAAGGTTACAAAAAGAAAACAAAAAATAAAAATAAATAAAAAAAAAAAGACAGCGACGCCGACAGCCAGAAGCGCCACGCCGCCAGGTAGAGTCCGCAGGCGCGGATCGGGTCAGATCGCCTCGATCCCTGGGCCACTCCCGCGCGCGGGGAAGACGGAAGGCGGGCCAGGCTGACGATCCGACGCCGCTCGTGGAGCAAGCTTAATATGGCGATAAGGAAGAGGAAGGGTGGACTTATGGGCTCGAACTCGAACTCGACCTTTTTTCTTTTTCTTTGCGAGTGCCGAGTAGCGGTGGCCCTCGGTTTCAGATCAACGTCGCCGCTGTGCAACGGTTGCACAAAAATCCTGCTGGCCGCGCGCCCTTTTCGCGACCATGAGGAAGCCACCCCGGCCCCGCGTCCCCTCACTCTCTCCTCTGCCATGGGCTCGACGAGACGTCGGTAGGGAAAACCAAGGTGGTTAGGTGCGACCAACGACGGTCGCATACGTCAGGACGTCTGATCCCGTGGTTCGAATGGGTCAGCCCCAGCACCGGGCAAGGCTGTCTCCTCGGCGGCGACGGTTGCGCTTGCCCGCTCCAGGCCTCCCCAGTCAGATGCAATGCAAGGACGACTGGCCGGGCAAATATGTAGTTATTGCATCGCCGTCGCGTGCGTCCTCGTTCTCTTCTTTATTCTTAACCTACGCGCTTGCCGTGCTTGTCTGCCTTTTGCATCTTTGTCTTGACTTTCAGCCGTCTTCCTGCCGTGCAAGGGCGAAAGCATCGATGCGACCCGTACCCTGGATTCCCACCACCGCGCTACGCTGTGCGACCACCTCCGTTCCTTCGCCGTTTAATTCGCTTCTGCCCGCCCCGAGGCCACCAGCCTTCAGCTTGTTGACCTGTCTCGACTGTGTCTGCCGGAATATTGAACGCACAATTCCAGACGCCGCACCGGCTTTCAGAGCCCTAACTCCGGAGCCGCCGTTGACATAACGCCCTGTCTCCCAGCCCTAGGATATATGAGACTGTAAATTGGTTACTCGTCAGCAAGGCGCAACTAACACTCGACCAAGACTGGGTACTGAGGTTTCAGTGGATTCTGGAAAGAGCACGTGGTCCGGCCTTGAGCAAGCGGATTCGACACTGGATGGTCGACTTTCCCCGCAACTCCTCTAATTACGAGCTCTTTTCTGCAACAAGCCGCTTCCCGGGATTTCACCACATGGGCAGGCTGAGCTGAACGGGTCCGTGCGTGACGTAGGGCCTCGAGGTTACTTGGGTGACATCAATCAATCTTCACATCTTTCCCTCCACCCCGACAACCCGACAAAGTTTCCTGTCGAGGGACATACAAGCTCTTTCAGCGACCCAGCTCGCATCACTGACAACCAGAGGCACGTTGACGCGTTGCCACTGCGCGTCAGTGAGGTGCAATACTCGAAGAGTCTCTTCCCGTACCGCCATTGTCCTCCCATTCGGCTGAATAATTCCCTCCACTTCACCTCACTTCCATGGAAACAACCCCCTCACCTAAGGACTTTTGAAATACAACATTAACCTGTCCAACGATGTCGGGCGAGTTAATCGACACGTTTAAAGAGTCCACTATGTCCAGTGAGGGTCCGGGATTCAGGCCTGGCGAAGTCGTCGACTACCACGTTGTGTGGTGGATTGTCTTCTGTTCCTTCCTCACCAGTCTCATTGGTGATGTCGCCACGGTAGAGATTCTTCATCGTCGCCGCGGCCATGGCTGGCGGAACTTGTAAGTTTAGTCCTCTGTTCACCCCGATGAAGACACACTGTAATAACCTAAAGTGAAATTTAGCCTCACCCTTCTCGCGCCTGCTGTGTCCTTCGGCCTAGTTGGTATCTGGTGCATGCACTTCGTCGGTAACCGTGCGATTGAAATGGGAGATGGTCATCCGGCTATCCAACTCTATTACGATCCGCGTTACACGGCGCTCTCGGTTTTCTTACCTATTGGTTTCCTCTATGTCGGTTTCGCGTTCGCTGAGCACTTTAATCGCTCCAGGACTAGTATGTATCTGGCACTGGTCGTGACCGGCATTTTGGCTGGCCTAGCCATCGTCGGCATGCATTACATCGGCAATCTGGGAACGACCAACTACCGCCTAAACAATAAACCCAAGAACATCTGCGGAGCTTCGCTGATTGCCGTCTTCGCTTGTTGGCTGTCCTTCACGTTGTTCTTTCACCAGAGGGAGCACTGGATTAACAGTTTCCCTCGTCGGTTCCTATGTGCTTGTTTGCTTGCAGTTGCTGTCTGTGGTATGCACTGGACCGCAGCGCAGGGCACCAAGTACGAATTGAGGGAGTACTACCATGGTGATCCTGCACACCGGAACAACAATTTGATCGTCGCAGTCGTTTTGTCCTTCATCGTCCTGTTCGTTTTCTGTCCTTTACTGGTGTGGCTTGGCAACAGGCGCAAGAAGCAATTGGCAGACCGCGCGCAACACGTTGTCCTGGCGTCAGTGACTTTCGATATGGAGGGAAAGATTCTCGTTACCCAGGAAGGACTCTTGCCGTCCCAAAAGATCACTCGCAAGTACAACCAGAGGGTAAGTACTCTCAAACCTGCGCATTACCGTTTTGTTCACCGCAGTAGCTAACTGGCATCTCGAACAGACTTTCTCTGACGAGTTTAACATTGCGCATCCGGTTTTCCAGTGGATTTTTCGTGTCTCCCATAATTGGTCCAGTGTCGTTGAGCTCATTGGACCGATGCGCAGCCACTTAAGAGCCATTGGTAGTCTGAAGGATCCATCGGCCCCTAGTAGTCGGGGAAAGTCAGCGGTGCATGGTGTCGAGACGCCCAAACCTGAGGTCGATTACAGTGTCATCTTCCGCGAACACTTCTGCGTTGCTGCTTCGGAATTGGCCTCTGCTTTGGACACCAGGATGCAGAATCTCGGGAAACTTTGGGATGGCATTTTGACAACTGGAACCACGGCTAAGGAGGTTAAGCGTAGGTCTTCCAGACAGGCGGCGAGCCCGGATCCTGAAGCTGGCATCTCTATGCCTACTCTCAACCTCGTTGGCCGGGGCCAGCTATTGTTCCTTGTCCGCATGGTCGAGAAAGAAGCGTCTCAGAAGCTTGTCAATGAAGGGTTCCGTTGGGCGACGATGGACCAGGTTGGCGGCATGCTCGCTAGCAGCTTGCAGGTCTCCCGCAAAGAAATCAGCACCACTGTTGAGAAGCTGAGCGTTTACGCCGATCGTCGTGCTGGTTTGCCCACTCACGGCACCTACTTATCGTACTTCTGCATGCGTCCGACTTGGAAGCCCTCCCTCGGCACTTGGGAGGTTCTCGTCGAAAAGGACGAGTCGAGCCACCTTCCCATGGTTCCTCTGTTCGAGCGTGAGCAGCCCGACGAGAAGGCCATCAGCTTCTACTCACATCTGGATGGATTGAGCATTCATGATATCAAGAAGTACCTAAACAACTCGAGAGTTAGGCAGACCTTCAAGTCTCTTGAGGAGCATCATCTTGCCACCAAAATGGATGAAGCCATCGATCGGTTACACTTGCTCATTCCTGAAACATTCTTCGGCGAGGCTCTCTTCATCAACAGAGTGTTCAGAGACTACGCCCAGTGGAGCGACGGATACCCCCGGGGCGTCGTTATGGCATTTGTCTTGATCCCTGACGTACACACATCGTCCCTCAAGAGCGAACACTTGACGTACAGTCCGTTGAGCTTCTTCCGTTGCCGCCAGCATGTCCATCACCTCTCGACTGATCACCAGGTTCTCGCGCATGCGATCCACCGTGAGTTCCACGAAGTCCGTAACCAGCAGCACATGGGAAAAGACAAGAAGGGTGTGGTGACGTCCTCCAACGTCGGCCGCATGATGCATCGCTCCAGTACGCATGTGCAGCGCGAGAAACAGCGCATGAAGTCGTTGATGCAAACCTTCACCCCTACTCGCCGCGATAGCACGATGCAGAATGACACGGCCTCGGAACGCGAGTTGGTGCAGTTCACCAGTCGCAACGACAGCGATGCTACCAGTCACGGCTTCGGCGGCATCATGGTTTCCACTGACATTGCTGTCGAGAGAGACGTCACCGCCACCAAGGAAGACTCCGTCATGGAACTCAAGGAACTGGGATTCCGCTCTGATGTCGGCGTTGGTGACCAGGAATCGGTTACGTTCGCCGATGAGCTCTTTGAGATTGCTTGCGCCAGATGGCGCAGGTAGACAGTCGGCGATGGCGTCTGGATCCACGCCGGCCCCTTGACTTCGTAATTCATACTTTCGAAAAAAGAAAAAGGATACCTCTACGAATGGGCGGCTTTTCTCCACTGCTTCTTTGTTTCAGGCGACGGTTGGATCAGAGTTTGGTCATACCCGGTCGAATCCCAGCGATGACGACTTTGTTATCTTTTTTGACGACTCGAGTAATGGGTTTCCCAAGGGTAGCTTTCGACCCTTTCTCCTTTGTCTCCAGCTGCCCGTTGCGGGGCCTGCTTTTCCAGTTTCTCTTAAAGATTCCCACGGCAGGTTTCTTTTGTGCATGACGAACGGCTCCGGGAAAAACAATTCGAAGAGCCTTTTCTCCCCTCTATACAGACGCTCCAGCGGGACTGGCAGGGTGTTGGTAGCGAATGCCGATTCGGGACGGGATGTCCTAAGCTATATCCGTCTTGTGTGGCGGAATGGTCTTGGATTGCATAGATATGATGATAAACGCAACGCTTCATGACGCCCCCCCCAAGCCTGTTTGCGTGGTGCGGTGATTGGGCTTGACTGGATAAGATCTTCGGGGAGTCTGTGATGCGTGATGATGGATGGGATGCGGTTTTTTGTTCGATACGATAAGGTTAGGAGCGTGTCTTGTGGAGTGTGTCTTGTGATGTCTTTCTAGCCCTGGCTTGTTTTCGGCTTAGGCGGCACGGCTCCATGACCCGGAGATGGACGCGCTCGTCGATCCTGCAAGTGATGACGCGCGCTGGATCCTTCGCCATCGCTGTACGACGTAGAGTAAAGTGGTGTATAGCGCAATGAACGGTTTTGAGTTATGCTTTTCTGTATGAATGCTTACATACGCCTCTAGTTGTAGGTACCGGGGACAAACGGACTTCTGCCCGCGATCTCTTGGGCGGCTTGGTGAGGGGAATTATGGCGATGTCAACTGTGGCTAAGGTGTAGGCGTAATGGGGGAAGAAGATTGTAGTTTTGGGCCTCGAGGTCTGAGTAAGTCGGTAGCTGTCTGGTTCTTCTCAGGAGATTGAGGACGTCCATGATATTTTCGCATCTGTTAGGCATCAAAACGCGACAAAGACAGGGCTTCCGAGGTCGAAGAAGCCATTGTCAGCACTGGTGACAGTGGCGAAGTCGAACTCTGGACGCTGGGTTGAAAGAAGGTGACGGACCGTGCTCCGCATCGCTTAACCTCTCCCCCAGGCAAATGCTCCCTACTATCGTATAGTAGAGTAGTCGGATCCAGGGATGTCAAGACGGAGCCGATGTCGGGTTTTGGAGAAAGGGACCGCTACTCGTACTCGTACTGAGGTGTCACCTACGTGTCGTGCTAGACGCTGAAGGATTAATCGGCGTACGTAGGCTTAAGAGATATAGCGGGATCTCCATAAAGACATGCCGCATAGAGAAAGCTCAGCGCGGAAAAGGACCGGTTAAAGGACCAAAGAGGGGAGAGGTCTAGACTGCGGATGAAAAGCAGTTGACAGACTTTACCTAGTCGATGTCAATTAGAAATCACATTAAGAACGTTAATGAGAGATCTATACCGATCTTAACTAGGTTGTGTCTACTGACCTTCAATGCGCGGACATAGTGACATCCAGGTACACAGCAAATGTCGATACCTGACTGCACGGAAAGCCATCCAAACCCATTGTAGTAACTTCAGAAGGGACTATTGCCAACTAACGCGAAGCTGTCCCGATAATTCGCACACCGGCCTCACAGGTGTCGGAAATAAGCGAACGGACTTTAGCATGGAGTGGTATGCGTGGGGATCTTTTTGAAACAGCTCGCATCTACCTGAGGCAGAGGCAAGGAGGCTTCATTGGCTTTGCTGCAGGTTCCTTGTGAGGATCTATCTACCGACATCGAGTATGGGAATGCCGAGCCCCTAGCCAGCAAGCTTGTTGTCGTCAAGCTTTCCTAGCGCCATCTGGCAAAAATGGCCCAGGCTCCGTCGAGATGAAGTCATAGTTTATAAATGGTTAATCCGATTCATCCGCTTGCAACGACGACGATGATGATATGCGGGGGACATGGCGGCTTTTATATGGCACTGCGGTCGCGAACCCCAACCTCTGGCGCGCATGACAGACAGCTGCTCGAAGAAACTCAGCTTAAAACACATTGATCAATTTCAATTAGCCACATCCATATCCTTGCTCCATCCACTATGGACGCCAACAACCCAAACAAGAACAACAGGACTACCCCGCAGTATGCCTTATATCAGCGCGAGAACTTTTGGGCAAGCAATGAGGGCAAAGTGCCCCCATTCAATACCGGTAAAGTCCATGAACATTTTGTCAATGTCAATGTCAAGGCCGGTCAGACTGATGACTTTACTACAGACCCTGGCAAGCTCGAGGAATTAGCCAAAGCCAAACTTACGCAGAACGGTTCGTACTTGCTTGATCTTCGAATCAGAAGATCTCAGCAACTAACCACGACGAGAGCGTAGGTTGGTATTATGCCTCGTCCAATGCTGGCCAGTCGTACACGCACACGGCGAACCGCCAGGCCTTCTACAGGCACCGCATCATCCCTCGCATGCTTGTCGACACCAACAAGCGCGACACTCGCGCCGAGATATTTGGTCACAAGGTTTCTGCGCCCATCGGCTTTGCGCCTATCGGAATCAACAAAATATACCACCCAGAGGGCGAGCTACCGGTTGCCAAAGTCGCAAAGGAGCTCAACCTGCCATACTGTTTGAGCACGGCTGGCTCGCAGCCAATTGAGAAGGTTGCCGAGGCTAACGGGGAGGGCACTCGCTTCTTCCAGCTGTACTGGCCGCACGATGACGAGCTTACCGTTTCCTTGCTCAAGCGAGCACACGACAGTGGCTTCAGCGCCTGCATTCTGACAGTTGACACCTGGCAGCTGGGCTGGCGCCACGACGACGTAAACACTAGTAATTACGCGTTCTACCACGGCACTGGCGCCGACCTGGGCTTGTCCGACGCCGTGTTCCAAAAGCGGCTGAAGGAGGAGGGCATTGACCCTGTCAAGCAGCCCAACGAGGCGGGCGCGAAGTGGATTGACAATGTCTGGCACGGGCGCGCGCACAGCTGGGAGCGGATGCCGTGGCTGATACAGACGTGGAAGGACATCTCTGGCGGGAAGCCGTTCTGCATCAAGGGCATCCAGGACGTGGGCGACGCGAAGAAGGCGGTCGAGGTGGGCGTGGACGGCATCGTGGTGAGCAACCATGCGGGTCGGCAGGTCGACGGGGCATGCGCGAGCTTGGACGCGCTGGAGAGGATTGTGGATGCCGTGGGTGACAAGACGTACATCATGTTCGACTCCGGGGTCCGGGGGGCGTCTGACGTCTTCAAGGCACTGGCGTTGGGGGCAAAGTTTGTCTTTGTCGGGCGGCTGTGGGTGTGGGGACTGTCTATCATGGGCGAGCATGGGGTGCGTCACGTCATGAAGAGTGAGTACTTATGGGATTCGGGTCTTGTGGGTTGCTGCTAATCAACCGCCAGGTCTGTTGGCGGACTTTGACATTCTGTTGAACGTGGGCGGGTTCCAGACCGTCGAGCAGATCGACCGCAGCGCACTGGAGAGCTACCCTCGCGGCTACACGCTGCTGGCGGAGAAGAGCAAGCTGTGAGACTAGATTAGATTGCAGAGTTACGTAGAAAGAAGATTGCAGAGTATCATGGATTGTCGCCCGTGACGCAGAGGGGAAGAGGCTAGCTTGCTTCCGGCCTCGCCAACACCGGCGCTCGACTCTTCGTCATGTTCGAGGCGTTACCGAGAGCCTAGAAGTTCATCCTGCCCTCTCCACGCGACACCTCGCACATACTCGCTGCACCTATTTCGCGCCCTCATCTGCCTTCATCTGCGCCCCCGGACTCGGTTTGCCCAGTCTCACTCATCCTCGCCGCATCTTTGTTCGCCACTCCGCCTGCCAATTCCAACCCCGCCCCGCCAGCGAGTTTTCAACCTTTATGCGCCATCAATAGCCCGGACACGCCTCATACAACCACCGCCGCCCTCCTGCCACCTTTGCACTTCCTAACCCCATAGACCGCCATGGGTCAAACTCTGTCTGAGCCCGTCGTCGATAAGGTGTGTTGCAAGCAAAGGGACCGCCCGCGCCCTGCGAGCCCCCGAGTCGCTCTCTCACCACCAGCTGAAGCCACATCGTGCCTGGTGCTGCCCGCTGCCACCCTGCGCTAACATGCTTGCTCCTCTTCCAGAAATCCGACCACGGCCAGGATGATCGCGTCTTCTTCGGAGTTTCTTCAATGCAGGGATGGCGCATCTCCATGGAAGATGCGCACGCCTGCGTACTTGACCTCAAGCCCGAGGGTGCCGACTCCGAGGACAGCAAGCCCACCGCCGCCGACCTCCGGCTGAGCTTCTTCGGCGTCTACGACGGCCATGGAGGCGACAAGGTAGCGATCTACACGGGCGAGAACTTGCACAAGATCATCGCGAAGCAAGACGCCTTCAAGGAAGGGAACATTGAGCAGGCTCTGAAGGACGGCTTCCTCGCCACCGACCGCGCGATCCTCAGCGGTGAATAATCCCATGGCTCTCACAACGTTGCGCGACACAAGGCTGACTCATAGAACTGTCAGACCCCAAGTACGAGGAAGAAGTCTCTGGCTGCACGGCTTCCGTCGGCGTCATCTCCAATGACAAGATCTTCGTCGTACGTACCACAATGGCTCCTGCGCGAACATCCCACTGACGTGACAGGCCAACGCCGGTGATTCCAGGAGCGTCCTCGGAATCAAGGGCAGGGCGAAGCCGCTGTCCTTTGACCACAAGCCCCAGAACGAAGGTATGGCGGGCGATATCTTGTTGACCAGCACCAGCTTACAATTGCGCAGGCGAGAAGGCAAGAATTACCGCGGCCGGCGGTTTCGTTGACTTTGGTCGCGTGAATGGCAACCTTGCGCTCTCTCGCGCCATTGGCGATTTCGAGTTCAAGAAGAGCGCCGATCTGCCCCCAGAGCAACAAATCGTCACTGCCTTCCCCGACGTCACTGTCCACGACATGTCCGACGATGATGAGTTCCTCGTCATTGCTTGCGACGGCAAGTTTTCAATCACGAACAAAGCGGCGAAAAGTGTTGGGCTAACACATGTGCTACACAGGCATCTGGGATTGCCAGTCTTCGCAGGCAGTCATTGAGTTCGTCAGGCGCGGTATTGCTGCGAAGCAGGAGCTTCAGGACATCTGCGAGAACATGATGGACAACTGCCTTGCTTCCAACAGCGACACCGGCGGTGTCGGCTGTGACAACATGACCATTGCTATCATTGGACTGCTGAAGGGCAGGTCGAAGGAGGAATGGTACAACACGATCGCTGAGAGGGTCGCAAATGGCGATGGGCCGTGTGCGCCGCCAGAGTACGGCAAGTCTTAAGAGTCCTATTCCTATAGATACCCTTGTACCGCGAGAATTGCATCCTGACATGGCTTTCCTTTCTATAGCAGAGTTCAGGGGTCCGGGCATTCACCACAGGTATGATGACAGCCCGGAGGACTATGACATGGACATGAGCCACGGCTCCAGGCTTGGACAGGGCAGCGGAGGGCGCATCATTCTGCTCGGCGACGGTACGGAGATTTCCAGCGATTCCCGTGAGAGCGAGATGTTTGACCATGATGAAGAGGACAAAGACCTCGAGTCTCAAGTCAACAAGAGCCAGCGGGAAGAGACGCCCGCGCCCACGGCTCCCTCTGACGCCGGCACGCCCGCGTCAGACAAGACGGAGAAATCGGAAACGGCGGGCACTCCTGCAGAGCCCAAGATGAAGGCTGCCTCGGACGGGCCGGTCAGCTCGAAATAGATGGGATAGCATGGAGAGCCAAGCGTCATCATGATCACGTCATTTGATATCCACGGGTTAGAAACGACGTTATGGAAACATTTTGGCCCAGAGGAAGAAGAGGGAGCGTACATGTTTCTCACAGTTGTTTCGGCGGCACGACACCTTTTGTAACACGGGGGGGAAGAGGGGAGAGAAGGCGGGCAAGCGGACCGCGCAAACCCTTTTTTTACACACGACGACGAAAGCGACCCTCTTCACTCCGCTTCTAGGTCCTTGCTTGTCCTTTTCCGTCCTCTTCTAGTTCAGCTCTCTTTTTCTTCTAGCACTTGCGCATGTATCCGGGTGCGGGCCCACGTGATAGATTGACTGGCTGGTGACGTCCTGGCCAGGGAGCCCGAGCTTCAACCCTAATGAACGACCTACGGAAGCTTGCATAAACCGGTTGCTTAACGTTGAACAATCCTACGACAGCCTTTACCACGTATTTTCGCGTGTCCTCGACCCCCCTACGCGAGCCATAATTTTACCCACTCTGGCAACTCGGGGCCCCATTTATCGTATGTTTCCTCCGGGCTCTGTTCATCGACATTGCGCTGCCAATGAACGGACCACGAACTGACCGCCTGAAACCCACAGCAGCCCGTACCATAGCGACGCAGCAACACGTTCGCCCTTGACCCGACGACCGCCCATCCGAACATCAAGAGCCCCGTTCCGACGACTGCCACCGACATCTCCCCTCTCCCCGTCATTCCATCATGCCCGCCAAGCGCAAGAGAACCAACACCGTCACGTCGACGTCGGCCGCTGCTGTCGAGGACGTGCCCCAGCCCTCGTCGCGCGACGCGTCGGGTGAAGACACCGAAGACCCCGTCCTGCAGGAGGTGAAGCAGCGGCAGACGGAGGCGGCGAACCCGTCGTCCAAGCGCGCGCGCTCGATAAAGTCCGAGGAGAACGGCGACGAGCCCGAGGAGGGCAGAGCCGCCAAGGCGGCCCGCCAGGATGCGTCATCACCGGAGAAGGCACACGGCGGCGAGAACGGTGAGGAGGGCACGATGAGGATGCCCCCGCCACCCAAGGCGGGCATAGTCGACCCGGTGGGATACCACACGAATCCGCCGCCGGAGGGCCGGTCGGTGCGGGTGTATGCGGACGGCGTCTTCGATCTGTTCCACATCGGGTACGTTTTGGATCCTGCCATGTGCAACGTGAGGGTAGGGGGCTGATTGAGTGATGATAGACACATGCGGCAGCTCCAGCAGGCTAAACAGGCTTTCCCCGACACGACCTTGATCGTCGGCGTGACGGGCGACAAGGAGACCCATAGGCGGAAGGGCCTTACCGTCCTGTCTGCTCGCGAGCGCGCGGAGAGTGTCCGGCACTGCAAATGGGTCGATGAGGTTATAGAGGACTGCCCCTGGATTGTGACTCCGGACTTTATGGAGAAGCACCAGATCGACTACGTCGCGCACGACGACATCCCGTACGGCGCCAATGAGGGCGACGACATCTACTCGCCCATCAAGCGTGAGGGCAAGTTCCTCGTTACGCAAAGAACCGAGGGCCTCAGCACGACGGGCATCATCACGAAGTAAGCTAGTGGCGAAACGGAGCGATACAAAACAGCTCGGCATTGCTAACGGGAATGGTAGGATTGTGCGCGACTACGACCAGTACATCCAACGGCAGCTGAAGCGCGGCACATCGCGCCAAGAGCTAAACGTGTCGTGGCTGAAGAAGAACGAGCTGGAGATTAAGCGCAGCGTAGGCGAGCTGCGCGACAACATCCGCAACAACTGGGCGACGACGGGACAAGAGCTGGGCCGCGAGCTGCGCAGCTTCTGGCAGCAGTCGCGACCGGGCAGCCCCGCACGCAGCCCCGTCGTCACGCCCAGCTCCGAGCACCCGCCCAAGCTGTTCAGCAGCCCCTCCGCCGCGGTCCAGCGCCTCAGCCACCTTGAGATCCCGCCACGCCAGGGCTCTTCTGTCGGCGGCGAGTCGCGCACGCAGGACTTTGCGGCCGGTTACAGCCTTGGCTTGGTCAGCAGCGTGCGGTCTTGGGTACGTATCTAGCTGCTGTGACGACGACAACGACGAACGACGAACGACGGCGGAGCCGGCGGCCCTTCGAGGGCAGCGAGTGCTTGTGTCCGGATGTTGTGTGTTGTTGTTGTTTTTTCTTTTTTCTGCTTTTCTAGTGTTTTTGTTGCGGTGTGGTTGTGCTAACGGGGGTCGAGCAGATGGCGCGGAGTCGCCGCAACTTGCGCGAGAGCGTGCCCGGCAGCCCCGAGAGCGAGCTGGACAGCTCGGGCGAGAGGAGCCCGAACCAGGGCCCGCAGCGCGGCAGACAGCAAGGTAGGCCTTCGGACATGACCCTCAACCAGTGATTGACTGCCGTCGTGGTGTTGTTGTCGTGTGAGGAAGAGAAAATGGGGGGAGAAGAAAAGGAGAGAGAGAAAACAGTCATGGGAGATGCTTGATGCCGTCTGTCGCCCGCTTGCCCTCGTCGTCGTCGACGTTCTCATTGTCCTCCGACTCCAGCTCCAACTTCTCCGACTTCTCCGACTCCGACTCCTTCTCTATCCGTCCGTCCGTCCGTCCGTCTGTCAGTTCCATCGTCGTCATTTGCGGTCGCCGGCAGCAGCAGCAGTGCGTTTGTGCAGCAGCAACAGCAGTCAGCCCTTTGTTGTGTTGTTTGTGTGGAAAAGCGAAAAGAGTGGGATGGCTCGATGCCGATACTTGCGTCCGACTCTTCTTCTCAGGTCCCCTTGTTGTACATCAGTGTTGTTGGTTCCCGAACAGATATTAAAATTGAAAAATCGTTTTCTTTATCGTGATGAATGGCCTTTCTTTCTTTTCTTTTTCTTTTCTTTTCTTTTATTGCTCGCTGCGCGCGCGGTAGTTGGCGCGCTTGTTGCGGCGCGTTCGCGTGAGAGTACCTATCGCGCTTGCGCCGTGTCGGCGGCTTGTTGGTTTGCGTGCTTGCATGCCTGGTTGGTTGGTTGCCTGCATGTCTGTCTGGTGCCGGCGCCGTGCATTTGGCTCCCTCGTTACTTGCTGGTGATGTTGTTTTCCTGCAGAATTGTCTGCGTTAGTTCGTCTGCTTGGCTAGCATACTGCACCTACCCATCCTTCTATCCTCCCAAGCCGTTTATCCAGCCCTGTTCCTTGCGGTTTTCCCCAACGGAGGGGAGACTTTGTCGTGCTACGGTGGCAGCTTGCTGGTACTGCTTCCAAGCCGAAGTATACAGGCATGCATATGGCTGGTTGTTGGATGGTCGGTAGGAGAGTATATATAGGCGTCGTGCCTGGAAAAAATGGCTGTATCTGTGAGGCATAGCGGCCAGTCGATATCTCCTTGGGCTGTCGGATTGGTGGCGGAAGTTCGGACTGTCATTTTGCTTGCTGTTATCGCTCTTTCACGTACACAAACACTTCTTCTATCTATCTATCTCTCTATCTATCCCTCTCTCTCTCTCTCTCTCTCTCTCTCTCTCTCTCTCTCTGCCTACAAGCAGTTGGCCGCTTTACTAAACCCACCGCCAGTCGTTGGATTCTATTCGTTCATACGTCCAGCATTCTAAACGGTCGCACTCTGTTCTGTCTTAACTGTCAGTCAGTCACGTCAACCATACCACTGCGGGACCGGGTGTAAAACACATCGAACGGAAACTACTTGCAGCTTCGCTTTCCTTTGCTTCAGCGGACTCGGACAACCGTCCACACCTCATTAAACACACATCCACCAAACATACACACAAACGCCTACCCACCAGCCAACTAGCAATCCTCCACAACACCCCGTCTCCCAACCACCACGACCAAAACGAAAATATGCCACCTGACCTTCGCAATCCCAGCCCCGAACCACAGCTGCGCCTGCGCCTGCGCCCAAGTCCCCACGCCCTGCCCACCCTACCACATCCTCTGCGCGGCGGCGCTCGCACGATCTCTGGTGCAGGCGTGTGCGTTTGGCTCGCGGAAAGTGCTGGTTCGGGCGGCGGTGGGCGCGGGTGGGGACTGTGCGGGGGGTTGTTGTGTGTGGGGTGGGTTGAGGGGGGAAGGGAAGGGGGAGGGAAAAGGGGTTGCGGGTGCTTTGTTGTGATGTGAGTGGGGTGGTGGGTTGTGGGGGCGGTGCTGGAGGGGAGAATGAATGGTTGGAGTTTGTGCTACTCCGGAATATGGAAGTGTTGATTTTAGGTTTTGAGGGATTGGATGCAATGTCAAGAGGTTGGCTTTGGGGTGAGGTTGCGGAAGTTGGGGGGGTGGGGATGTAAAGTTGGTTTAGAAGAGAAGGGAACTGTGCTGTAGAATAGGGATTAAGGCAGGAGGGTTAGTTGTAGCCTATATATGTTTCGTCACTTATAAACCAAGGGCTAGGGTTAAGCTAAGGGTAGATGAAAAGGTCTCAGTATAGAGAGACTGTGGTTTTATAAGGGTGTTTAAAGATAGCTGTAGGGATATAAGGGTTTCGGATTCAGACCTACGTAGGAAGCCTTGCTCCTACGGAGCGATCTAACATCATCTATTATAGAGGGTATTCATCTAGATATAAATATTCTCATTTAAACTACATCGACTTTTTATCTTCGTATTTCCCCCCGATTAACGAAGCACTCCGTAGGATCTATCTACATATTCAAAACACTCACTCATTCAATATAACTACCACACATTACAACAAGACGAAATAGACCAACACCTAGTTCTAACTTACACATACGTCTCTTATTAGTTCCTTGCCCCTAAGACGTGAAAGCAATCCACAATATTTAGAGATCGAGTTTCAACATCACGTAAACCAACCATACCTAACACCAAGATCCCACATAGCAAGCTCATGCACGTAAAAACAAGTCCCCATTCCACGCACCCGCATCACCATAAACAAACAAAACACAACACAACCAAATCCAACTCAACCCCAGACAACCACAACAACACCTCCCCCACCAACAAACAAACAAACAAACAAACAGCACACAAGCCACAAACCCAGCCCATCCCCCTCATATTAGCACCTAGATGTATCCGCGCGCCGATATCCAATACCGCCAAGCATACACACCTTGTACTCACACTCGTCACCAACAGCCAGTGCAGAAGCAGAGAAAAGTCATGTCGTATCTTCGCAATAAGGGAAGAGGAAAATACTATCTGCTCGTGCCACTGTTTCCTCTTCCGACCTCCTCATCCTCCCAGTGTTCCCCTACGCAGTCGTTTCTGAATCCAGCCTTCATACGAGACGCAATACGATTGTCAGCTTTTTGCACACGAAGATACAATATAGCTTATATAGTAGAAAACAGCCTGCTAGCAGAAACTGAAAAGGGTGTGTAGAGTAGGAGAAACCAGTGACGACAAGGAATGAATGAAATCACTTCCCCCTCAATCACCCCATCACTCCCCATCCAACAAAGCCCGCCTCGGCAAACCCCACCCCCTCTAGCGCGCTATATCTAGCGCGCGGAACCAGAGGATGGGATTAGGTCCGCAATCCGCAATCCGCAGTGCGCTATCTACTCTAGGCGGGTGCGCGGCTGCGTGCGCTAACCATTGAGTGATTTTCCGCACTCCCAGGATGTGGATTCCCGTGGCGTAGGCGTAGCGATAAGGCCGCGCGCGTGGTTTATGTGCGTTTATATGTGGGGTGGGGTATGGGCAATGGCAAAGGACACGGGCATGGCATTTTGCGAATTCCCGATCGAGGGCAGTCCGGGCTTTCTGGCCCCCCGGTCGTGTTGGGACGGCTTGATTGATGGGTTGGTTACTGTAGTTTGTGGCGTCTCTAGTGCCTGCGTGCCGTGCCTGCCTGCGTAGGGAGGTTGAGGCGCTGGCGCGGGACCCGGAGGGTGCGTACCTAGGTGTGTCGAGTGTGCTGGATCGGGGATGAAAGTGGAGTTTGGAGTAAATGCTCTTAGCTATTTCCATAAGACAAGAAGAGCCATCCAACAGTGGACATGCAATAACTCACTGAACCAGTGCGTGCATTCTGTGCTAGAAAGAAGGAAGGCAAACAACTAATCATTGAGATAAACCTGCCTTCAACAGTAGTGAAGCAGCACTACCTTAGTTGCGCCCATCTAAAGCTAAAGCCTGCATGCAGGTAGGTCCTGCCTCACCTATCCAAGCGGATGACGGCTAACATGCTGAAGCCCCCACATGATGAAGCAAGCAAGGCAAGAACGCTTTTCAACAAACAAACAAACAGACAACTCCAACGCGCGCCGCGCCCCGGGTGCAAACACAAATACAAACGGAAACGACCAAGACGCTCAAAAACTCAACGGATCGACGTTTTTCCTCAGCGCCCAGAGGCCCAGCAACGCCGTCTTGTACAGCAAGCCATGCCAGATGGCGACCACCTCGTCGCTGTCCATGAGGTAGTCGATGCTGGAGAAGACGTTTGCAAAAAACTCGTTCGTCCACACTTCGAGCGTGTTGGAGCTCGGGTCGGGTTTCCAGAACGCAATGTAAGTCGGACAATCCTCCTTCTTGGACATGCTCTCTGTGAAATCCAGCGCCAGCATGAGCTTCTCCCCGCGCGTGTTCTGCTCGTCTTCGACCTCCGTGTCATCCCACACAACGTGGTGCAGTGGATACACGCGGGCCGTCACGCGCAGTAAACATTTGACGAATGTCGGAAACCAGAAGTGCAGCGCGATCTGCGGACGCCTTATGTGCAGTTTCCAGAAGCGGAGCTCCGACGTCAGCGCGCGGTCGCGCTGTGGTAGTCTTCGTACGATGTGCCGACACATGGGACATGTTAGTGGAGCGTCGAAGTTCTCGTCTTGAAAGACCGTCTTGAACCACGTCGTGAGGCAGCCGAAGTGGAAGACGTGGTTGCCGCGACAAGCGACTCTGACGGGTGTTATGTCCGAAGATTCTCTCTCTTCGGCCACAGCCATGTGCTGAGCATCGGTATAGACGTATTGTGTCCAGCCCATTGGTGTGGCTTGAGCTGTGTTTGATGCTGTAAGGGTCTGTGGGCTTCCCATGGTGCGGGTTTGTCTGTATGTAGGTGCAAAGCTGACATTAAGGTCCACGGATCGAGCTCGCTGGCGAAGAACTCGAGCACACTCTTCGATAGGGCACCAGTTCTCCGAGTAGGATCGGAATCTTTCCGTGACCACAGTGACAGGCTGCGCTTGTTCCTCACGGGCCCCGGCAAGCTGGACCGTATTGTTCTCATCTCTCATCCCCCTCCCATATCGGACTCGATCTGGACGGAAACCGGAGCTTGGAGGGTCAAGGGCACCTCTGCTAACACGCCTAATGGCTGCCGCTCTGGGGGCCCTCAGCATTCTGTTGTCGCTGCGGCTCATGACTTCCAACTCCATCAACGGCGGTCGAGCGATCCAGGATGGCGGGACAAAGGCTGGCGCTTCGGGGTTGAGATTGCTGCGAGCCCGGCGCGGGTATGGCTCCCGACATATGCTACATATTTCGTCGGGGGGTTGGAGATCCGCAGAGAGGGCGTAGAACAGAGGCTCCCGAGGCGAGCGGCGCGCCGGGGGAGCGTCAAGATGGGCGCTGATGGTGTACATGCACCGGCGATGGTCCCGTAGCGAACGTCTGGTTCGAAAGGAGTGTCGCAGGCGGGATTCAGCCAGTGCTTAGCATGCGCTAGATAGCTATGTGTCTGAGATATGATGGCTATGCTGGTGTTGCTGTGTGTGAAATGGTTTGGAGTGTAAGAAGATGGACGTACGACGGAGCCACTGGCTCTGAGAGCTCGTGGTGTGGATGGAGGGAAGGCGCGGTGCAGCATTAATAGCAGGCAGCGCGGCTGCTGTTTCAGAAATCAATCAAACAGGGCGTCCTTTCTTGGGATTTCATGTTCCAAATGAAGAAAGAGGGCGAGTTGACGATGCAGGCTCCCGACGCCACGACTGCAGCATCGTCTTTGTCGCTTCCAAACGCCAAATTAGATAACACGCTGCCCAAGACATGTCTCAACTTAGTTATCCCTCACTCTATGCGCGCTGGAGATCTCGAACGATCTGTCTCCATGTTGTCGTGCTGTCTGCGCAGAGTTACGGTGAACCCGGAGGCGCGAGCTTGACAGTGTGTTTGGCTCGATGAAAGAACAGCAGTGACAGAACCGGGAGTGGTTCGTCTGTGGAGTTATGTGTGTATCTGAAGTCTGGCTGCTCGACTGCTTTGATGGCCCAGAAGGCTCATTTTTGAACCGATGTGGCTTCTGGACGCTCGCAATATGGAATGATAATCAAACTCTGAAAGACTGAATCGGTTACGAAAGATTGGCACTGTGTTACGCTTTATAGCCTGTTGCAGAGGCGGGGGCTGAAAAGCAGCGATAAGCTGTGCCTCTCTCCTGCTGAAACGAATGGGCTTACGGCCTATAGAAAAAGCAAACAGCATGGCAGAGAGGAGACTTGTACTCTGTAACTCAAGATAGATGCTGATATTGGAGACGAAGCAATTCAACACCATGAGGCCAAGATACTCCTACACGGACATAAAGGCACTTACGTTCACAGAACCAGGGAGCCTCCACACACACCTACCGCCATGCACACCTAGATGAGCACGATACAAGCAGCCAAGCATCAAACGGCCGTCCAGACCGCAAGAGGTGCGCAAATTATCGAACGAGGCATTCTGGCTCCATGGCCCTCCATCCATCGCTCGCAGCACCCACCCCTGGCGGCGCGGTCCCATCTCGCTCCACCGCGCCCATCTCGCACAGCGTCATCATCACCAGATCCTCCGCAGAGGGGACGAGGAGGTGTGACGTCCACGCGACGTCGCCAGCGCACGCCCTCCAGATCGCCGCGGCCCCCAGCACCAATCAGGGCGCGGCGCCCACGCAGACCGCCATGAAAACGCCCTACCTGGTCGACTCCAGCCCGGGGCTCGGGTAAAAGCGAAGCACGGCAGACGATATGCGGAGCAAAGAGAGAGAGAGAGAGAGAGACAACAAGCGGACGGACAGTACCGACAACTAGTTAGCGACCGCGGCCAAGGAGGGGCGGAGGAGAAAAAAAAAAAAAAATCGTTCAACAACAGCCACACGGCACAAGACGTCAGACCAAGGAGCGAAGGAAAAAGCTGAGAGACAAACCCAGGGAACTCTAGAGGCACCACCATCATCGCCAATCTCGCCGCGCGCGCCCGGCAGGCAGTCGGCCGTGGCCGCCGCCGCCGCCGCCGCCGCCGCCGAGCCCGTCGCCCCACCAATCCGCGCATCCAGACCTCGCGCCTGCGTCAACACGGCAACTGCAGCCTCGACGACGAGCCGTTTTACCCACCCCCATCATGCGCTAGTCAGCGACGCGCATGCAAGCACAAACAGCCGGTGTGGGCGAGCCGCGCGGGAAAGTACGTAGAGTAGTGTGAGCGGAGAAGCAGAAGAGGCGGAGGCCAGAAGGGCGTGGTTGGTGTTGGTGGGGAAAGGATTAACCTAACCTAGGTTCATCAGGCAAGCCGCCTTTGTCTTAGCAGCCGCGCGCGCGCGCACGGGAGCTGCCTCGGCTTCTGAGCGCGAGAAGAGCGAGATGGAGCTATCGAAGCACAGAGCGCGCTCGCGCAAGAGAGCGAGAGAGCGGGAGAGAGCCAGAGAGAGTCTCAGCTCGATGGCGATTCGCAGACGGGCGCGGCCGACGGGCCTGGCGGGCGACGGATTAGAGGAGGCCTCTATGCTCCGCGGCCTACGACTACTACGTACTGGCACAAAAGGGAGGTTAGCTTAGCCTACTCTAGCCTACGCAGGGCGCAAGGCGGGACAGGGGACAGGGCGGCGCAGGGCAGGGCAGGGCTCGCAGGGGTTTGTGGCTGGGGCGGTGGTGATGAAAGGCAGGTCTTCGGCATAACTGACGCGCCCATCAACCTGCGACGCTGGGCGCGCGCGCAACCCGTCTCGACCTGTCCCAATTGCCAATCCCCTCTCATCATCGACTTCATGCCCCCGCAGCCCGCGCATCAACTGCCAATCTCCCAGAATAGCCCTGCCGCGAAGAGGGAATCACGTAGCCAGCCCAGCACCGCCTCCGCAGAGTCCAAGCCGCGGTCTTGTCATTGTCGTTGCCGTCGTCATCATCGTCATCATCGTCGTCGTCGTCGTCGTCGTCGCCGTACTCGTAGGTAGAGTAGAGTAGGCAAAATAAACAAATAATAAACAAACAAAGTGCCCAATCTATCAGTCGTCCGTGGGTGCCTTCCGCTTTCGCACGCCGGCCTCAGGCCCCCCGCACCGCACGCAACGCAAACGCCGCGGAACGTGCTCTGTTCCCGTTCCGTCGTCAAAGCCCGCCCGGGATCCAGGGTCGGGCGAGCCACGACCACGACCACTCCACACCAGCACCACGGGCTCACTTGCCTTCCATCACCGTAGAGTACGGATAGAGTCAGTCACACACACATACTCACACTCGTACAGGCAGCTCCTTACCTATGTAGATAGCACCATACGCACTTGGGTAGGTAGTTACTGTAGCTAGCTAGCTAGTCCCGCTACAGCACTGTAGTCCCGCCACCATTATTGTGCCATGCCATGCCATCCCACATCCCACAGCACAACACAGCACAACACAGCCACGCCCCGCGCACACGGCTCCGAGTCTCCGACCCGGCGCGACCAGCCCGTGCAGCCCACTTGGCTTGGCGGCGCCGGCCGGCCGACGAACTGGCGAACAGGCCCCCCACGCCGGCCGGGCCAAGCCCCCCTTGTCGCGCTCGCCCAGCCCGACGGCAGGGCTGGCTGGCTGGTGCGTGGGTGTGCGGTGCGTGGGCGCCCGAGCGTGCACTGCCCTGCCCTGTGGTGCGGTTGCCCGTCTGGCTGGCTTTGCTTGTGCTTGTGCTTGTGCTTGCTTGGTGCTGTCGTCGCTGCGGTATCCAGGATACAGTCAGTGTCCTGCGGATGGGCGAGTAGGTAGTGCTATGTGCTGCCTCCTGCCCTGGGCGTGGTGCGCTGGCTTCGCTGGCGCTGTCGCTGCTCTGTGGAGGGCAGCCTGTCTACTTAGCATACTATATAATAGGCGCACGTTTACGCCGTGTCCAAGCAGCAGCATCGCACAGCCTCCTCTCCCGGCGCTCGCACGAACAAGTACCTAACTACGAGAGTCTGAGCGAGCGAGAGAGCGTTTCTATTCCTGCGCAGCCAACGGAGAACCCCCTTCCAGGGTATCCGGGAAGGGCATCCGCGAGATGAGACGACGTGCACGCCAGGGCGCGCGCATAAAGGCCGAGCTAAAATGGGGTAAAACAAAACAGGCCGAGTAGGAAATGGATAACTAACTAGCTACGTAGTTGTATACGAGAAGAGGAAGCGGAGGAAGAAGAAAAAAAGGAGGGAGGGCTATGCTATGCTATTCTAGAGTAGGAGCGCGAGGTAGGTAGATAGGTAGGTACTAAAACCGAGGGGAAGGACGTCGACAGCGGAGCTGGAGATAGAGGAGGGTTGAGGCGGATGGGGGGCCGGGGTGTCGCCAAACGAGACGGACGAAACGAAGACGGGACAGAGATGTGGGAGGGATGGGAATCATGGGATGGATGGATCATGGGGAGGGGGGGCAAGGGCAGGGCAGCGCGCGGCGGCCGTAGAGTACGGAGGAGACTGTAGAGTACTCTAGGCACAAGGCACAGGCACAGGCACAGGCACAGGCGGACCCCAGCCCGCGTGCCTGGGACGCCCGAGGCTGAGCACTGCGCGCTCTGCTTGCTCCGACTTGACTTGTGCTTTGCTCTGCTTTGCTTTGCTTTGCGTTCAATCTGCCTGCGACTAGGTACCTAGGTAGGTTTTCGGGTGCTTTAGCCTCGGTCGGCGTGGGCGTTCCGTTGCTGCTGTTGCTGATGGTATTGGTGACCTCCATCCATCCATCCGCCCGTGCCTACCTAGGTTCGTCATTAGGTACTACCGTTCGGGTTACCCAACTCGCTATTCCCATGCTCAATCACTCGCTCAACGCCCTGCCACGCCACGCCACCTATGCCGCGCTGCGCTGCAACGACGTTGCTTGACGTGGCTCTTTGTACCCGTACCTAAGGTACCTAGGTAGGTAAGGTAGAGAGAAGGCTACCTAACATTGGCATTGCTTTGCTTTTTCGCCTCTGGCCATCGCATCGCGTCGCGTACCTAGGTATCAGGTATCGCAGCCCCCCGTCACATGAACGAGGCAGGCAGGCACGCAGGCAGGTCCACACATACATACATACATACATACATACGGATCCGTAGATGGCCATCCTTCCCGTTGCCTCTTGCTTTAGCCCGACCAGCCATGCGTGCCCAGCCTCGGATCTACACTCTCGACCCGCACACACGCACCCGCATGCGCACATGCACGCACACATCCATCTGGCTATGCGTGTGTGCTAATGGCACTGGCAGCGCTCTCCCGCCCGCACTGCTGCTGCGCGCTTGCCCTGCCCCGCCGCCCCGGCGTGCCGTGCCCGCCTGCCCTCCCGTTGTCGCCCTGACTGGCTCTGCTGCAAACAATAGCGTCCTCGTACCCTACCCTACCGGACCATACCTGCCCTGTCCGGCCCTGCCCTGCCCTGCCATGCCATGCAGCTAGCCAGCTGCCAGATGGTCCAGGTAGGTAGGGAGTTACGCGCGCTGGTAGGCTGGCAAAACTCTGTCGCCGCGGCCATCTATGTATAGGTAGCCAAGCAACAGGCTCGGTCACGTCGCCACCAAAAGCACCGCCGTACCGTACCGCACTGCAGCGGCGTTGTGTGTGTGCGCATGTGTGTGTGCGTGTGGGCTTTTTTTATCCACACCCTACCTTACCAGCTCTGCTCCCCACCATCCCAACCCAAAGTAGCACGCGCGCCCGCGCCCGCATCCGCGCTCCACCCTCCACCCATGCCCCATGCCGACTTCTGCGCGCCCCCACGTCATCGCCTCAGCGCGGCGTAGCGCTGGTCGCGCGGGTCGGCGCGGGACGGCACGGCTCGGGCAGGGGGCGCGCGCGCGACGCAAGATGCACATATGTATGTCAGCTTAGTAGGTACGGGAGTGGCGACGGCGACGACGACGGCAAAGGCAGCAAGACGGTTAGGACGGACGGTTGGGCCCGCGGCGGGGTAGCTGTCTTGTTAGTTAGTGCGTCGTGGGTTCGAGTGGTGTGCGAGTGAGTTGACTCGATACAAAACAGGCAGGTGCGAGGCACAGCGCTGCGGGTGGCGAGTGGTCCGATAGTTGGGTAGTCGGGTCGTAGGTAGTCAGCCGCCATCTGTCTGTCTGCTTGTTTCCATGTCTGGTACATGTCTATGTTAGGTGCATACTTGGCCTGGGCTTGGCCTGGGCTTGTATCTGAGCTTGGATTTAAGCTTGGGGCTAGGTGGATGGTGTAAGGCAGGTGATGTATTGCCTTGCAAGGTGGTAGTTAGTCGACCTAACTAGGCAGGCGGACTATCAAACAGCCACGTAGCTTGTTAAGAGCATCAAAAATCCCTGAGATGACCAATGATACGAAAGAAGTGATGGGCGTTGACATAAGCCAATCAAATGCAATCAAAGGACCCTATCTCTGTTATAATAATAACAACAGGTTGGCATGGGAACACAGACAGGGAATGACGGAGCAATGCAAGTAGAGCAACAGCAGCACTACGCACATACACGTGCAGCAGAGGGGGCGGCAGTCACGTCAGCGGTCCGGAGACCGCGATGTACACTGCACGGGAGGGACGGGAGACGGGTCGTCGTTGAGACTGGGTAGAGCTCCTTGTTCGTATTGCGTCTGCATACAGTGTAGATGATCAGGTACGCAGCTTGGACGGCCTGACGGTCTGGCTATGCGCACTGTGCTGGCGCGTGCATGATGCGTGCGCGTTTGGATGTGCCTGTGGGTTCGGGGCCGTCGACGTACCTCAGACGGACGGGCGCCGGGGTGCGTAGGGCTCACTCCGCGGCGGGGCCTATCCGAGCGGGCGCGGTGGGCCCGCGGTGCGGCCGTGCGCCATGCCAGATGTCCGAGGAAAAGGTGCGTCTACAGATTGCCCAAGCCCGGGGGTTTGTTGCTTGTCTCGGCACCTGAGGGTGCGGTGGGCGCGAGGCCCGGAGGCCGTCTGATGCCCGCGGCTTGCTCGGTGGTGCCAGCGCGCTTGCGCACTTCATCTATCCGTCCCTTGGCCAAGCTGATAGCGGGGACTACCCAGTCGCCGCAGTTGCATCTCATGCCTTGCCACGCGTACTTTCCGACGTTGGTCCTGCATTTGGGGCACTCGAATCGGCCGTCCAGCTTCCCTTGCTCGAGCTCGGGCCTCATCCAGGACAGCGGGTCGATGAAGTAGTGAGAGCAGTTGGAGGCGACGGGCCTCGCGCCGGCATGATCGCCCGAAGGGTGTTGGGTGATGAAAGCCGAGGTCGCCAAAGGGCGCCTGAAACAAATGAGCTCATGAGCTTTTTTTGTCTCCGCATTATTGAGTGGCGCAGCAAGTAAAGGGCGGATGGATCCCTTGAGAGGGGAAGAAGAGATGAAGATGCGCGGGAAAAAATGCTGGCATGACGGAAGGCGCCGGTTGTGATAGCCTCACGGGAACAACAGGGCTGATGACATCGGACGATGCTGGCATAGGCGAGCCCGGGCCATTGCGAATGTGGAGGAATGGAGACGTACCTGCATTTACGGCACCGCAGCTCAAGCTCAGCCTGGGCTTCCTTGTTGTGCTCATCCTCGAACCGGATCTTGTCCGCCTCGGGGGCTTGGCCACACGCGCGGCTGAACTCGACCTCGCGCTGGTACACCCAGCGCTGGTACTCGGGGGATTCGTCGACGTTGTCAGTCATGTTCATGCGGTGGTAGATCTCGAGCTGTTTCATGAAACCGTCGTTAGGCTCGCAGATTGAGCGGGCCAGGCGCACGTGAGAGAGGGCCTCGGCGGGAGATATGCGGTACTTGTGCATCAGGTAAGCCATGACACATGTCGCGGAGCGGGACTTGCCCATGGCACTGCGAATAAAAAATAAAGTTGAATAAAATATCCTAAAAAAGTCACGTGAGAAGAGGAGAAACTCACCAGTGCACGAGGACGCCACCACCGGCGTCAAGGCCAGCCTGGATGAAGCGGATGACATTGGGGAAGTGGTGGAGCAGGTCCTCGTCGTCGACGTCATCGACCTCGACGACCATGTGGTGGAAGGGGTCGAAGAGGGCCTTGTCGAGAGGTAGGCGCAGGACGGAGAGGACATGGGTGATGTTGGCGGTGCGGAGGGCGTCGCGGCGGCGGAGGGTGAAGAGGCTGTGGAGTTAGTCGGGGACCGGGATGATATGATTGTACATACATACCCCCCGATGTAGAGGTTGAGATGGTCCCCCGGCAGCTTGTCGAGCAGAGCCATGATGGAGTGCAGCCCTACCGGATGGTGTGTTTCGACCGGGCCCGCGGGCGGGGGTCACGTGGGCCTCGTATTGGCAACGGCTTGCGGCCGGGGATGCGAAGAAGTGGTAAGGCTGAGGGTGCGCTGGCTGGCTTGACGTCTGCCGTGTTCGTGCATGGCGCCGAGCGAAGCGCTTCGAGAATCTCTGGCCGGGCGCCAGTGGGGCGCGCTGCACCACTAATCACGACTTGCCTGACATGAATGCTCACCAGTTCGCTCTTCTTCAATTTTCCCGCATGCCCCGTGTCACTCGCCATGCACTGATCGCCGTCCTCCAGCCCCCGACGCCGCCGCTCAGCTCGCACCTCTCCTCCTCTCAGCCTTGCTACATAGGGCTGAGCCGGCCCTCAGTACCACAGCCCAAGCCCACCTCCTCGCTCGCTCTTGGCTCTGCGTGCGGGCCACATTCCTCACCCATCCCCCCCACGACTCAGCTGGTGGCGGCCGTCCCTTCGTCACCCTTGATACTTACTTGATGGACATGTCGCACGCAACCACGACCCCGTCGATACGTATCTACGACTCTGGCGCCCACCACCACCGCTTCCCTCTCCCGCGCCGCTCTCCCTCGTATGCATCGCCCACCGCCCTTCCCATGGCCATCCCCAATGCGCGAGACTCGCCGCCGCCGCCCTTGCCTCCGCCGCGTTACATCAACGAATTGAACCATGGCCAGGATCCCGGCTGGCAGTGGGGCAATGGCCCGAACAGCGCCTCGTTCGGCCGCAATTCCATCGGCTCGGTCAAGCCGGGCTCGAGTCTCCTGGGCGGTCAAGTGAAACGGGAGCTGCCCATGGACCATGGCGACCATGGCGACTACACCGCTCGCCGCGGCAGCTCGCTTTCTACCGTCAAGCCCCCAGACTGCGACATGGCACTTGACAGCGACGACGATCGCCCAGATCTCCGCCGCCCTTCCATGGCCAACCATTCGTACGTCCCACGTCCAAAGGACCCGTCGCAATGCTGACCCGACCCGCCTGCAGTCTCCAGAGCGAGCGCCAGCTCGGCCAGCGGTCCCTCGAAAACTCATCCCAAGCTTACGACAAGCAGCTGCTCTCCAAGATCGGTGGGCCCAACACCCCGACCCGCGGCCCGGCTGCCGGCTTCCTCTCGACCAGCGCCCAAGAGGCTGCCTCGAGCCCGCACACGACCCTGAGCAAGCTGAATGGCCAGCTCAAACCGCTGTCCATGCCCGAGCGGCGCATGAACTCGGTAGACCTGTCTGCGACGTCGCGATGGCCCCCGAGCTCTGGTGCCATCTCGCCGGGCCAGACGACCTTCCGCAGTCCCATTTACGACCCCGCCACCGTCGGCGACCACAACCCTGCTCCGCGGCCTTACGGCAGCATCTCAGGCCTCAGCGCTTACGATGACGCTGCGTCGCACAGGGGCAGCTATGACCACGGCGTCTTCTTGGACCCCGACTTCGCCATGGAGGAGAACGGTATGCGCGATCTCAACCTCAACGACCGCAGCCCTGCCGGCTCCGAGGAATACCAACTCAGCGGTCAGGGCGGTCTCAAGAGACGGGCCTCGTCCCCGCCCACCGAGGCTGCCCGCGAGGACCGTCCCAGCGGAGGCAACGACCTGTACCACCGTCGTTCGGCACAGATGCTCGTCAACCGCAACTCTCCAATCTCGCGCTTCCACGCCAACCACTCCTCGGTCTCGTCGACGGCATCATCACTGGGGCAGCGCACTGGTTCCCTTGGCTCGTCCTATGGCCTCTCAATCGCGAGCAGCGCCACGAGCTACAACACTGATCGACTGTCGCCTGGCGCGCTGTCGCCGTCGGTCGACGAGTTTGGCCCCGTCTCGCCCTACTCGACCAACCGCTCTCTCAACCCTAGCCCGCGCGGATCCTTGTCCAAGGCCCACCAGCGCGCGCTGTCGGGCGAGGACGCGATGCATAACCGCAAGCTGTCGGTGGATAGCCTGGCACACTCGCGCCAGAACAGCGTGTCACGGATTCAGGGACTCTACATCTGCGAGTGTTGCCCGAAGAAGCCAAAGAAGTTCGACAGCGAGGAGGAGTTGCGGTAAGTGCACGCACGGCCCGTGCCGCCCTCGTATCCGCAATTGCTGACCCGAGACAGGATCCACGAAATGGAGAAGCAGTACACGTGCCAATATTGCCCGAACCGCTTTAAGAACAAGAACGAGGCGGAGCGGCACCAAAACTCGCTGCATCTGCGGCGACATTCGTGGTCGTGCGCGGCGCTGGCGGGCGTGCAGGCAGCCTTCCACCCGTCGACGGTGCACCCCACGACGGCCGACGTCTGTGGGTACTGCGGCGAGGAGTTCCCGAACCCCGCGGATTGGGACATGCGCGCCGAGCACCTGAATCACGTGCACAAGTTCGGCGAATGCAACCAAGCCAAGAAGTTCTTCCGCGCCGATCACTTCCGTCAACACCTGAAGCACAGTCACGCAGGCACCAGCGGCAAGTGGACCAACATGCTCGAGAACGCATGTATGAAAGACGAGCCTCCACCAAAGGAGCGCATCGCGTCTGTGAGCGCGCTGCCGGGCGCGCCCATGGGCGCTGGTGGCCCTGCGCTGACTGCAGCCGCTGCGCTCAAGCCGGGTGTAATCAATGAATCACGAGAGGAGTCCTAAGGGAGGGGCGTTACAGGGCGAACTTTACTGGCGGTTACTAAGCGAGCATCTTCTTCATCGAGCATTGCCGCGGTGTCATTAGAACATCCACAACTCATCATTTTCAGCCAAGGGAGGCGCATCTGCGTTGCATTGTTGCCGGCCATCGAAACACGAAAGGTCTCAATCATCTCTTTCTCATCATCCTCGTCACTTGACTCATCTTAAGGCCCGTCCAACTGCGCAAATGGCGGATACACAAAAGTACTCTTTTTTTCGATCTCTCTTGTCACATGGGCTTCTGCGTTTGGTCGACGGAAGTCATCATCGTCATCATTATGCATCCCTGTTTCCACGAGGACATGACGGCGCGCGCGGGGTGGGTAGCTTCTCCATGGATCTTCGGCTTTTCCGGTTGAATCGGCTTTCCTTTCATTTCCTAGGTCTTTTTCCCTTTTCCTTCACTCTCGTAATTGTCTCATCAGGCGACAGCACGCCCACGTACACACACACACACTACTTCCCTACGCACGCACAAAGATCACATATACAGAGAGCGACAGGGCCCGCGCACGCGACCCGCCACTTCCTTGGCCTCCTCTACCCATCCAGTCACATACACATCAATCTGCTACAGCCAGAGTGTTGCACGACCCACTAGCGCTGCGGAGGAGGACGTCGCCCTTCCGAAGAGCGGGTAGGGACGGCGCGGCGTGACATTACTTTTCCGTCGGGCGCACCGACGCCGTCGCGAAATATTATGGGCACATACTCGTACGCAGACAGATAATACCTACATCGGTCGAGCCAGCCGGCCGGCCCGCCCCGAATCGAGAAACAGCTTCCTTTCTCCGGCGCTCCCGGGCTCCCCCACTGATCTGCGGGCTCGAGTGTTTTGAATAATCAATCCTACGGCGGCCCAGGTGTGGCCTCGTCGATGTCGTAGCTCGCCTGTCTCGCGTCGTCTTGTCTCGACCTGTCTTTCTGCGCGCCGCCCTTCCTTCCCTTCCCTCCCTTCATTCCCTTCCCTTTCCTTCTTTCCCTTCCCATCCGCACCCCTTCCCTCCCCTTCGATTAATCCCCCGCACATGCTCGATGACTCGGGCTTGGCATATGCGCTGCACACGGGGCGGACGGGGCGTCAACAGCGGCGGGTGTCAGGGCGTCAGGGCGTCATCATCCCCGTCAGCAAAAGAAGCAGCAGCATCAGCGCGGCGCGACTGCTGTCCGCAGGCAGGCAGGCAGGCAAGCAGGCAATAAGCAAGGGTTAGGTCAGCAGCGCTATCATGTCAGCAAGCGCGAATCAGTGCAGCGCCACGCGCAGACGATGGTGCCTTGGCGCGGACTTGGCCGCAGAGAGGCAGACGGGCGACCAGTAGTTGGGGATGGGTGTGTGTAGACGCGGCGGTGGCGGCGGTCGGGGAGGAGGTGATTGGGAAGAGGTTGCGAGGAGGGGAGCGGTGGGGTGAGTGAAGCTGGAGCTGCGTGCGCAGTGGATGGGGGAATGGTTTCGAGGGCGTGGCTGTTTGCTGCTGCTGCCGTAGATGGTGATGGGGAGGAAGAAGGGAAGACTGTGGCTGGCTGAGTGCGCTGCGCGCTGCGTTTGCTTTACGTTTTGCTTCTGCGGGTGCGGGCCGGGGAAGACGGGAGCGCTGTACTCGCGGAGATGCTCAGCCAGCCCTACACGCACGTACAGTGTCTACTAGGAATGACGGAGACCAGAGAGAGGGGGACGGAGGAGGAAGAGGAAGAAGAGGTCAAGTCAGCCATCCGTTGTCGTCGGCTGATCGGTTGAGCGGGTAGGACCTTTATCTAGTGCCTGGGCGTGGTGTTCCTTCGCGTTTATTCTTTTTCGCTGCAATTGCTCGGGCTGGCAGGGGCTGGAGGGTGTTTAGGCGGTGCTACTACAAGTGCTCTTTGTTTGTTTTTCTGGGGGGTGCGTGCGATTGATTGGCTAGTTGGGCGACTGGCTGAGCGTGTGCGGATGGTTGGAAGGGCGGTTGGTTGGATGGGAGGGGTTCGGCGTGTTGACGCTGCACGCCGTGTTGCTGCGTTGAGTAACTTTTTTGCTTTTTTCTGTGTTTCTTTTCTTTCTTTCTCTTCCTTTAGCAGCGAGATCTTTTTCCGTGGGTTTTGCTTTTTTGGTGCGCTGCTTTTTCGTGCTTTTTCCGTTTCTGGTCGAGGCGTTCCCACCCCCTACCCCCCTTGCCTTACGCTGCACCGGCCTGTCAGCCCTGCCTGGCCCTACCGTGCCTTGCGAGCTAGCTAGGTTGTCTTACATACGTGTGTGCGCGGTTGTGCCGCTCCGCTGGCTGGCTGGCTGGCTGGCTGGCTGTCTGCATGCCTCGCCACAACAACAACTACAGAGCACAACACAACACAACACAACACAACACAACACAGTACAAGACCACAGAATAACAGGGCAAAATAATGCTTTGGACTATGCTATACTTTGCAGTGTAGAGTCAAGACTTAGAAAAGCAGAAAAGACCGCGTTTTTCTTTTTTCAAACATGTTTTCTTTTCTGTTCCTGGCTTTCGTCTCTCTTGCCTTGCCTTCTCTCGCCTTCGTATCCGCCGCTCCGATTACTGGCTGCCTGGCCGCTGTCAGCGCGCGCGCGACTGCTGCTGACTGATGGCTGGGAAGGCGCTTGGCGGGCTTACGTCAGGCTGTTGGGTGGTGGGCTGAGGAGAGAGTGAGGGAGAAGGCCAGTCTTGCAAGGTAGGGCGTGTGGGCGTTGGCTTGTTGTTGTTATCGTTGTTGTTGTTGTTGTCTTGATTTATCTTTGTGTCCTCGTTCTGTCTCACCTGCCGTTACTGGTTTTTTTTTTTTTTTTTTTTCATAGTCGAACTGCATTATTATTTCGTGTTTATTGAGACTGGAGATTAGAAAAGAGACAAATATATGGAAATACAATGCCGCGACGTGTGCTTTTATGACGGGGGTTTGCGGCGTAGTAGACGAGAGAAGACTGACTGATATTGGCCAACGGCCTGGCTGGGAATCGTGTAATAAAGGAGAGGAAAAGGCAGTGAGAGCAGGTGCTTGTTCTTATTCTTCATCTATGGAGCCTGGAGCCTGGCTTATAGGCTGCGGGTCTTCTGGTGTCGGGAAGCCAGGGACTGGATAGTAGTGGCGGTGCAGCACTACACTTCGCTCTGGCCTGTTGTCCTCTATCATTATCCTATCCATCTACCTATCCATCTATCGTCTTCTTCTCTGCAACCTATATATATGAAATAGCTATACACGTCTCACTACTGTATACGCCACAACCGTAGCCAACCAACCAATTTCTCCCTCTCCCTCTCATCCCACCTAGGTATCCATCTCCCAACCTCTACTACTCTACCCACCCTCAACACCCCCAATCCCAACGCCGCTCCCCTCCACACACACACGCACATACACACACATAACAACCCAACCCACGAATCCACCCGCACGTCCAGGCTCACTACGGCCGTACATCCGCCCGTACGCAGTGGAGCCGTGGAGCCCTAGCCCAGGCCCCAGGCTGCAGGCCCCAGCCCAGCCCAGCCCGATATAATAGCGCCGGCACCCCAGCTATATAGCGCCAGCCATCCATCATGCGCGACTCGTAGTCGCAGGCTCGCAGCGCACCCACCTCCCTCCACCTTCGCGTGCGTCCGTCCGTACTCCGTACCCGCGCGTTGGGGTCCGGACGCTTTATCACGGACGACGACGATGGTGGTGGTGCGCGCTGGCGTGACTGCTGCTGGAGCCTGTCCCAGGTAGATACGGTACATACAGCACGTCGGCGCCATCACCACAGCAACGCAACGCCCGCGCAGCGCGTTCCCCCCGTCCCTCATGCCCTTGACGACTCGACTCGACCCGACCTTAGACGCACGACTCGACTCTTCGCGATCATCCCCCAGCCCCACTCGCGCCCAGCCCTGCCGCACACACACACACACACACACACACACAGACACGGTCCCACCCATGCACGCCGTTCCTCCCCCCACAAAACCCGGGCCCCGCCCCACACCCGCTGCAACCCTACAGGGCTTAGGGCCTTGAGCAGGCAGGGCAGCAGCCTAGCAGGGCTGGCCCCCGCCCAGCATAAGTTAGTTAAGGTGGGTACCTCAGACCTCAGGCAAGTGGGTACCGTAGGTAAGACAGGCAGGGAATGACAAACGGGCATAATCCTCGCCGGCGCGACAGTACCGCGGTCCGCACGCGCCTTGCTTACGTCCCCACCTTACCAGGGCAGGCGGGCGGCCTGGCGGGCCGCGAGTTTGTGCCCGGCGTGCGATTGATGCTGCTGCTGATGTTGGGGCTGGGGCGGGGGGCATGGTCGGTTTGTTTGTTTGTGGGTCTGCGTACGGATGGCAGTTGCTGGGTTGATTTGTCTGTTGGTTTCGGTGTTGGGTCGTGGTGGTGTGGATGTGTGTGTGTGTACGTGTGTGTATGCATTTGTGCTTTCGATCTGCGTACGTTATGTGCGCGCTGTGATGCCTGCCTGCTTGGACCTGCTTGGCTGGCGGTTGATACCGCGTACGTGCGTGGACGAAGAAGGGCGAGCAGATGTGTGTGTGTGTGTGCATGGCGCTAGGTAAGGTAGTTACTCATGTCCATACAGCGAGACGTTCGTATGGTGAGTAACGACACCAGCCGTGTGCCCGAAGCAAAGGAACACAACGACCTACCTAGGGTACATACACACATACGTACCTAGGAGCAATTTCGTGACGGATGATCCGTAGAAGCTCGCAACTGACAACGGACAAAGCATGCACAAGCCCCGTCCCACAAGATCAGCAGCAGGAACAATGCCGCCGCCAAAACCGGCCAAGCCTAAGCAAGCTTCCAAAGGAGCCAACAATTCCCCGCTCGCACGGCAGGCAGGCAGGCATGCGCGCATCGCGTACAATAGTCCGTAGGTAGCAGACGCAGGAAAAAAGGAACTTTCCGCGTCCATTTCCGTCTCCGTACCCACACCACCAACCCCCACGATCACAGCGCACAGCAACTGACAAGACAGCATCCCAGCAGCACACGCCGTGCACACACACATACACACCACTGCTGCCGTGCAAGTGCGCTTGCGCAGCCCAGTGCAATGCGTACAATGCGTGCATACTGACATCCCAGAGACGATCGCCCGCGCCTAGCCCATTCCAGCGCATGGGCGGGTGTCTCCCCACGCTCATCAGACCCTGGAGTGAGTGATCACGAAGCCTTGGCAGGTAGGTAGGGCGGACGCCCTCGCCAATGCCATCACCTCGAAACAACAGCATTACGCACACGCGCGCGTCGTCGTCGTTGTCGTCGCCATCGTCGTCGTCGTCCCACTGCATGCACGCACCGCTTGGCAATGGCTTGAGTCCGGTGAGGGAGGACAAGGTGCAAGCCGTCGCGCCCCACAAGGCAAGGCATTGCACCAGGGTAGATAACGGCGGTGCTAGCGCCGGCGCGGCGACGAGATCTGCGTCTGGAGGCTGTGCGTGCGTGCGCCGCGTTCATCGACTCTCTCGCTCGCGTTTCCTCGGCCCCCTGCCCTGGCCCTCCCCCCGGACGGGCATATCTCCCGATCTTTCGGCCGGGAGTGCCCGAATCGGGGCGTTGTGCCGCGTATGTCCTGCGTAATTAAGAGGGGCGGGCGGCTGAATAGATGCCCCGGAGGGAAGGAGCCGGAGGTCATCATTACTGGCCGTGCTTCGTACATACACACGCGCAGCATCATGTTGCTGCTCGGGGTCAGACAGCAGCAGCAATCGTGGGATGGAAGTCTTGGCCGAAAAGGCTTGCGGAATAGAAGCTCTCATTCTCGTCCAACCCGAGGATGCTTACACACTAATGGTCCACATGTATACCGTGGCTGGGGATCGTTGGCTGGTCTCGCTTTGTTGAGGTTATCCGATTGATGTTGCTGTCAGCAGGACCACCACGCTCGCGACTAACCAACTGTGCAGAACAGGAGTGTGGATGGCGAGATGCCGCAATTCCGGACTGCTGCGGGGAAGTGCATGCAGAGATGAGACTACAGTTGCAGGGCTGAAGAAGGCTCGTGAGGAGTAGCAGGTAGAATGGTGGGTCAAACGTAAGGCAAGCAATCCTTCAGAAGTGGTAGTGTGCTTCATGATGACAGGCAGAAGAGATCGAGCGACCGAGGATTTAACCTTAATCCCCAGTATGACGAGCACATAGTACTTCGTACGGCAGCTCGAGCGGGCCTTTTGCTCAAACAAGGCGTCGCTTAGCACCCATGGCCGTGAGGAGGAAGGATGATGATGATGATGCTGCGCGGATCTCGGTATACGTCGCCCGACCCGCCGTTGCTGACTCCCTGTCGTCAGCAAGCACCGGTGACACCCGCTAAGTGCTGACTGCGTCTTACACCTCACCAGAACGTCCTAGGGCTTAGTGTCATCGGCAAGATGCGCACGCAAGGGGGGTCGCCGAAGAGGGCTCGTGGTAGCATTGGATTCGATGCTTTTGCGACAAGTCAGATTAAAAGGTGTGGAGATAGATGGATGGCCAAAACATGATGATGACGGCAGGCGGCGCCTGCCCGACATGGGGCGGCATGTATGCTTTTTTGTCTTACGGATCGCCAGTAGGCACAGAGGGGAAGGTGTTGGGGTTAGACAGGCGCTCGCGGTTCCTCTTGGCTGCTTCCGCGTCGCGGATGCGTTTGATGCGCATCTGGTAAAAGTTCCTGCACCGTGTCAGCAACACAAGAATCCCCCCGTTGCATCCAAGTCACGGGACTTTGTCGTACTTGTGGAGAACGAAGACTCGGGGGCCCTCGTCAGCTTTTGCCTCACCCTTGGACAGTGCTTGGATCTGTGGCTCGTTAACTGCCTGCAAGCAACGTCTTGCAATCCGTCGGCACAAACCTTGTCCTCCTGCTCCTTTTGGTCCTTCTTGTCCTCTTCTTCCTCTTCCTTCTTGGCATCCTTGTCCTTTTCCTTTTCCTTTTCCTTCTCCTTGCGTTTCTCCTTCTTCAGCTTCTGCTTCTGCTCATACTCCTGCTTAACCTTTTCAATCTCGCGGTCGAGCTCGTCCTTCTTCTTCTTGGCCGCGAGAGCCTCGGCCTCGGCCTCATCGGGGTGGCAAAAGCCACGGTCTTTCAGGTGGCCAGGACAGATGTAGAAAAAGTCCTGCTTAGAGACTCAGCCCGCAATGAACGCTGTCAAGAACAGTGCCTACTCGGACCTTGCTGTCGGGGGTGATGAGGACGCTTGAGGAGGGCTTGAAGCAGATCCAGCAAGCTTTGGCATTGGCCTCAGCGACGCGGCGGAGGTGCCAGAGGTTCTGCAAGGACATTGTTGCACGAGTATTCTATGACGTTGAAGGAGGGATGCCCGCAGCCTTCGAGGGGAGAGATGGACAGCGGCGCAGACAGCGGAACGACCCGCCGAGGTTGGACCGTGCGATATCGATAAGGGCGGCCTGGCGGAGCTCCGGCCACCACTGCGGCGTCCTCTCTACAAGAATTAAAAGCAAGGGTTGCATGTATATGTACGAGCCAGCCAGCTAGCCGCCAACCCATTCAAAAACGCCAGACCCCACCGCACCAACATCGAATCGTGCCTGAAAACGCCTCTGAGACACACACCACTCCTGTCCACACCACCAACCCTTCTACCTCTACTACTACTAGACTACATACCTACAACCTGATCCCAGCCCCAATCCCCTTCCCCAAAAACCACACCTCCTCCTCCCACCTCCCGACCCTAACCCCCACCTCCGCCTTCGCGCCCAACTTCAGCCGTCCCCCCAAAGCCCTCTTCACGGCATCATACCCCACGCCACCGATGCTCCACTGGACCGGCAACCGAGGACTAGTGGCGGGCCCACCCGGCGGCACCGGAAACGTGCAGTCGTGCACAATGCGGCCGACGGGGTGCGAGTGGTAGTAGGCCGTGGCGTTGAGGTGCGTTATGTACAGCGTGGTGGTGGACAAGGGGGAGAGGAGCGTGAAGGTCGCGGTCGAGGTGAGGAGGTGCATCGTTGCGGAGCGGATGAAGTGCGGCGCTTTGTCGTCGGGGGAGTCGTTGTCGTCGTCGTCGTCGCCCGAAGAGGGGTTGTGCAGGCGCGGGGTGGGGAGTTTGAGGGGGAGGTCTGCGAGGGCCCGGCCGAGGGCTGGTTGTGCCGGGATGGTGTTGGCGTGGGTGCGCAGGGTTAGGGTCGTGTTGAAGCCTGTTTGTGTCAGTTGCTGCCCGTGAAGATGCCCTCCTATCTCCCCCCTTCCTTTTCCCGAATTCTCGAAGCGGACATAAAATAGGGGAGAAGGCGGTGCGTCAGGATCGTGAGTACATACCAGAGATATACTGGCTCAGCAGCTCCCGCCCAACAGCCCTGCCCTCCTCACCACTCGCCGACAGCGGATCCCACACCGCCTGTACGACGACATTCGTGTTATTTCCCGGCTTGACCTTGATATCTCTAGCCGTGACATGTCCCAAGACAGTGCCATTCGTCAAGAGATTGATATCCGCATATGGCACTGTGGCCGAATAATCGGTCGGATTCGTAAAGTTGACCAGAGCCTCGAGGGTCAGCGAGCTCTCCGTCGTATCCAAGATACGCAGGCCGCCGACCTTGGGCGCCAGATGGGCGAGGCCACCTTTGCCGCCATCTTTACCTTTGCCGGGGCCGATCGCTGTTAGTGGCGAAAGACGAAGTCAGCGCGCGTCCTCTTTCTCAATATCACGGGAAGAAAAGTGGAATTTAAGACGACTAGGTACGACGCAAGGAGACTGAGACTACTGACGTTTGACCGGCACAACTCCCTGGGCCGGAATCCGGCGCACCTTGAACATGCCCAAGCTCGTTGCCATCTCGACGTCCACGTCGGCTTTCACGCTCAGCATCACCGTTTTGTTGCCAAACAGTAGCGCCTGCACCACTTCACTAAAGACATCTTCGTCCGTGATTTCCAGCGGCGCCTCCTTGACCTCCGACTCTACAAGCAAACCCGGTGCGTCGTCGTCGTGCGCCTCGGTGCGTGTCGAGTTCGCCGCCTGCCACTTGCTGAGGTCCAGGTTGCCGAGCTTCTTGTCCTTGTAGAAGACGTCGGTCTCGGCACGCACGCGATCGACCGCGAGAGGAAAATTCATCTCCTCCGGCAGGCCGACGAGCGCTTTGATCTTGGCGGAGATACGGGGACGGGCTTCGGGCGAGTCGGGTTCGGCGAAGAAGCCGGGAAGGTGGAAGTGCACATCAGTCAGAGAGAAGTTTCTCACGAGGCCCTCGAACGTACGACCAGGAAACGGGACGGGGACGGTGATATCAGCCATTAAGTCGGTGATCCATTTGGGTGTGTCTAGCGATGGAGAATCTGAACCGCGGACATAGATTGTAGTATCATCGCCGTGGATGTAGTCTCCAACTAACAGATCTAAAGGCGACTTCTTGGAACCAGGGCACGCCGTAGTCAGCGCCTCCGGAAGTTGTCTGACAATGCCTGACACGTTGAGCTCCAGGTCCCGATAAGGTGCAATGTGCAAGAATGAAGTTTCTGCGTCCGCGACCATAATGTAGGGGTCGCTGGGCATGCAGTTGCCGACCAGGATACCAAAGCCTAGCGGTGGAATCATAATGTCAAGGGGGTAGTCGTTGACAACCACAAGGCTAACGTCCGCCGCCATGCCCGTCCCTGTGCCCGGCAGGTCCACCTCATGGACGTTTAGCCTGGCAATTTTATATTCTGGGAGAGCAGGAATTGCATTGCCTGTGGCCATGGCACTATTAGCATGATGAGGTTTGGATCAGCTTCCTACTCCTCCACCAGTACGGGGCAGATACTCACCTTCAAACACTAGCGCTTCCTCGATCTTCTGCGTGCCCAAGTGAATGATTCCAGATTTCAGCGGTACGTTGGCCTTGCCCTGGAGCCTCAAAGCACCCAGTTTGCCCGTAATCCAATCATTTGCAATATCTCTTACTCCATCCATCGAGCCCGGGTGCAAGTTTGCTACGAGCTTAATGTGGGTAGTCCTTCCGTTTCTTATGCTGACTTTAATTGGGGGAATGATGGCAGTGCCAATCACAGCATTGCCATAGTCTGGCAAGGCAACCTCGACGCTTGACTCGCCGCTCTCGACCTCCTTTGCTATCCAGGTGCCAAAACGGCCAAAGTCTCTCACCGACTTCCTTTGCACCTTCGACGCATCCATGGTAAAATCGCCCTCAACTCTGACGGCCACACCATCTGGGTTGAAGGATTCAAAACGCAGGCCTGTAGGCTGGAACACGACGGCCTGATTGGTGTATTCTTGTACCGCTTCTGGCACAAGGAAGCCCAAGATCATGATGATGACCACCGCGGCGCAGAGCAAGAGCAGTGCGATCACGCTCGGCCATCTTCTTTTCAGTTTGCCACGATGCTCCTCTGCCGCCGCACTCCGCCGACCTCCGAGCGAGTGCAACAAAGACCAGACGGCTTGCGAACGAGAAGGCCTATCGTTGGCGTCTTCATCGTCGTCGTCTTCTCGCTCGTCAGGCGAGAGCAGAGGCGTCTCCTCGGTGGTGGTCAAATCGTCTTCCGGATGCGGCGAGTCGCGGGTGCTGGACTTGGAGGGAGTGTGCGTTGGTGAAGCTGGGCGGGGGCTCGGGGTCGCGGTCGAGCCCCACGGGGTGTCGGCCATGATGGGAGATGAGCGGTCGGTCGTGGGAGTTGCAGTGGTAGGACTATCTCATAGCAAGAGGCAAAGGGCGGATTTTGGTCAGGTCCCAGGAACAGGTGCTTTGTGTCTCACGGGGAGGGGAAGGGGAACAGCAATGATGCATGACGGCGTGAGAATGGGCGTCACGGCCCCGCCAATAGAAGCTCGGCACGCCGACTTTGGCCAAAACGCGCGCTAGCCTCCGAAACCTGGGGAATCGGGCCAAAATTCCTCTGGCCTGAGCGCCCGCCGAGTCATCGTCAACGGCTATCCCAACATTTAACTGCTTCCGTCGTCACTGCGCCCAATTGCTTCGCTCGTGCCTCTCTTACGCTTCTCTAACCTCCAATCCGTCACAATGCCTCTGCTCCGCCCCTCCGCTCCCGCTCTCCGGAGCCTCGCGCGCGCCCAGAAGCTCCCGCACGTTCAGAAGCTCGCATACTCCGTCGCGGCACCTCCGACCTCGCCGTTCGCGCCGCGCCATCTGCTCTCGATAGCGGACCTGACGCCCGCGGAGCTTACGACCCTCGTGCGCAATGCCGATGCGCACAGACAGGCCATCAAGTCGGGCAGCACGCCCAAGAGCCTGGCGGGCGCGCTGGCGGGCAAGACCATCGCCATGACCTTCAGCAAGCGCAGCACGCGGACGCGGGTCTCGACCGAGGGCGCCGTGGTCGCCATGGGCGGCCACCCCATGTTCCTGGGCAAAGACGACATCCAGCTGGGCGTACGTAGGCGGCGCGCTCACCACCACCGACAGCTGACTCACCAGACCAGGTCAACGAGTCGCTCTACGACACCGCCGTCGTGATCTCCAGCATGGTGTCTGGCATCGTCGCCCGCGTGGGCCCCCACTCCGACGTCGCGGACCTCGCGAAACACTCCAGCGTCCCCGTCATCAACGCCCTCTCGGACCTTTACCACCCCCTCCAAACCATCGCCGACTTCCTCACCGTGCACACGGCCTTCCCCTCCGCCGCGAACACCAGCAGTAGCAACACGCTCGGCCTGGAGGGCCTCAAGCTCGCCTGGGTCGGCGACGCCAACAACGTCCTCTTCGACCTCGCCATTGGCGCCGCGAAGCTCGGCGTCGACCTCGCTGTCGCTACCCCCGCCGGCTACGAGATCCCTGCCGCCATGCGCCAGGTGATAGCCAATGCGGCGGCGGGCGCGCCCAAGCCGGGCAAGCTGCTCGAGACGCGCGTGCCCGAGGAAGCTGTCAAGGGCGCCGATGTCCTCGTCACTGATACCTGGGTCAGCATGGGCCAGGAGGAGGAGAAGGCCCGCCGCCTCAAGGCCTTTGAGGGCTTCCAGATCACGTCAGAGCTGGCGAAGCGCGGTGGTGCCAAGGACGGCTGGAGGTTCATGCACTGCTTGCCTCGCAAGCCCGAGGAGGTCAGCGACGAGGTCTTCTACTCCAACAGGAGTCTCGTCTTCCCTGAGGCGGAGAACAGGCTGTGGGCTGCCATCTCGGCCATTGAGGCTTTCGTCGTCAACAAGGGCAAGATCCAATGAGCGGACTTGGGCATTGGCAGTATTACTGAATTGACAAGGTACATATTTAGAGGCGCAAAGAGGAAAAAACCAGGCACTTGCTCATGATTGCTCATTAATATCCCACAATGGCATGTATGTACGCGGCTGCGACGCTCCAGGTAACGTCCGTCACCGTCAACCGAGATTCACCGTCTACCGAGACAGGAACTATACAAGCAGTCCCTACGGACTACTCCTTGTCTAGCTACAGGCCTAAGTCCTGAATGTGCATGAAAAGGTCTTGGAGCACACATACTATAAACACCTTAATTGGGTTTCTTCTTCCACTCATACAAATACAAGCGTCATTATCTCTCGTTAGGCGGTGAATCTTGCTTGACGGTGACGGACGTTAAACGTTTACATAAGTTCAAAATAACATTTTTTGTTTCCACGTATTTTTAGGATCCCTAGAGCATTTAACCAGGGGGCAGCATGCTCTGGTCGACGACGTCCTCGATCTCCTTCTCTTGCGCCTCGTTCGGGCCGGTGAGCGGCGAGCGGGGCAGGGCCATAAGACCTAGTCATAAATGTTAGCGTACGCAATGTGAGTCATATGGGTTGACACTTACCAGTCCTGGCAGACTCGAGGATACCGAAGGGAGCAATGAGCTTCATGAACGAGTCAATCCTTGCCGGCTTGGCAGAGACTTCGACGATGCAGTTGTTGGTGCTGATGTCCAGGACCTTGCCACCGAACTGGTGCGCCAGGTGGGTGATCGCCTCCAAGTGCTCGTGCTTGTGCCTCAGCGCTTGCGACGCAGCCAGTCTGCTAGGGTGGAAGTCGCGACGAAGCGCCTCTTGGGCGGCGCGCTCGGCAGCGATCCTCTGCTCCTCAATGGCAGCGGCAGTCTGCTCGGGGGTCTCACCATCCTGGATGAAGCCGGGCGAGTCGACCATTTCGCGGTGGTGGTTCATCAGCTCCTCGAAGAACTCGGGGCCGAGGATGGAGATCTTGGCGAGCAGCAGCTCGCGCTGGACGAGGGGCGCTTGGGTGTAGTCGAGGACGGCCCAGACGGGAACGAGATCCTCGAGCTGGCGGCGGGCCTGCTCGACGACGCCGTCCTGGCCCTGCAGGACAATGGTCATACGCGAGAGGTCGTCGACCTCGGTGTTGCAGACGACGAGGGAGTCGATGTTGAAGCCGCGCGCGGCCAGGATACCCGACACGCGCGACAGCACACCCGGCTCGTTCTGCACGAGGCAGTTGAGGACGTGGCGCTTTGGCGGAGCCTGCGAGGGCAGCGGCGTCTCGTAGAGGATGCTGCTGACGGCGGCAGGAGCCGACCATGACGGCGGGGCATCTTGTGTGGGGAGAGGCGCGATCCGTCGGTGCAGGGCCTTGTAGGCGAGGGCCTGGGTCGAGGAACTGGAGCGGCGGACGGCCGGCAGGAAGAAGGCATTGGCGGCGGGCTTGCTGAGGGCGCTGCGCAGAGGCAAGGCGGCCAACGCTCGCCGGGAAGCCATGTTGGCGATGTTGGGGCCCGCGGCGAGGGGCGTGGAGGCTTGTGGAGGGGCTCGCTGCAAATGCGCGGAGGCGAGAGTTTGGGGGCGTTGAAGATTCAACGGGCCAGTCGCAGAGTAACAATTTCTCGGCAGCTCCAGGTTGGTTGACTCGGACGGCGATATCGGAAGCTGGGGAATTTGCCGACATTGAGCCGAGAATCTGCTTACTTAATTATCGGCAGACCGCCTTCAATTCTGCCCTTCTGCTGCCGACGCCAGCTGCAGCCCTGTCGCGTCACCTCGAATCACGACACCAAATCCTCACAGCCATGCCGGAAGAGGGAAGGAAGCGCTCGCGTTTCGACCAGACCGAGCCCGAGCCCGCGCGCAAGTCGCGCTTCGATCGCCGCTCGCGCTCGCCCGCCCCCAGGCTCTCCGAAGCTCGCCGCAGCCGTAGTCCCATCGACCGTCAGGCCAGCGACAGCCCCGCGACAAAGGAGAGGAAGGATCCTGCCGCCGCTGCCGCTGCCGCTGCTGCGCGCATCAATGCCCAGATCCAGGCAAAGAAGGGCATCCAGCATGTCGACGTGCCGCCCATTCGCTCCGTCCGTCTACACACCGACTCCGCGTCTCTGTCCAAAAGCACCGTCTCAGCTGCTAACCACGAACCCTTGCAGAGCATCACGCCCACCGCCGCAAAGTCTCCCTCGGCCCCTCCCGCCAATGAGGGCGACGTCTACCAGCAGGATGGCGACTACATCAAGGACATCGAGGTCAACGACCTGCGCAACCGCTATGTGCTGACCAAGGGCTCTACTCAGAAAATGGTAAATACTTCTGTCATAGCAGACTGATGCTCCCAGGTCCATCTTTGCACCCTTTCATCTTCTCTCTTGTCAAGTCTCGTCAAAACGTGCTGTGGATGCGCAAGAAGCTCACACATAGTGTCCATAGCTGCGGTTCACAGCAACCCCCCGTTGGAATCTGCTGACAACTCCGGTGTGACATATAGATTAAAGATCAGACGGGTGCCGGTACGCTCCACTACCTAACGTATACCTTTTGTTTGTAGGATGTCTTACTTATTCGTGTAAAGATGTCACCACCCGCGGCGAATACTACCCAGACAAGAGCATGGCCAAACCTGGCGTGAGTCTCACCAGCTGTTGATATGGAAGTGCCAAGCTGACCTTTCAAGGCCCCGCCTCTTTTCCTTCACGTCACTAGCACGACCAAGGAGGGCCTCGAAAAGGCCATCGAGAAAATCGAAGAGCTCATGAAGCAGGAACTTCCTAACCTCGTGGACGAGCGCCGATTCCGCCGTCGCGAGCCGGAACAGTTTGAGCGTGACGAGCTCGGCAGGGTAACATAGCACAAGGTGACCGGCTTCGGTGTGAGAAGTAAAACTGACGAGTCGCAGCGCAAATGGCCTGAGGAGAAGATTCCCGTGGACCTCGAGCCCATTCCAGGCTTCAACCTCCGTGCCCAGGTTGTCGGATCTGGCGGCCAGTTTGTCAAGCACATTCAGCAAGAGACGCGCTGCCGTGTTCAGATCAAGGGCCGCGGATCCGGCTTTATGGAGTATCAAACTAATCAAGAGAGTGATGAGCCTATGTACCTTCACGTTGCGTAAGTAAAACATATCTTGTCGATATGGGAGCATGGTATTGATAAAATCACAGTGGTCCTGACCCAGCCCAGGTCACCAGAGCCAAGGAGCTCTGCGAGGACTTGCTCGGACATGTCAGGTCAAATTACGAGACCTTCAAGGCCCACGGCCCCGCTCGCCGTGGTTACGGCGGTGGAGACCGCTACGACGGTAGGAATGGCGGCAGTCGCTCAGACAGTTACGGCCGTCAAGATAGCTACGGCGGCGGTAACAGCTACAGCAGCGGCTACGGTGCACAGCAATCCCCCGCGTACGGCGGCTCAACCATGAGCCCAGCGACGGAAGCAGCAGCCGCGACGCCGAGCAGCACAGCGGCCGCCGACTACGCCGCACAGTACGCGCAGTACTACGGCGGCGCGGACCCCTATGCCGCGTATGGCGGCTACCAAGGCTACGTGGCCGCGTACTACCAGTACTATGCCAGCCAGCAGGGCCAGGCGCCCGGCTCTGCGTCGACGACGCCTGCGCCCCCTGCCATGTCGGCCTACCAGGCTCCGCCGCCCCCACCCGGCTCGGAACCCCCACCGCCGCCTCCTCCGGGTGATGCCCCGCCTCCGCCACCGGCTGGGTCGCCTCCCGGCGTGGGTGGCTATAGCGCTGTGCCACCACCACCGGGCTTGTGAGTGTGAATGTGAGAGTAAACGTGGGCGTGGGCGTGGGGTTTGGGTGAGGGTGAGAGGACGGATGAGCGCTGAGTTCTTGGTGCTGGGTGATGCGCTGTTGCGCTGAGGCGTCTAGGAACGGGCCGTGGTCGTTTGTGTATGAGGATGGTTATGCTAAGATGGAAAAGTGATGGACAGGATGGATGGATGGACGAGGGGCTGCTCGCGTGCGCGTTGATTACGCGGGTTCGGTAGTCGGTTGCTGGTCTTTGGGTTGAAGGCTGGGACCTAAGGGCTAAGAGCTTCGTCTTTTTCATTGCTGCTACTGCTGCTGCTTTTCCTTCTTTCTTTCTCCTTTCCCCCCTTCTTCTGCGTCTTCTATGCCGTGAGGTGACGGTGTTTGTCGATGCTTTGCTTTGCTTTGCTGCTGATTCTGCTGCTGATTCTGCTATTGCTGCTCACTTCTCTCTACTCTCTCCGGCTAGGTTGGGATTTGGGTCGCGCGTGCTGGTGGGTAGATGGACGGACGGACGGACGGACAGGGGAAGAGAGCGATGAAAGAATGAAGGCTGCGTGAAGGGAAGGAAGATGGACTCAAAAAGACAGTAAAATGGTTGAGCGGATCGAATTGGTTATATTTGAGCGACTGGTTGGCTTGCTTTGCTTGCACTGCGAATGGGGGCCGCGCGTGATGCGGCGGCTTCTGCTGTGTGTGGTGTGGTGTGTGTGGCGTGGGTGCGTGAGCTGTGGGTTGGTTGCTTTGCTTGCTTGCTGAGTGTTGCGGCGCCTGGGGGTATGGGCTGGTGTTGGTAGTGGTAGTGGTGATAGTGGTGGTGGTAGTGGTAGCAGTTGATAGAGTGGATTCGGACAGATGCGTATTCTTTGCTTGTGTCCGTCTGGAGAATTTCTGTCTGCTTGATTGCCTGGTTCGTCACGTAGTCATGGTCTGTCCCGCACTCATCGGATACTATGGTATGCGTGGTGTGTTCATGGTGGAGACTCTTCGTGGGGTATCTAGCCATGTGCGTACACACGGCGAGCACATCAGCGCGTACCCATGGCTGCATTCCTGTGGGAGTGTAGGGGTGGAGCATGAAAGGGGCGTGCCGTTTCAGGAGGGTATGGGGAGGTAAATGGTTGTGGGGGGATGGAGGGAGTTTAGCAGGTACGAGCTTTACTGTGACAATTTGTAGAAAGCAAGTAAGCAAGTAAGTTCGGTATTCGGTTCTAACCAAAACAATGACCTCTCTCTCGATATCTCTCTCTATTCACTCATTACTCCTCCTCGCCACCATACTTCTCCTTCCACTCTCGCTCCTCCTTTTCCAACGTGTCATCGCTCCACGCATCGCTGAGGTCGCTCTCTGCCTCTATGTACCCGCGTATGACGTCTTCGTCGACAGAGCTGAGAGGGCTGCTGCTCGGGAGCCTGGGGGTTTCCGGCCGCTGCATCATCATCTCATGTGCCTGGATGACCTGGTCCTGGTCCTGGTCCTGGCCCTGGTCCTGGTCCTGGTTCTGCACCTGCACCTGCTGCTCCTCCTGCTGATACAGCCCCCCACCCGCCTCCTCCTCGCCATGACCCCCCTCTCCCATCTCCTCGACCTTACGCCTGAACACCGACGTCGGCACCAAGAACCGCTCGAGAAGCTCGTGGTCTTCCGCAACAGGAGGCGACGGCGTGCGCGGCTGCGCCGGCGACAACAACAACAACTGTGGCATGGCGTTAGCGTGTTCTGCGGTGTCAGGGCCGGGCAAATCACTGTTGGTGTTGTCTTGCTGTAAGAGCGGATATTCTGTTGTGGAGGCGCCTGCGATGGTGTTGTTGGTGTCGTCTTCTGGCTGTTGGGAAACGTCCTGTGCAGCGCTGATGGCTGTGCCGGGCCAGTCATCCATTTGCATGTCGGTGGCTGTGTTGAAGGCGTTGTTGTCCATGTTCATGGGGTCCGTGTTGGAGACGAGGCCGCTGCCAAAGGCGCCGAAGTTGGGGGAGTGCAGCGTCGGGAAGAAGTCACTGGTGGGGACATCGTCAGCGTTTGTACCGGCTAGGTTGTCGTGGATGGGTGTGTTGGTAGTCTGGATATCAGTGGTGCCGCTAGGAGGAGTAGCGGTACCGCTGGGTTGCGCAGTGTCAGCATTGTCCTCAGTGATCGCAGAAGCAGGGGTGCAGGTTATAGCAGTTGTAGTAGTAGCATCGGTGGCTTCAATGGCTTGAACAATAGAGACTTCGGCACCTTCAGATGTGTCAGCCACTTCAGATGTGTCGGAGTTGTCGGTGACCTCAATAACCTCTAGAGTCTTAGTGGTGTTAGTGACTTCAGTGGCACGAGTAGCCTCGTTAGCTTCAGCGGCCTCAATCTTTCGCATCAGTTCTCGATTAGCGATCATAAGTCGCTCGCGCTCTGCACAGGCCTCCATGATCGCCTCCTTCAGCTGCACGAGGGTGAGGTACTTGACGTCCGTCTCATTGCGCAGGTTGTAGGAGCGACGGACAGGGCTCTGGCTGGAACTGCTGCCACCTTGCTGTTGCTGAGAATTCCTGGTCTGCGAGCCTTCTCCAGCTTCGCCTGGCTGTGGTCCAGTGCTTGCATGCTCCGTAACATTGCCGGACGAGCGTGGTGGATCCAAGTCCATGGCATCGTCATCACCAACATTCTCTGCGCCGGCAGTAACATCACGCGTCTCGGAGTTACGAGCCTGGCGCTCAGCCGTAGCAGCTTGGTCGCGCTGTAGTTGCTCACGCTGCATCTGCTGCATGACAGCGCGTCTCTGAGCAGCGCTCTTGAAGGTGTAGCGTGGGCCGCTGCGTTCGGTGTCGTTGTCTTGTATGGGCCGCGCGGGCATGCTTGAACTAAATAGGCCAGCACTGTGTGGGGTCGCTATATCCTTGTAGTCAGTCGTGTGATTTTTCGATTGTTCAAGGGCATGAAGGGAGATAGTTGTGGGTGGCTTACGCAAGGCTTCCAGAGACTTGTAGTGTGCGAGTACATCACGCGGAACTGGGAGACGTACAATCAGACGCGGGTTGGGGGGGCCGCCTGTTTCATATGCCCAAAGGACTTGAGTTAGTCATTGTGTTCTCGAGGTCATGCTTGATAATGGTGTTGTGTTGACGGTGAGAATAACAATCAGAGTGAAGAGCGGGCAGTGTCTAGATTGCAGCGGAAAGAATATTACTCACGTCTGTCGCCTCTGTTGATCTGCTCTACGAACTTTGCGAACCTGACTTTGTCCAGTTTCATAGTGACGATGAATTTCTTAGGCGCCAGTAACATCAAGCGCTCTTTGCACTTCTTTGCCTCGGCCGACATTGCGCGGAGGGACTTGAGGCCCCTCTCCAGGACCTTGCGAGTGAAGAAGTCAAGGTGATCCTTGTCACGGGCCAGAGGCTGCTTGGTGATGGCGAGCTTTTGCATCGCCTCTGCTATGTTGACCGGATCAACGGTCTGCGCGGTGACGACCCATTGCGCCAGTTGGCTCTGGCCCGCAATGCGGCCATTGGGCAGCTTCGTGGTGTCTGCGCTCATTGTGGTGGTTGTGTGGTGGAGGTTGTTGTTGTTGCGGCGGTGGTTGTTATTAGGCTTATTAGAGTGATTGGAGTGAAAGCGCGGAACTTCACTGCCTCTGCCACTAGCCGAAGGGCGACCAGGCATAGAGCCAAAGTAGTTGGGGGCGTGTGGGGAACTTCACTTACGTACGAGCACCATGGTGAGTGCCCCTTTAACATGCGATCAGAGACTCAGTGACTGTGTGACTGGCAGGGTGAGACGTGAGAGGTAGACAAAGCTAAAAGTAATGTCTCGAAGATAGGTGAAGCTGTGTGAATGCGGTTGCGACTTCAAGTAACAAAACGGGGTGAAGTCGGTAACAAAGAGAATACCTGGATATTTGCAACAAACTACCTTGCGCGAATAGAACAACAAGCGATTGAACAATGGGCCTGGCAAAACAAGCTCTTGTACGGGTGAGAGATGAAGCCATATAGATATACAATGTATACCGTGCGCTAGACAAACAAATACAACATAGCCCGTCCGTCTACCATAGGCAAGTGTAATGTGAGGCTACAAAAGAGGGATGCGATAGAGCTGACTGAGCACTTGCAAGGAAAGTATCAGAGTAGGAACATAGGTGGAAGTGCAAAAACTATAGGCCTAGCAAGGACCTATAGAAACCCCGGTCGTCACCAGGATTTTTTGCATTGAGCCCGTATCGAACCCTTTATCTAGATTAAGGGCGAACAGTGAATCAATGCGCGCAGAGCCCGAAACCAACAGACCAGGGTAGCTAATCCCAGCCGTCAGTACGAGTTGCGATGCCAAGTGGTCGGCGATTCAGACTTATAAAGTAGGTAGCAGTCCCTTTCACACTTAACAGAGGACTCAAAGAGAAGCTGTCCTTGCTGTTAGCATACGACCGAATGCCGGAGAAATACGACAAGCTCAGGTTAACATCAGTGGTAGTAACCTGCCTTTGTATACATTTTATTCGCCGTAGTTTCTATTTACGTTGCCAATCAGCTGATATGTACTTGTGTAGAGGTTTGAACACATACGGCTTAACATTTCTAGCCATGTTATTCAGGCACAGCACACAACATCAATGCCTTCTTCTATGCCTGTCACTGCGTGAACATCGTCAGACAACCGTTATCTTCATAATACGTTTTCTTGAAATTGGTTCAAGTTCCTCTTCGTTCAAGCACCCGCGCCACTCTTCTTCCTCGTAATTTTGAACAAGAACAAGTTCTCTCTCGAGTAGATCTCCTTGTCCGGGTCGTCGTTGACCTCTTCCACGATGAACATCTTCTTGATCGCCTTTACAAAGTGCAAGTCCGCCCGTCTCCTCTTCTTGAAGCAGAACCAGCACACCGTGTTCTCGCCGATCAGGTCTTCCATCGTCTTCTGCAGAAGAGGAAAGGCCGGCTCGAAGTACACGCAATCGGCTGCAAGGATGACGTCCGGATGCTTGGGGAGCTCGGCGGGCCGCTCCTCGCCCCAGTCATAGACGAGTGCCTTGACGTTGTCGTCCAGCTTGTTGAGCGCAATGTTCTGCTTCATAAGCTCAAACATGGGGATCTGGTCGGTAATCCAAAGCGGGTTCTCGCGGGTAATGCCATTGCAGCCAATGGCGACTGCCAGGCCCACAAGACCGCCACCTGCACCCAGTTCAACTCTGCGAAGCTGTCAGCGATGCGCCTCGTGGTCGCGGCAGCGCGGTTGCAGAGCGTACAAACATTGACTTGCCCGCAAGGCCGTCCCTGTGCTTCCGTAGCATGTACTTGGACAGGACCATGCCCGCGGGCCAAAGCTGTCCGCCGCATCCTCCCTTCAGATCTTCATGGAGCCTCAACGGCGGGCTGAGGAGGCCATCGAAGTCGAGAGAAGAGTCTCCAGCAGCTTTGTACTGCGGGAGCTCGACCAGGTCTTCGCTGATGTTGAAAAAAGGTTCTTCTTCGGCCATCGTGGGGTTAGTTGGGGAGGTTGTGGGGTGCAACGATGGGGGTGAAGTGAGAGAAAATCTTTATCGATAACGGCGTCGAATCAACCGAATCTCGTTCGCGCATGCGCATGATGCGCCTCAGTACGTGTCCGAAGTTTGCTAAGAATATTCTTTCTTCTTGCGACTAGCCGCGAAACTATACCCAGCAACTTTGGACGTCTGGTCATTCGCTGTGTGTTCACCTGCACCGTTGGCCCGTTTCACCGTTTCGGCTGACTGCAGCCACTGCACCTCGGAGAATAGCTGAAGAATCTTCTGGATTGCTCCCGACGTTCAAAGTTGATGAGCTTGCCAAGGTATTTTGTTTTGAAATAACGTTCAGTGGACAACCAATGTGTGGGAGTGTCTTGTTCACAGCGTGCTTTGGTTCGCAATCGATCCGGAATCGATTCGAATCGGTTCCCTTAAGTCCAGACGTTCAAGGTTATACCGGCCGCCAAGACCTTCCTATCATGGCTAGCGCTCCAAAAAAGGCAGCTCTCTTGTAACGGTGGAAGGTTGAGAACCGCCAGCTTTCTCAAGCTGCCACGACTGCAAGACTTTGATTGAAGGGAAGGAAATAACAGCTTTGAAGATGGCATCCTACCGAGTGAGGAACTGATGATATTCGAGTATCAAAATCCCCTCAGACCACCATCTGCAGTCTGTTCGCAGAGCATGCGCAACATGTTCAAAATTAGTTCCGAATCAGTTCCAAACCAATTCCAAACCCAATCTTACTTTTCAGATGTTCGAAGTTGTTGTCGACGCTTTCCTACCTGGGTTAGCGTCTATAATAGGTAATCATCAAACAAACTGTTCGAGAGGCTGAGATGACGGACGGTCATCATGAGCTGCGCCGCTTCAGCCTGACAGAGTTTTTATAACCCAGTCCTACGCCCCTATGCTATGTGTGCGACATCAAAAGTGTCCATGATACGTGAATTGGGAGGTTAGTCGTCATGCTTCTTACAGGTCTTCTATGCATGTCAGAACCAATCCGCAATTAATCAAGAATTCCTCCAGAATCAGTCTTTAATCGATGCGAAATCGCTCAGTATTTATTCCGACGTTCGAAGTTGAAGGTTGTTGAGACCTTCCTATTTCAACTAGCGTGCCCAAAGTAGGAAAGCCCTTGTCGGCCGCCAGAAACCCAGCTCCAAACCACCACTCAACTCACGCGCAAGCAACAGCAACAGACAACTGAACTCGTGAAAGTTTCTTTAATGCGCGAACGGGCAATTCAGTGCGTGTAGAGCAGGTATGTCTAGTCTTCCAACAAGCCTAAACTAAGCCTAGCATACACCTTGGTGCGTCCGATGGCAGCGCTTCCGGCACCGCGTAGACTCTGATGCAGCCAAAACTAGACAGATGATGGTATATGGTATGTTCCGTAGTGCTCACCAGTCAGTAAGCTCTCCGATAGGTCTTATACCTTTGTTGGTACGTAGCGTTTGCCACAGGACGCGGGAAGGTCGTACAGTGAGTAGCGAACGTCGTTTTATTCGTTGCATTGCAAGCCACTCAGCATTGGCAGTTGCGGATAACGATTAATACCGTACCCGGTACCGGGGTCGTGCTAACACATATATATTCCAACCCAGCCTTGTCTGTACTTTTTAGAATCCCACTTTCCCCATTCTCCTTTCCTAAACACCATCACGTGATGGAAGTCTCTAACGTCTTAGAGACCATATTTGGTAGCCAAGCTAACGGCACCACTTCCTGGCAACCGGAGCCGACAACTCGCGGAACATTTAGCATCCTTTCTACATGCCTTGTGACACTGTCGTTGTGTGTCTGGACTGCAGTGCACCTAAACATCCCGGCATATGGTCAAGTAGACCGACAAAAATGGCGTAAATTACGTTGGTTGACTTTCACATTGTTCGCGCCAGAATTGGTAGTTCTTCTTTTCTTTGTTTTCTCACGACCGTCAATGCACTATTGTGTCGTGGCTGTTGGAATGACCTTGAATAGTCTACTGATCATTCAAAGGTGATATTGACGGCATACCATCAGCGCAAGTCTGCGAAAAAAGCTCTCGAAATAGGTATAAAGACTTTCGGACAGGAGCCTCACGACTCATTTCCACTCAAGGTCCTTCGGTATTTTCGAAAAGTTGTTCCGCCTCCCCAAAATGACGTTGAAGTGGAGTTAACTCAGAGCACGGAATTTACTCGAGATTCGGAAGTAAGGCTAAGCCGGTGTTCTGCTTGGGACGCTCTCACCATTTTGCCTGACTAACTAAAGGCAGATTACTATAAGAAGCATAATAAATGCACGCCACCCTTGGACAATGGTTCACGGTCACTACGTGGCCATGGGCGGACTCGCAGTCGAATTTCACCTCGGTTCAGCTCAGACTCGACGTATTGTACTCACTGTGGACGCATTCAAAGCCGTACTCGACAAATACCCTTCCTCTATGCTGGAATTATCGGAATCACATATCAAAGATAAGAGCAAAGCAAATACATTGGCTAAAACTCTGGTATGCATACAAGCCCTTTGGTTCTGCATCCAGTGTTTCTCTAGGATGGGACAACGCTTATCAATCTCACTCCTGGAACTGAATACTCTCGGACACGCCATATGTGCACTCCTTATGTATCTGTTATGGTGGGACAAGCCATTGGACGTCGGAGAACCAACTCTGCTTCAAGAACAAGGTGTCAAAGAGCTTGTCGCTCTATTTAGCTTAAGCAATAAATCCAAGAAGGGCTGGGACATTGGGCACAAGGACAGCTACACCGGAGTAGAGACAAAATCTCCTGTCGTTTACTTCACCGAGGCTTCTGGCAATATCGACTCATACATAACACCTCCTTTCGATTTCGATTTTGAGGCGCCAAACGAACACAAAACATACAAGCTTTACATGGGTTTTAGCTTATATGGATTTTGCTTTAATCGTCCATCTGAGTGGCCTAAATCATCTCCACGGGACCGCATCTTCCTTGACAGGCCCTATATAACCCTGGATACTATGGACTTGATTTGTTGGAAGATGGCTGCGGAGGCGGTTCGCCGCCATTATCCACAAGACCCTTCCCGTCCTACATTGCGCTCATCATGGAGATTGTCCCAACAGTTCGAAAAAGTAGTGGAATGGGTTCCAGATTCTATTAGTGAAACACTTGATTCGATTGAGTCGAGTTATAGTCTGGCTTTCTCTGGAATTATTTATGGAGGGCTTCACCTTTTGGCATGGAATGCACCATTCCTAACTTTCGCGGAGAAATTCCTCTGGCGCTTCAGTAGCCTAGCAGTGGCTTCCGCAGTGGTTTTCTTGGGCCTTTTCCACTTTGTTCGTCTTTACGCTTCTATGAAGGTGGGGGTACCCACTAAGAATATGTTCAACAACTTGTTCGACAAGTCACACAATGTAATTTATACCTCAGCTAACTTGTCATTCCATTTCCTAGCATATTTTTTCCCTCTAATTTATGTGTTTTCAAGAATTTACCTAGTTGTTGAATGTTTTCTTCAATTCCGGCATCTTCCAGATTCTGTCTTTCTCGTACCGACTTGGTCTCAATATGTTCCGCACATCTCCTAACGTACCTTTTATCTCTCTTTCTTTGGAAACACCAGTTCAGATCTCTCATTCAATCTCCACCACTACAGTTATTATCGATCAAAAAGGGGAATCTTCAGCCACTTCCAAAGCAGAACGGACGACAGGATTTTGACAGACGGAACACCAGCTGATTCAACATCAGCCAGACAAGCAACGGGTACAATAGCATATATAGCATGTGGCATCAAATCTACCAATCAATATCTCACACTTTCCGAACTCCATCCAAGCTTCCAGCAAAAAAGGAACTTCCACATCAAGCAAGCCCTGGCCACAAATAGCCATGATATGACACACATTACCCAGCCAAACCCGCTCTCCCACCCGCACGCACGCACGCACGCAGACGATCAAACACCCTCACCGAACGAACAAGTCTCCGTTTCGCGGTTCTCCTGTGCCAACAAGCACACACAAAGCTGGAACCAGTCCATTGCTTCTACCACCCTACCCAGCGCGTGTGCTATCGAATAGTATGTACCAGGCTGCATGTACCCCGCCAAACCCTCAACGCAAGTATCGCATCATATCGCATCAATCAAGTCTCAAATACTCCGAACCCATACCCCAACCCACTCCACCTAAAGAAGAAAGAACACCGGCCAAACCAATCTATCAGCCCAGCCAGGCCACCACACCTACCCTAGCTCGTCTCTCTCAACTTAGTTGCGCGCCAATACTCGCCCGCAAACAAGTTCTGCGTGCTCCTAAGCTGCTCGGCCGCATCGTTAGCATTTCCAAACAACCTCGCGGCAGCTCGTATGTGCCTAGGAAAAGACGACTTACCCCCCTCGAGACCCTTTGTCTAATGGAAACCTGTGCTTTCACCTTCTCCCCCAAGCGTAGCGGGCGCGGCGCCATGAAAACCTCCGGCGCCTCTCCCCGGACCCCTCGCACACGCTCCACGCTCAGATGACGCAGTGCTTGCGCTGGTGACATAGCCTTCAATGCGCCTTCGCTCTCGTCCTCTTGGCCCCCCACTAACTCCGCTGTACCACCCTCGTACTTCCCTAGATACAGGTCTTCGCTTGCCGGTGCCCCGCTAGGCACGCTCCAGAGTGACGCTTCTTCATCTAGACTGTCGGCCACATTTGCGAGCCTCTCCACCATGTCTTCTGTGGGCTGCATGGCATACCACTTCCTGAGTTTGCGCCACAGAGCATCACCGTTGCTGTCGGCAGCAGACCCTAGTTGCTGCAGCACTGCAAACCCGGCGACAGCACCTGGGGACGTGGCTGCACCAATGTAGTTGTAGGTTGGAGTTGAGTATACAGCTACTTGTTCGGCTTGTTCAATGCTCGTGGCCGTTGTTATTGGTTCCGAAGGGCGGTGCTCAAGTGGTCGGTGGTTACGGTGTTGGTTCCGTGCTTGGCTCAACGAGACTAGCACACGCTGGCGTAGCTCCTCTTTGCGCGTGGATGTGGGTTTGGCGTCTTCGTCGAGTTGCGGGGGCTCTCGACGGCGCTGGCGCTCTGCTTTGTTTGGGCGCAGGGACGGCATGCTGCGTCTCCTTTCGGGTACTTGACTTTTCTGCATGCTCTCATGACGTGACACGATGCGCATCCTGAGCGGGAGGAACTGTGGGGTTGGCGATTGAGTCTGTGATTTCTGTAGCCGGATACATGGCTCTGTTGTCTCTATCTTCGAACGGTGTATGGTATTGTTAGGTGCTAAACAGACCCCGGCAGGCGACACGGGCTCCGATTCATGTAAGTTCTCGTTAAAAGCCAGTAGATTCAAAACTTCCTTGTCACGTGTTGGTGATGAGACCTCTTGTAAAGACGAGGATATGCATGTCAGGTCGATAGGTCCGCGGCGTGAGCGCAGGAAATCAATGTCCTTCCCATCCAGTGCGGCAGAAGAACTTTCAAGCATAACCTCACAGAGAGGATCTTGCTTTTGCCGCTGTTCCTTTCTCGCCAGTAATTCATGAAATCGCCTTGGACTGACCGGTGACGGCAAGAGCGTGTGGAGTAGCGAATGTCGACGTTGGAGCGACATCTCGCCATCGGCAGTCTTCCAAGCAGCTTCATTACTGCTGACATCTTTTCTCACAGTGAGCTCTAACCCTTGCAATAATACGCCGTTATCAGCAAGCCAATCTGGTACTGTAATTCGTGCATCAGTTTGCGCCAGATGCTTGTCGACGGCCATCTCCCTCACGTCTGGCGGAGCATTGGTGTGGTGTCCGCCGCTATCGCCTGGTTTTGCCCAAAGCCATGGCGGGAGATCAATTTCCTGGACGGCGGACAGCAAGTCGGCATGAACATCCTGAATTTCCTTGACGAGGTCCTTTAAGATTTGCTCGCTGCGGGCAGCTACCTGTGGCAGCTTGCTCGCGACTGTGAGAGCTGACGGCAATGGACTCGGACTTGTTGACATCGGGGAACGAGTGGCAAACCAATATCTATGTGATAAAGACCTGAAAATGGGCTTCGCGATTCCTGGTGACATTTCGAGGTTGATTTCGAGAAAAGCCATCAAAGCTAAGACATGGTGGACAAAGTGGCAAGGTCTGCGTGGTATGTCCGACACCGGAAGGGCAAAGGTAAGAGTATGGAAACGTAAGGGGCCATCTTTTTATTGTTCGAGTTAATCAGATACTTGGAAACCCATGATGTTGTGCCGTATGCGCGTGATCTCGAAATCGGTGACCGACGGTAACGGTTATTCAAGGAAGTCGACAATTGCTTTAGGCCGAATGAAACCGTGGTTTGTGGACTATCGTAAGAAAACCTGGATAGTGTGAAAGGAAGTTGGGCACGTGCACCTTTGCGTGCTCCTTTGCGTGACGGTCAGCAGGTATTCTGTTCAAAACACCAGATACTTTAATATATCCTTGGAACCTGGAAGGCGTTGGTATCCGGAAAATCGTCAAGCGAAAGCGCAAGAGCAGACGTTTGTGTGTTAGTATGCAGAGTATGCGAAACCGAAAGCGCAAAGAGCATAAAACATGACTGAGGAAAACAACTCAAACGCCTCAACAGACCAGAGTTGACGATGCGTTCTCGGTAACACTCCCACTGAGGCTGGAATGTACGAGCAAGGAAATCAAACTTGACTGATCACAGACTCCCGCTAAGCGCCTCACAAGCTCTTTCTCATGATGGAAACCTTATTGCTAAATGTGTTTCAAAACTCCTTATACGCCTTTGGTCCTTCTGCTGGATCGATGCGGCCCGCAATGCTGGTTAAGGCGCTGTATCTACATCTGATAAAACAAATCATGCGGGCTGTGCAGGATATCGAGCGCTCGAAAAAACTGGTGAAAGTCGATTGACGGATGATAGACCAAGTTGAAAAATTGGACTGAATGAACCGTTTCGCGTATCGCCAGCTTTGGTTCTAGCCTCCCTGTGCTGCTGCCTCGCCGTCTCTTAACTCGAAACAGGCCTTCTTCAGCATTTCGAATGTGAGCATCGTGGTCATTGCTGCTGGCACTGCGCGGACCATGTTCGTGCCCATGCCGTTATAGAATGCTCTCCAGCCCTCTTCTTTCAATATGGTTCGGCATGTCCTGACCAAGCCGCGATAGCGCGGCATATTGATCATACCGTCGGAGGACGCTGCACCGGGGGGATGACGCTTGTGCCCATGGGACTCGGAACGGAACGAGATATGATCAGGTGAGTTTGCTGGCAGGGAGCGTTGCTGGGTCTGAAGCCGAGTCCTCAGGACCTCGTGCGGGTACGTTGCAGATGTTGCGCAAATCTTGCTAAGGAAAGTCGCGCCCAGGATACCGACCCAGTGGACGTCATTGTCCTCAGAGGAGTTCTCTCCCATCTCCAGACCCGTAAAGACTGTTTTGAAATATTCATAGAGCGGGAATTGAATGGCCACATGGGTCAAGCCAAGAAGTGCAGGGCCTAGACCAGAGTAAAAGGAGCCAAGGCCCTCGGTGCGGTACATCTTGCGGGCTGCATCGAACGTGGAGTTGTAGTGCCACGGCGTCCGAACATCTTTAGAGGCTCGCGAGCTAACTTGTGACATGAGTCTAGTCTTAATGACCCAAATTGGGTTCGTCGAAACCGTCGAGCATGCGCCAGCGGTTATTGACGCACAGACGCGGGCGAGCCATTTGTTCTCTTTTGAACCTATCAGCCAGTGCTCCACTTTCCAGCGGGTCGTAAAAACAAAGCTAGTTCCCCTGACTGACCTATTTTGTTGTAGTAAAACTCCTTTGAGCCTTCGTAGACACTCATGTAAACGGCCCAAGTGGGCAGGTATCCGAGCAGCATTGGCCCAAGCCCTCTATACATTCCGCGCACACCATCTTCGCGCCATATTACCCGCGCCGTCCCAAACAGGCCTTGATACAATGCCTTGGAGGGCGGCATTCCCTGCTGGATGCGCCGGAACGACCCCTGCGCCTGCAATTTGGTTTTGATGACATCGAGCGGACAGGTAACGATCCCAGAGGCCACGCCTGCCATGGCACCGCAAAAACTATTGATCGAGGAAGGCGGGAGCTTCGAAATAAAGCCCGAGAAGGGGGTGCGCGCGTGGATGACCGGGGAGGCATCGGCGGCAGTGGCGGCGTTCGTCGCGGAGGTAGGAGTAGACATTGTGAGAATTGCGCCTAGGAATGGTAAGCTTAGGGTTCGGTAGGTAGCATGGTGGGCGGGCGCTGCTTGCAGCAGGAGGAGGCCGCACTTCCAGGAAAGTTGTAAGGATGCCTCTGTAGTGTGCGGCCCCGCAGCACTTTGAGGTCAACGGTTCACGTTGAAATCCATGGACGGGCGGGCAGGGCAGGCGCGACTGTCGGGCGAGCAGGCTCTGCGCGGGAGGAGCGGAGAGGGCGATGAGAGGATTGCGTATGCGGGATGGAGGCGGAAACAAGACAAGGAAGCCGAGATTCGGTCATCAATTGGGGTTTCGGTGGGGGGGAATCTGCCACGCTGACTCAGCCCCACATCCAATCGCAGCGCGTGCAGAGCGGCTGAGAAGCCGGGCACGTGATGCGCGCATCCGCCTCGAAACCTCATACATTCTCTGGTTTGCACGACGCACCCTACCGACCCCGTACTCCACCCCGACTGTCGCAACAATGGCCCAGCCTTCGCTCACCAAATTCATCATCAAGCGCCCATGGCTCAAGAACTGGCTGAAGCCCGTTGCCAACTGGTACACCGACGTGCGTCCCCCGGCCACGCCCACCCGTCCGCCCGCTTCGGACACTAACGCCATCTCGACTTGCAGCTCTCCGGCTACCGTAAGCTTGGCCTGAGGTACGGCAATCCTACAAACCTCCAATGGCTGGCCTGCAGCTCCCCCGGGGGCTCCGCCGCCCTTGACGCCTCTCAGCGCGCCTGCTAACGCCGCACTGCTCCGCAGGGCCGATGACCTGATTCCCGAGGAGTCCGAGACCGTCCTCCTCGCCCTCAAGCGTCTCCCGCCCAAGGAGGCCTACGACCGTGTCTTCCGCATGCGCCGCGCTTTCCAGGTTCGATGCCGATGCCGATAGGAGGATCCCGAGGACATGGCTGATAGGAAATGTAGTGCTCGCTGTCGCACCAGCTTCTGCCCAAGGAGCAGCACACCAAGCCCGAGGAGGTACGACGATATGAATTGTTATGGCGGTTTTGGGCGGAGGCTGACTGATAGCAGGACACGCCCTACCTTACCCCGATCATTGAGGAGATCGAGGCCGAGCTCAAGGAGCGTGAGGACTTGGAGTCCATGGTCGTCAAGAAGAAGAAGGCGTAGAATACCAGACGCGAATGGTGGGATGATGAGTGCGACGTGGTTGTACAGGCACAATGCATATCGGATTGGATGCAGCAGCGGTCGTCTTGTGCTTTAGACTGTATACTATCGCCAGGAGAGCGGTCGAATGAATTGCTTTTCTAGAGCAAACAATTGGCTCCAAACGTTACGACGGTTGATTTCCAACCGTTATCTCCAAATCGTCCAGTCATACATTGTTTGACTAGACGGGTATTCTCCTGTCCAGGCTAGCTGTACAGAAACAAAGCCATTGGAATGTGGGGGTTCTTCAGCTCGGAGGGAAGAATGCAAGCCCCCATTCCAAACAGTGAGAGGTTCGTGCAGGGATCCTTATCCCCGCGATTTAGGCATCTAGACTTGCAATGGAGAGTTCCGAAAAATCAAAGAATCTGCCCAAAGCAATGCATGTTATTAGTATAACATTCAATGTCGACGTATGGAAGCCCTGGGGTGCGTTGAGCGATAAATAAGCATATGTGCTAATTGGCTTATATGGGTGTTCCAAAGCTAGACTCTGAACAGCCATGACAGCTTCGAAAATAATTCGAGCTCGTTTTACAACGCCTAGACGTGCAATACCATACAAGACATTCGATGGCTTACCAATCGGCAGATTGGCGCAGGCAGCAGCGTGCTCGTGACTTCGCGAAAACGCCAGACGCATCAACGTCATAAGCAGACTGCTCCCGCGACGACGTCCACCGTGACGTCCATCGCTTCAACCAATTCATGCAGATGCTTCCCCAAATTCGACGCGCCGTATGACAACTCAAATTCCTTTCTAAAGGGTTCTCTGTTTTCACACAACGTAGTTCGTTTCTTTACCGCGCGCAGCTCTTTTAGGCCTTCGACAACGTCCTTTCGCCACCATGTCTTTGAGACGATCAGCGCGCATCCAGTCTAGCAAGCCAGACGATACTTCTGTCCCTGATTTCAAGGATGTCTCTAGTACTAAAGTTATACAAAATGGCGCAGATGCGCCGAAAAAGCAAGGGAAACGGACAAGGAAAGAAATAGTTTCAGATGCAGCTTCAGATGTAGACATCAAGGACAACACCACTGCAAAACCAAGTAAAAAGAGGACCAAGTCCGCAATGAAAGCCGCCTCCAAAGATGGGACGTCTACTTCCGATTTGCCACAAGGACCAGAGCGCAAGAACCGAAAGGCCAAGGCCATCGCGGGAGCAGCAGAGCCAGCAGCAGCCACTCCCGCCGCCGCCAGCCTTATGGCCTCGTCATCCCCCACGGCAGGTGCCTCGCCGCCTCACTCACGCCCAGCGGAGCCGCACGCTACCAACGCGCCTATCAAAACAGAAGATGGATCGCGCGTCACGGCGTACCCAGGCCTGGAAGCCGCCTCGGCGCCCAACGAGCTGCTGCCACCTCCGACAACGACAACAGAAGACCTTCTTGCGCGGGCAGAAGCGCATCTCATCAGTGTCGACCCGCGGTTTAAGGGCGTGATTGAGAAGCATCCATGCCGGATATTCAGCCCGGAAGGGCTGCAGGAGGAAGTGGACCCGTTCAAGAGTCTGGTTAGCGGCATCATTGCGCAGCAGGTGAGTGCCAGCGAGTGTGCCTTCGTTTCGTTCCAAGTGGGCAGTGGTATACGACAGTAGCGTCAAAACCTAATGGTGGCCGCGAGCACGAGCTCTTGTCGATCTGCCAGCCCTTTACAAATGAACCCGAGATAATACGAGCCGCCCAGACGGCGCTGGACGCCCGGGCTTATCGCTCGTCTGCTATATCCAGGGCTGCAACTGGAAATAGCAACACGAGCAAGCGGGCCCGCACGCCCCGTCGGTGGCCCCGAACCTCTTCTCGTGTTTCCAGACCTACCGTCCCGACGGACCCTTATCCATCGCATCGTATTGCAGCTGCCGCACACACCCGCGCACCGACATCCCCACATCTACACCCAAGCGCGTAGCACCACGACTAACCATCGCATGACAGGTCTCGGGCGCGGCCGCCAAATCCATCCAAGCGCGCTTCATCGCCCTCTTCTCTGATACCAGCAGCGGCAGCACGCCTTCCGACGCCCCTCCCCCCACCTTCCCATCACCGGCCGCCGTCGCTGCCGCCGATATCCCCCGCCTACGCAGCGCGGGCCTCTCGCAGCGCAAGGCCGAGTATGTGCAGGGCGTGGCGGGGCAGTTCGCTCGGGGCGAGTTGAGCGCGGCGGCGCTGGCGCGCGCGTCGGACGAGGAAGTGTTGACGATGCTGACGGCGGTGCGGGGGTTGGGGCGCTGGAGTGTCGAGATGTTCATGTGCTTTGCGCTGAAGCGGTGCGATGTGTTTAGTACGGGGGACCTGGGCGTGCAGTGAGTGAACTTCTTCTCACTCTTCAGTTTTGCTTGCGGTGTTGCTTGGCTGGGGATTCTGCGACTGGGCACTCTCTGGTCTTGGAGCGGGTACGGCGGTGTCTGTAGAGGTGGTGGAGGCTGCTGCTGCTACTGCCTCTGCTGCTGCTGTAGAGGTAAGCCGTGGGCTTGTGGACGAACTGTCACAGCAGCCACCTAGTCACACGACCAGCGCGGAAGCAGAGGGCCGTTGCTGTACCCACGTTTCTTCTCTTCACAAGCCTATAGCCACTTACTCCGCATGCTCAGCAAACCAACCAGCCAGACAACCAAGCAACACTCACGCAAAGCAATCCCTACCTACACCTCCTCGCTCAAACAAAGGAGTACCTACACTAACAACCCTCCCACAGACGCGGCATGGCCGCCTGGCTCGGACGCGACGTCAGCAAGCTCAAAGCCAAGGGCGGCACCAACAAGTGGAAGTACTTGAGCGAGCGCGAGATGCTCGAGCACTCGGCGCCGTATGCGCCGTTCCGGTTAGTTGTGTTATTTCGTTCCCTTGGACGTACATGTGCTTTTAGACACACACACGCGGACGGATGTGAGCGACACAAGACAGAGAAGAGGAAGGAAGAAGAGGAGAGGGCAAGTCAACGCGGGCCGCGCGGCCGTGGCGGACTGGTGCTGCCTCGATGAGCGTGCGACAGACACTACACTTTGCTCTGACACTCCCTCACACGCTCTCCTCAACCACTCTCGCTGCGTTCCGCTGTCTCCGCATTCCTTATCCTTCTATTCGCCTATCCGTCATCTTACCCACCTCCCTACCTGTATGCTTGCGTGACTGACTCAATTCTTCACACAGAAGCCTCTTCATGTGGTACATGTGGCGCGTCGAAGACGTCGACATCAGCGCGCTCCAAGGCTAGCGCGCAAACACCACCATCACCACCACCACCATCACCGTGCGTCAATCAACCAGACAGACGCACCCCACCGCCATTGCCATCGCCCTTATCGTCGTCACGGCCCCCATCCGACTCGTCGACCTGCCCCCAGCGCCAGACACCATGACGCCGCAGCTGACGCGGCCCGCGGGGTCCGCGGGGTTCCGGTCTCGGGTAGAGCACCTTGAGCGTGTGTTGGGGCCAGGCAGGACTCAGGAGTGAGGAGCTGGACGCGGCGGTAGGGACACGGACGGGTGGGGCGGAGGAGGAGCGTGGTTGTTGTGGTGATTGATGATGGGGTCGAGACGGGGGGTGTGGGTGTTGGTGTGGTTGTGGAAATGAAATGATGCGATGATGCGCGCTTGGAAGCAGCACAACACAACACAACACAACGCGACGGAAAAGCGGAGGGAAGATTTGAGATGATGATGAAATGACATGAGATGAGATGAGACGCGACGAGACAGGCGATGACGAGGACAGTGCTAGACCAAGCAACAGAAACAGAGAAAGTCAGAGAGAGAGAGCAAGCAAGCAAGAGCAAAACCAAAACCAAGAGATCAGCGCGCGCGCGCGCGCGCGGCGCAAGCAAGCAAGTAAAGCAAGTGCGACAACGCGCCCACTACGACGCTGCGATGCTGCCCGCCAGCCGCAAAGGCAGGCATGGCAGGCATGCTAGGTAGGTACTTATGTACATACATACGTACGTACGTACGCAGCAGCGACGCTCACGCAGCACGCCGTGCCTGCCTACTTACGCGCCCGCGGATCCTTAAAACCTAGCACCTAGTCCCGGCGGCAACGACGAAAAAACTGGGGTGCTTATGTACAATTGTACTGTGTAGCCAGGCGTGCCCGTGTGGGCCTGTCTGTGGAGCAGCTTGGTGTGCCCTGGACTTGCCGGAGGCTGGCGCTTGCTGCTGCTGCTGCGCTGTGCCTGGATGGTTGTTTACTACCTACCTACCTACCTACCTACACTGTTGCTACCTACGTGCCTGAGTGGGTTGGGAGCGTGTGCGTAAGGGATGTGCGTAGTTGCACTCAGAACTCATAATCATCTGTGTGTGTATCTACCGCACCACACTGCTACTGCTGCTGCTGCTGGGTGCGTACTGTGCCATAGCCATAGTTCGGCAACCGTAGGAGTACTGAAAATCCATCGAATTCAGGGCTGCTGCGGCTGCCTCCCTGCCGCGAATGCTACTGCTGCTGCTGCAGCGGCAGCGGGGGTGTGGAAGCTACACCGCCAACAGCAGCAGAAACAGCAGAAGTGGTGCTTGGGACGTAGGGTAGGTAGGTAGGTGGGTGGGTAACTACCAGGCAGGCAAGGCAAGGCAGGGCAGGGCAGGGCAAGTCACGACACGGGCACGGCTGGTTTTTCCCTGCCCTCCCCTGCCTCCCCTACCTCCAGTACCTCCGTACGAACCTAGCTATGTATGTGTGTATGTATGTACGTACGTACGTGTGTGCCCTACCTACCTCCCTACCTAGCCACATGCCTACAGCATCACGGGACAATGACGCCAGCCCCGCAACGCGAGCGAGCACTGGAGCGACGTACGTACTTACCTGGCTACCAACCAAGCAACCTACCTACTTACTCCGAGAAGCGGGGAGGGGAGGGGAGGGGAGGAAAAGAGAGCGCGCAAGAGCAACAAGCAAGCAAGCGCGCGCGCTCAAAACAGCGTGCCCCGCCGCGCGCTCGTGCGACATCTGCCTGCCTGCCAGCCAGCCCAGCCCAGCCCAGTGTGCCTCTGGCTGCCAGTAGCTAGCCGAAAAGCGCCTCCACACCCACCCGCCTAGGTAGGTAGGTAGGTTGGTAGGTTGGTAGCTGCTCCCCTCTCCGGTTGGCAGCATAAGCAACAGCAGCCAGCAGCAGAAGCAGTCAGCAGCCAGCCAGCCAGCAGTAGCATAGCATAGCATAGCAGCCAGCAGACGGCTGCTTGCGGCCTTGCACACGCCACGCCCACGCTCGCGCCCACGCCCACGCCACGCCACGCCAATACCCGGCTCATGGCCAGCGGGTAGCGGTGGCGGCGGCGGGCGGCCGCTCGATGGGGCCAGGCAGCGCGCCATCTCGCGCGCACGCAAGCAAGCAAACGAAACGGCTCGAACAGGGCGGGCGCTCCCGCTGCGGCTGCGCGTCGCTGGAGCGGGCAACTGGCGCCCGCGAGCCGAGGAACGAGGAACGAGGAAGGAAAGCGAAAAGAAAAAAAGGACGGCCGGACGGTCGGTTGTGGGCCAGCGAGCTGCTTGCTTGATTGCTGGTTGGGCCTGCTGCCCGTCACCGCTTCTTGCGCCCCCCAGAGAGCGATCTCGCGAGCGTGGCCGGGGGTCGATTCGCGTAGTCAGCTCGTTTTTGGGGCGATGACGGGGGGCTGATTGTCCGCTTCTTGGTTGGACTGGACTGGGCTGGGCGGGTCTGGAGGGAGATGGATCGATGGATGGATCGATTCGATAGAGCGAGCGGGCGAGCATGTGCGCCTCTCGTCGTCGTCCTACTCCTTCTCCTCCTCCCACTTCCTCGTCGCTCCGGTTGCTGCTACTGCAGGGTCGCTAAAAACGGATGGTCGCTGCTGCTCCTAGAGGTACTGCTGCGATGTTGCTGCTGCTGCTGCTGCTGCTGCGCCGCTGCTGGTGGCCGGCCTGTATGGGTGGCTGTTGTGCTGCTGTTGGACGTGCTGCTGCTGCGACTGCCTGCTTGGGCGAGGGAGCATGTTAAATCGGGAGGCTGCGGGTTTGGGAGCTGGTTGGCTGGTGGCGTGCTTGTTACTACTGCCGGCGGCCGTCTCCCGCCGATGCCGGCATCGCCTGCGATCTGGTTTTACGCATGCGCATGCAGAGGCTGGCTGCTTGCTGCTGCTGATGCGAGCGCGCCTTCCCCCCTGTGAACATACGTCGTTGCATCTTGGCTTATAGAAATTTTTTTTCTCTCAGTTGGGGCCGGGCCGGCGCAGCGAGGGGGGAGGGTCGGAACGCGCGTAGGTAGGTATGAGCAACGTCTGAACGACGATGATATGCGCGTGAATGTCTGGCTATCTAGCTGACTGGCTGCCTGTCTGTCTCGGATGCACCCGCTGCTAGCGACGATGCTGCTTGTTCGACGCAGAATCGGCCATGGGCGAATGGGACGGCAAGCGGGGGAGTACGGGGGTCGGACGGGCTAGGGTGCAGCGAGGCGAGGAGAGAGGCTCTGAAGCAATAGCCCAATACTGCGTGGTTACACGATAACGTCGATGCGGGCAATTTGGGGAAGCGGCCGTGGTGCGACTGGCGACGATGATGGCGCGCGGGGATCAACTTTTTGCCTTGACCCCTCCTTCTCTTTGCCCTGCGTTGCGACGACGACGACTCGTGGTGACTGTCATGGTGCGGGAGACGGGAGACGACATGGAAGGCGCAGCTGCGATGCGGCAGGTCGTTTTTTTCCCTTGCCAGGACATGGATGGACCTATGGGATGATGATCCCGGACTAGAGAGAGCTACTTTTGCTGTAGACTAGTAGCATGGCGTTATTGCCAAAGGACCTCTGCTGATGGACGATCGCGGATGGGGGGAAGTTGGATGGCTGTGCTACCCGGTACCGCAAGCAGCCCCAAAGGCTTGTCCGACGCCACCGTTCACGGGGAAAATGTCGGTCTATCGATGACGTTGGTGCGCCACGGCGGCGGGCGATCGTGCGCGGGCAGAAGGATTGGCGGGAGGGATTTTGGTTTTTGCTTTGGTATTGGAGAGATTTGGCTCGGCGCTGAGTGGTTCATCAACTTACCGCGTCGAGTAAGAGACGTCGTCGGGCTGGGACAGGAGGCGGCAATGCTCGAGCGGGATGCTTAAACTACGGCGGTCCTCATTTCGCTCAAAGAGCTTGCTTTTTGTCAAGCATTGTTGGGTGGAGTCAGTGTGTGCTGTGCTGTCCTGGCCCTTGAAACGCTAGGATGACGAGCGGGCATAGATGGAGAGCCTGAAACGGAGAGGTTACAGGTTCATGATCATGTCCACGAACAAGCTGCCTCTTCGGGAGGATCGGCAGCGAGGAGGCTGGCAGCCGGCACCGCGAGCCCCGTCGCCGCTGCACGCTCGATTGGTTGGCGATGGCGGAAATATGGGTGGGGCGGTTCCGAAGGTGGAAGCACGCTCTGAAATGCCGGAGCCAATTTGCCACGATCGTGACGCTCATCATCACCAAGACACCATGTTATCATGGGCCGAGATTGGTTCGTAACGCTGAGATTGGAGCGGTGCGCTGGGCTCCATGCGCGGCCCGGGCCCTGTTTCAAGCCGCATCACGGAGGTTGCGTCGGCAATGTTTACATCCACTACTGACGGCCATGTGACGGAATGTATGCTTCTAAAAAAGATAATGGACTTTGTTCACACAATAGTCGGAAAAAAAGTCAATATTGCGTGGACGAGCGGGGTAGAGAGAGGAATGGATGGATGAGGAGTCGATGGTACTTACGAAAAGGCCAAAAACTCACGATCGCCGGCGCGCTAGGATGGTGCACGAGCCGTAGCTGACAGGGGACACCCGGTGCTCCTGAGCCAGTCGAAAGCCGTGCTTTGCCCAGGCCGCTCCCTCCTATTTTCCCGGCCTCTTCCCTTTCCCTTCCCCAAAACACTCTCGCTCTCCAGCCACCAGCCCCATTCACGACTTCCAACTTCGCCAGTTGTGCCCCTGCTGCGCGTATTTCTCCCTCGTTTTTCCACGTCCAACCTTCTTCACGTTCGCTCAACCCAACATCTTTCGCCCGGACATTCTCAATCATCCCGACCGGCGTCGTCAGCCCGTCTAATCTCCCGTGCGTCACTCCACTCTTGCAGCATTCCATCAAGACGACGCTCTTTCCCTCCCTTCCACCCTCCAGCCCGCTGACCGTCGCCTGCTCAACCACAGATCTCCTCAACGCCGCTCCACACGATAATGTTCGCCAAGTACGCCCTCCCGGTGGCCGCCGTCGCCGGCCTGGCCTCTGCCGGTACGTTTCACCCCTATCAACACCAACCCCCTTCTCCTGCTAACATATTCGTCAATCAGCCAACAGCTGCAGTGCCTCTGCCACTAGCACTATCGCCGCCGCCAACGATGTCCCCACTGGCTGCGCTACCTTCTCTGGCTCCCTTGCCATCGCCACTGACGCCCCCGGCACCCTCGACATCCAGGGTATCAAGAAGATCACTGGCTCCCTGTACGCCAACAATGTCAGCGCTCTCTCTTCCCTGTCCGCCGACAGCCTCGAGGAGATCGACAACTTCGAGCTTACCGACCTGGAGATCCTGTCCAACCTGAACTTCCCCAAGCTCACCAAGGTTGGCTCGATCAAGTGGGCCGGTCTTAAGGCTCTTTCCGAGCTGAGCTTCTCGTCCGGTGTCAAGGAGGCCGACTCCGTCGACATTGAGAACACCTTCCTGAGCTCGCTCGACGGTATCAACCTCAACGAGGTCGGCACCTTCGTTGTCGCCAACAACAAGTACCTTAAGGATGTCGAGGTCCAGTTCACCCACATCACTGAGCGTCTGGAGATCTCCGAGAACAGCCCCGAGCTCAAGGCTCACTTCCCCAACCTTGAGTGGGCTTTCAACATGACCTTCCGTAACGTCAGCGAGGTCCAGACTCCTTCCCTGGCTGCCATGAACGGCTCCCTCGGCTTCTACGGTGATGGCATCAAGAGCTACTCTGCCCCCAACCTCACCAAGATCCAGGAGGGTTCCCTTTCCTTCATCGCCAACCCCCAGCTCCAGAACATCTCTCTCCCCAAGCTCCAGTCCGTCAACGGTGCTTTCACCATTGCCAACAACTCTCACCTTGCCGGCAACCTCAGCTTCCCCAAGCTCGAGACTGTCAAGGGTGCTTGCGACTTCAGCGGTAACTTCTCTGGGTAAGTTTATTTTCAGACGCCATCGACATGTATCACGCTTCTAACGCCTCTACAGTTTCTCTCTCGACAGCTTGAAGACGGTCAGCGGTGCCTTCAACATGCAGTCTTCTGAGGAGATTGACACCGACTGCGACCACTTCAAGGGCCTGTCTGGCAAGGACAACATCATCCGCGGCAAGTTCGAGTGCAAGGGTGCGCTGACCAACCCCGGTGGTGTCGGTACCAAGTCCTCCAGCACCTCCAGCTCCAGCAGCGCCAAGTCCACGAACGCTGCTGGCCGCGTTGAGATGTCCACCACTGCCTTCGGTGCCGCAGGTCTTCTTGCGTTCTTCTTCGGCCTGTACTAGGGGAAGTTGTAGCTGAGGAGCTGGCGTTTTTCTTTTGATTTTCTGCTTGCATAGAGGTACTTAATACGGAAAATCCTTGCGTTTTCATTGGCACCATCACGGAGCATTCAATCGCGCATTGGGCCCGAGCGATGATGACTCATGTGGTTTTCTGGATTGGGTTCTTTGAGCGGTTCGTGCTTACGTGCGCGTGTATCTATCAGGGTGGTTGTGTGGGACGAGGCAACGAGCGGAGGTCTTAATCGGGTGCTTTTTAGCAATTTTACTCATTCGGGCGCGCCGTAAGCAATTCCGGGATCATCTCATTATGTCTTTCAAACGGCTCTATTTTTCTTACTACTACTCTTCTCTTCCTCTCTCTCCTCTTTTCTCTTCGATGCGCGCGGTGTGGTGTGGTGTGGCGGGGAGGGCCGTCATGCGCGCAGTTCCCAGTCCTCTTCACGACGCCTTGCTTGTTTTGTGTATGTCAACAGCAGTTTATGGAAAAGCATATTTTTGTTTTGGCCTGGGCGACTCTCCCTGACATCAACGTATGGGCTCATGTGAGGACCGGACCGGGGCGGCGGGGATCGAGGGCACACGCTTCCGAGGGCTTGTCAGCTGTCACAATATGGATTTGGATGTTTTTGCTGCGTGCGTCACACAATGGGTGGGCGGCGCGTGTAACCTGTCACTTTCAGGAGGGGATAAGAATTATTTTTTCCTGCCTCTGGGTAGCCCGGGCTCCGCATCTGGAACTGGGGGCAAAAGGGCCTGCGGGGTGGGGGTGGACTTGGGGTTGCTCAGATGGGGCATGGCACGTCGCGGCCCACTGCTTCCAGATTGCCTTGCAGGCACGATCCGATACCCGAGGCGATTTGGGTTGATGGAGGCACGCATCCGCGCGCGGCGGCAGGCAGGCGAGCGAGCCTGGAGCCCGGCTGGTGGTCGGGGGTTGATTGCGACGAGTCGGTCTCTCCACTCTGCCGTTGGCCTTTCGTTCTGCGGCTGCCGCTGCCCGGCCTCCCGCAACGCATGCACGTTCTTAGGAGGACGAGAGATCGCCATTGACGCTCGCTACCGCTCCATGCTGCTGCTGCTGATGCTGCTGCTGGTGCTGGTGCCGCCGCTGCTGCTGCTAGGTACTGCTGCCGCTGCTGGTGCCGCCACCATCCTGTGCTAATGCTGCTTGGCCGTTTGGCTGCTGTGTTCCCGGCAGACGTTGGCAGGGGGGGGGTTGGACGAGGGTTGCACTGAGCGGTGAAGCCAAGCTGATTGAGGCAGAGGCAGAGGTAACTAGGTACCTAGAGCGAGCTGCGAGCCCGAGGCGAGCTGGAAGCTGGAGCTGGAGCTGGAGCTGGAGCTTTGGAGCTGGAGCAGCAGCCAGGCACCGCCTACACATCTAGAAGCGCGCGCGCACACACACACACACACACACGTTCCACTGCCACCCATGTAGGTACTGGCTGACGCCCATGAGGCAGTAGGGAAAAAATAAAAAAAGCCAAATCGTCAAGGCCCAGTCCTGGCACCCATGTCCCCACTCACGCACGCAGTGCCTAGCTAACGCACACCCCAGCGCAACCGTCGACGGGGATGCGGGCGAGCCGGTGTCGTGCATGACATCTGGTGTCATCGTCATCTCAGTCGGGGGCCCCTGTTTCACGTCTGACCAAAGGGCAGCCCGGCGAAGCAAGGGCGGTGCCCCCCGTCCAGAGGCCAGAAGCTGCCAATCGGTTGGACGCCGCGGGGGCGCAGCCGCCTGCGCAGTTACGCCTTTGGATGCTGCGTCTGCGTATGTACGGGGAGAGGAAGAGCTTGGGAGGGGAAGGGAGGGGCAGCAGTTCCCCACTGTTGTTAGGTATGGCGGTTGTGTGTGTGTAAATGTGTGGGCGGGTGGGTAATGATGGTGGTGGTGGTGGCCGTAATGGGTAAGGTAATGGTGGAGGTGGTGCCGCTGCTGCTGCTACCTTGGCCGCTTCCTGCTGCGTATCATTTCTGGGGCTAGATGATGCAGGTCAAGTCGGTTGTTCTTTCTGTTGCGCGGCGGTGGCGCGACACTGTACTCTCTGCCTGGCCCTTTCTTTTTTAAAAAGCCCGCCTTCCTTGTCCTGTCCTGACTACCTATCCCGCCTGTCCGTCTGCTTACTTGATTGCTTGATTGCTTTCCCCCAAACTCTACCTACTCTTGCATTTCCCCCTCCTCAACTCAAAAGTCATGGTTCTTCGTCCCAATGAACCCGCCGCTCTGCGGCCGCCGCCCATCGGCTTCGACCTCCACCACCACCATCACTCCTCCCACCAGCAGCACTTTACTCCTCGGGGTCCTGCAGTCAGCTTGCCTCCCCTCCACAGCTTGAACCTGGACCGTGAATCCACAACCCGTCCTCACGGTCCCCCTGCCGCCGCCACCACCATCACCGTCCCAGCAGCCCGGCCAGACCTCCCGCGTCTGCCGTCGGCGCCTGTCTTTGCTGCCCCATTCGGTGACCAGCACCGCCACTCGCAGCTGCTCAACTACCGGCACCGCATGCCCTCGGACTCGGGCCTCGATCATATGGACATCGACAGTGGCGCACCCTCGCCGCTGCTGCGCCACAGCCGCCCCGTCTCTCCTCCACCTGCCATGGCACGCTCATCGTCATCACGCGTGATGAAGGAGGAGTGCCACCGGTGCGGCGCCTTCCTGCCCTCGCCCCAGTCTGAGTGTGCGTGCGGCCAGGTCCGCTTCACACACCCCTTCCAGCCGCAGGCGCGGCACCTCGTCCCCGCACTCGACGAAGCCTTCGCCGGTGGCGTGCCCATGTCTCGGCGGGGCAGCGGGCTGCGGGCATCGGTCGACTCGCTGTCGTCGGGGCCGTCGTCACGGCGCGGCTCTGCCGCTTGCGTGGACACACTCCCAACAGGAGCACCGCGGCGCAAGTCGACGGCCACGGCAGCGGCTGCTGTGGCGGCGGGGTCGCGGCGGGCCTCGATGCAGCAGCAGGAGAAGCAGAAGGCGAGTAAGGCGGTGCGGGAGAAGGGGTCGCGGAAGGCCATCAGTCGGCAGCACAAGAAGATGGAGATACGTGAGAAGGCGCGGGGGTGGACGGCGCCGACGGGGCTGAACGCAAACAACAAAAAGAACTCGGGACTGGACGGCAAGAAGCTCGAGATCCTGGGACACATGCTGGAGGAGGCGAGCGAGAGCGATCGCAGCCGGCTGCAGCTGTGCGAGCAAGTGCAGCGTGCCGTGGCGATAGCGCTCAAGAACGCAGAGATGGGCGCCTCGGCCGTGGCGTCGCCCGAGGAGCGTGTCTTCCTTGAGCAGGCGACACAGGAAGCACAGAGGCTGGCTTCGTGGCTGGCTTCGGCCATGGCGCGTGAGGCGCACGCGCTCGAAGAGTGGGAGAAGGAACAGTTGGAGAAAGAGGCAGAGGCGGAGCGGAAGGCTCAGCTCGAGGGCCGCTATCCCACGCCGCTGTCGAGCTGTGGCAACAGTCCGACATTTGAGCAGTTCCGTCGGTGAAGATATCTCTCTTGTCTCTCGCTCTCTTTCTCTCTGTGTCTCTTTCTCCTTGCTCCTTTCTAGATCCGGCCTTCCTACCTCACGGCTCTCGCTGGCTGGCTTATGACCCGCGCATGCGCTCACGACGCACGCCTTGACGACTTTCCTCTTGGTATCGACATAATGCATTTCCTTTCTCACGACATCTCGGCCACGACATACAAACAAACAAACTCGCACCCCCACCATCCACTGCTAGGACTCCTCTCCTAGCCGCCACAACCTAGTCCGTTCGTCACTCCATCTCTCTTGGTTCGTTCAAAAAGACTCGCGCGCGCAGGCCTTTCTCCACCTTATCAGAAAAACTCTTACGGCGAACATGGGGGCACTCAAAAAATCCTTTCCATTTTCTTCATCTTCTGCTTCTGCTTGTTTCTGGGGAGGTAAAAAAAAAAAAGTCATCATCACTCATCACTCATCGCTTTACTTGGTCTTCGTACTCATCTTCATCGTCATCATTCTTGGTATCCATCCATCCATTCATCCATTCATCACAGCGTGCATCCATGCATCCTCGGCGGGTTCTTGGGGCGCGGCTATCTATCATTCATCATCTTCATCATCGTTCATGGGACAGCTAGGTATGGTCTGGTCTGGTCTGGTTGGGGTGCTCATAGCAAAGTGTTGTTCTGTAGGTATATGGCTATTATTTTTCGCGTTTGTTTGCTCTTGGCCTGGTCGGTCTTGTCCTGTCTTGTCCTGTCCGTCTGTCTGTTCTGTTTCGGCTCAGTTTTGTCGGTTTGTCGTCGTTTGTTTGTTTTGGTTGTTTTGGTTGTTGGGCTTGTGCACTGTTTACTGTATGGCGGATATCATCATCATCATCATCATCATCATCATCATCATCATCATCATCATCATCTGCTGGGGTTACTGCTGCTACGGCTACGGCTGCTAGGTACCTGCCTGCAAGGAGGGGGCGGAAAAGATTGTTTGGAGCGTCGCTTTGCGTTTCGGTGCTACATACACGGTCGCATGCTAGGGTTCTTATCCATTCGTATGGGTCAGAGCCAGGGCTTAGGTGGGTTGGTTAGCGTTTTGGGCGAGTGGGTGGATGAGGGATCATTTGGGGTTTTTTGTCGCGGTGCCGGTGGCCGGTGGGGTTTTTAGTTACGTGAATGTTTACTTTTTTTGTTGGTGTTGACGTTGTTATTGGCGTGGTTGAGTGGTGGTGGTATCATCCCTTTCTCCACCTAACTACCTTCTTGGGTAGGTTCCTTGGAAGCCAATCCCTCCCTCCATCTTCCGTCTTGGGCACTCCCTTTCTGGGCGGAGGGGGAGGGAGGGAGGGGCGCGCTGTGCGTCTGTGCAGCTGTGCAGCTGTGCGTCTGTCTGTCTGTCTGTCTGATGGATGGATGGCCTGCCTTTGCATCTGTCTGCAGGGGTGGGGGTGGGACTTGGGGGTGTAGGTAGTAGGGTGTGCTCCCCTGCTGGATAGGTGCGTATGGATGTAGGACTGCGGCGCGGTACGCATGCCAGTCAGTTAGTGAGTCTGTCAGTCAGCATCTTGTTTGGACGTTGTTGTTGTTGTTGTTGTTGTCGTTTGGGTTTGGGCTTTACTGGATCTGGATGGGATGTCGTTGATGTTGATTATATGGAATAGCTGGCTGTTCTATCTAGGTCTATGATCTGTTCTGCTCTGTTTGCTCTATTCCCTTCCCTTCCAGCATCCCCCACAACCCTAAATAGGTACCTCCGCGCCTCCTCAAAGCCAGAACAGGAGCGGAGGCACTCACACACACTCTCTCAACGCAGACACCCCCACGGGCACCCATCCATCCATTCATTGCGTCACCAACGGCACCCAAACGGTCCCGCCAAACCGGGTTTTAACAAGCAGAAACAGCAGCACAGCCGCCGGGTGCGCGAACGGGTACCTGGCTGGCTGGCTGCATGGGGCTTGTTATTAGGCCGTCAGTCAGAGCGACCGGATTGAGCAGCGTAGACGGGCGGGCATGGTCGTGCGTGCGTGCGTACGTCTTGGGTCACTACTGCGAGCGGCACCGGGCTCGGGGTCGAGGGTGGGGAGTGGGGGGATGCGGGCGCTGCTGGATGGGATGCGATGCTGTCTTGGACCGGCGGCAGCGAGACAAGACAGGCTGGACGAAATGGGATGGGATGGGATGGGGTGAGCACGAGGCGAGGTGAGTGTGGGCGGACGGTGGATGGATGGATGGATGGATGGATGGATGGATGGATCGATGTGGGTGGGTGTGTGCGCGCGTCGCTGCTTCGGGCGGCCGCTTGTGCGTTGAGGGACCGAGGGGCTGCTGTATGCGTAGGTGTATGTGTGTAGGTATGGCCGTACGTAGCAGGACCCGTACCCGTCCGTCTCTCTGTCCATCTGTCTGGACCAGACGGCCGAGCAGGGCCTGCTCCGTACTCCCTCCCACCTACCTACCCACGCACCTAACCAGCCAACGACCAGAACTCAGGAACACAAGCTCGGCGCAAGAACGACGCAACCGCAGCGCAGCGCAGCGCAGGTAGGGCGAACGACAGACAGACGACAGACAGACGACACTAACCCAAACCGCGCCTGACAGGTCCGGCGCACAAAGGTACGGTAGGCCGGACACCTGCCGGACGCACGCCGGACGCTGGCTGGGTGGGTGGGCGCCTACATACGCCCGCTCACCTAACCCCATCGTCACCATGGTACCATCCTCGGCCTCGTCCTCTTCGTCCTGTGGCGCACGACACCTGCCTGCTGTGAGTGGGTGCGCGCCGCCCTTCGTTGCTTGCTTGCTTGCTCGGACGGACGCACGGCCGTCTGCAGACTCAGACGCACGCAGGTACGCGCTACGCCCCGCGGGAGTCGGGAGGGCGGGGCACAGCAGGCACGGCGGGGGCTGCGGTTGGGCGTCTGAGCGTGCGTGTATGTGGGTGGTGCAGGGGCGCTGCGTGAGTCTCTGTGCGTGTGTGGGTGGGTGGATGGTATGCATACGTGCGTGTACATATGTGTATGTTGTGCGAGGACCCTTGCGTCGGGGGGGGTATATTGGCTGTGCGGCTGTGCGGCTGTGCGGCTGCGTGGTGCGAGCGTGTGAGCTGCTGCTGCTGAGAGGGGGGTTAGCTAGGTGCTGTGCCTTGGGAGGGACGGGAGGGAAGGGAGGAGGGCGTGCGTATTAATAGATTTTCCTTGCTCTTGCGTGTGCATGTTGTAGTTGAAGAAGACGACGACGCAAAAAAAATCTCCCCTCTTCCTCGTCCGAGAAGCACGCATCCCCCTCCCCAAAAGAAGGCCGCCCCGCGCACTCTCGTCCCTTCTCGCTCGCCAATGCTTCTCATTTCCCCAATCCCCTCTTCCGCACTTCCCTCACCGCATCTTCCTTCTTCGTCTTTCCTTCTTTCTTCGTCTTTACTTTTTTCTTGTTTCTTTTTCTTTCTTTCTTTTTTCTTCTGCTTCTTCCAGACTCAGCTGCCTAGCCCGGAACCCGGATCCGGGGGCGCTGCGCGAGCTGCCGAACACGTAGGCACGCGCGCTGGGGTTGGCGCTGGTGGCGGCGGGCGTGTGCTCCGTGCAGGGCAGCTGTGTGAGTGTCTCGGGGTGAGCGATACTTCTGGAACGGGCGTGGGGGTTCGCGGTAAACTAAGCGCCCGGCTACAGAGGGAGGGTTGCTTGTTTGTAGCTAATTTGGGTTTGGGGCAGAGATATTGGGAGAGAGTGAATCGGGACAAGAGAGTTTATGGCATCCGTCTATGTATTGGCACGATCCTTCGGTCGGGATGGATACGAAAAGAAGATCTACGGCACTACGGGACGTTATCGCTGCGGAGAAGCAAGTCCCAGCGGGTGGCTTGACTGGCGTGGAATGACGCAGCGGAGAAATGTTTTGTGTGGGTAGGAGTGTAGCTATATGGATACCTACTGCCGTCATAGGCTCCCGCGGCCGCCGGCTCCCCCCTCGCACGTGACTGCATGCCCAATTCGACAACCATCCAAAGACTACCGTCGCAGATAAGGAGGTCTAGCCACTCCTTCAGCCACTAGCCCCGAGTGCCCGAGTGCGCGTTTTGCCTTGCCCGTTTCGTCGCGGCGTCGATTGCAATTTCACAAGCCAAGCTCCCTGAGTCGGTTTCCCCATCTCGAGATCAGCCACTAAGCTGCGAGATCCCGTCACATTCCAACCTCCGAACCTCCTCACGCTCGTTATCCCCGCGACACTCACCACTGCGACCCGACCAACCCCACCAATTACCGACCCTCCTCTCTTTTGCCCACCGCAACTTTTGCTGCTCTGAGAGAGAGCGCGCCGCCGTCGCCATGCTGCTCCCCAAGGGCGGAGTCAACTGGAAAGCCGCCAGGGCCCGACTCCCGCCGTCGAGAGCCATCTGGCATTTCTGCACCCGCACGCGCTTCCCCCTCTTCGTCGCCATTGCCGGCCTGATTGTGTTACTATGGAGAGGCTTGAGCGGCACGGCCGGGGAGATGCAGCGGTACGTGGGACCCCTCGCCCGATACAGGGCCAAAAAGAAAACGGCTGCAGGGCTAACGCGGCAGCGACAATTAGATTCGTCTGCTGGGGGCCGTCAAAGTCGCCCATGGACATGACGGCAAACGAGCGCGCGCAGTGGACGGCCCATCTCCAGACGCCCGTCATCTTCAACCACCACGCACCCGTCGAGGTGAATTCGACGACAATCGAGCGCGTCGACCTCAACCCCGTCAAGTCGACCAGCCGGGCCCTCGTCAACGAGGAGCGCGTCCTGATCCTGACGCCGCTGCGCGACGCCGCGTTCTACCTCCCCAAGTACTTTGACCTCCTGTCGGACCTGTCCTACCCGCACCACCTCATCGACCTCGGCTTCCTCGTCTCCGACACCACCGATGACACCGTCGCCGTTCTGGCCAAGGAGCTGGAGCGCATCCAGAAGAACGAGGCCGTCGCTTTCCACAGCGCCATGATTGTCGAGAAGGACTTTGGCGTCGAGACCAGCCAGGACGTCGAGTACAGGCACAGCTTCGCGGCCCAGGGCCCGCGCAGGAAGACAATGGGCCGCGCGCGCAACTACCTGCTGTCGTCGACGATGAAGCCCGAGCACTCGTGGGTCTACTGGCGCGACGTCGACATTGTCGACAGCCCCAAGAAAATCATCGAGGACTTTGTGGCCCACGACCGTGATGTCATTGTCCCGAACATCTGGTTCCACAGATACAGGGAGAAGGACGGCAAGATGGTCGACATTGAGGGCAGATGTATGTTTGATTCGCTCTCCCCGGGCAAAGGCCAATGCTGACGCGCATCCTAACAGTCGACTACAACTCGTGGGTGGAATCAGACACGGGCCGCAGGCTCGCAGCCTCGCTGGACCCGGACGTCGTCCTGGCCGAAGGTGAGCGCCACTGCCCCCACTTATTAAGCGTAAAACGCGGCGGCGGCGCAGCAGAGCTAACCCCCGCGCAGGCTACAAGGAGTACAAGACGGAGCGCACGTACATGGCGCGCATGGGCGACTGGCGCGAGAACAAGGACGAGGAGATTGAGCTCGACGGCATTGGCGGCGTCAACATCCTCGTCAAGGGCGACGTGCACCGCTCCGGTATTTATTCCTCCCATCCCGTCCTCTCAGGCACCACGCGCGTGCATGCGCGACCCATCCACTCACCCGCTACCCGTCTTGAAATGAACAATAGCTAACATGGTCCCCCGCTTGCGCAGGCATCAACTTCCCGTGCTACGCGTTCGAGAACCAGGCCGAGACCGAGGGCTTCGCCAAGATGGCCAAGCGCGCGGGCTACGGCGTGTACGGTCTGCCCAACTACGTCGTGTGGCATATCGACACGGAGGAGAAGCCGGGCAATGCGTAGTGGAATGCGCAGGTATGAGTGAAAAAGAGAGAGAGAGAGAGAGAGGATGGATGTGCGGATGAGGTGACGAAGACGCGGGGCCGCGGGGCCGCGGACGCGCTGCATATATACGCTTTTCTTTTCTTTTCTTTTTTTCGTCGGCTTTGCGGAGGTTTTGCTGAGGTTGGCGCGTGTGCGTACGCGCGCGCGTGTCGGGGGGAGGGCGGAGGTTCTGCTTGCGCCGTCGCTGTCGCTGTCTCTGTCTCTGTTGTGTTGTGCGTGAGGAGGTTTCAAGGCTCATGGCCATTGCCGTTGTTGTTGTCGTTGTTGCTGTTGTTATTGTCCCCTTGGCCTTGAACGCAAGAAGGGGACAACGAACGAACGGACGAACGAACGAGCGTACGCATCTCCTTTTTTCATTTTGGTTTTGGGAGAAGGAAGGGCGATCTTCATGCCGTTTTCATTGTCATTGTCATTTTTATTTTTTCTTATCTCTATTCTTCTTCTTTCGTTCCTCGCCGACTCTCAGTTTTCTGGGGGTTTGTCGTCGTCGTCGTCGTCGCATTTTGGTTTTGGGAGAAGGAAGGGCGATCTTCATGCCGTTTTCATTGTCATTGTCATTTTTATTTTTTCTTATCTCTATTCTTCTTCTTTCGTTCCTCGCCGACTCTCAGTTTTCTGGGGGTTTGTCGTCGTCGTCGTCGTCGTCGTCGTTGTTGTTTTTTCTTATTTTCTTCTTTTCGTACTCTTTTTCACAGGTGTGCTGGTGGTGGCGGCTTTGAAGCGGTTAATGGGTTGGGCTGGGCCGGTAGGCGGATCGGACTCGGATTCAGATTCGGATAGGATAGGAGTGATGGCCCGGACGACGGGTGGATGTGGGGTTGGGGGTATGGGGTATGAGCGATGATGTCCTGTGTCGTACATGCATGCATGGATTGGTGGTGGGATGGATGGGTGGGTGGGTTGGTTGTGGGTTGGGACGTGCATAGATAGAAAGAGAATTGACGAATGTGATTGGCTTGGGTTGGGATGCGTGTTCCATTGTTGGTGGGGTGGCTGTCGTGTGTGTGGGTTGGCTGCGTTGCTGTTGGATGGACTGACTTCCTGTTAAGTTGAGTTGAGTTGAGCTGAGCTGGTCTGGGCCGGGCTGGCTTTGCGTGTATGCCTCTGTTCTATCTGTTCGTTTTTCCTTCCGTCGATGGCGAGTGAGTGTGTGAGTGTGAGTGGGCTAGTGGGGTAATACGCCTGTTTGTGTTTGAGGCGTGGGGTGGTAGGTGTCCGGGTAGGGGTATTGTGGTTCTGATATTGGGGAGGGATGGGGCTGCTGCTGCTGTTGTTGTTGTCGTCATCGGGTTTTGTTATTGTGGCGATGTGGTGTTGGGTACGGTTGTAAGTGGATGGGTTTGCTAGCGATGCCGGTACGCTTACTGTTCTGCGGTGGAACCGAACAGCGTGCCTATATGAGTTTTAAAATTCTACACCGAATGCTTTTATGACCATATCTCAAGACAGTATACACATACCACCGGCTCATCTTCTATTGCGGGAGAGGAAGAAGAGTCGGATTATTGCAATTTTTTCAAGGAAACGAGGGCGTTACTGTTAAAAGCGCTCAGTGTTTAAAATGACGCTGTTAGCTACGGAATATGCGCTACAGCGGGTAATATTTGGTTATAGATGCAGGATATTCGCTATAAAAGCCGCGTCTGCTGTTACTTGACTGAGTGGTCGAAGGCCAACATCAGGCTGTGGGAAGATGTATGAGGATGAAGAGCCAGGGGGAAAGAAGCTCCCACTCCATATTGTGCTGCGGTTTCATGTCAAAATTGTTTTTCCAGGGAACATGGTTTTAGATGCTGGTGATGGCTGTTAATATGGTATGGTGGTAGCAGTCAAGGGTATCTAGTGGTGATGATGGACAAAATTACTTATGACCAAGTATCCTGTTTCTAGTACTCAGACTTATGCTTGCCGTTCTCGTCAGCAGGCACTTACGCATTGTTTTTTTCGGAGCGATGAACTTCAGCTTGATTCGGGTTGTGACAAAGTCCAAATGCTGCAGACGGATGACAACATACATTTCAGGAGGTGCTACGCGACAATGTTGGTGGCCTTGTCTGGCCCGGTGTAGTGAGCTCTGGTCTTCCACCATAGCTACGCCTTGCCGTTCCTCCTTCTCCACCTCACCAGTTGCATTATTTTCACATTCATTTGGATCTGTGGTCGCATCTATAACTGACATTTCCAATCGCGCGTACATGCCGCACTGCAAGACAGCAGACTCGAGGAAGAGCTTCCGAAAGCGCCTTCATCATGGCCGATACAAACGAGTATCGCGCCCGTGAAAACACCACCACGAATGAGCCCGATAAACTTAGCACCACTGGGTCCGCCGAGGGCAACCAGGACGAGAGCCAAGCTCAGCCGGTAGCCAAAAGAGCCGGTTAGGCATTTTCAGCTAGTAGCATCTTCGAGCTGGGTATTTAAGCACTTTTCAGTCTTGGGCAATTCAGTGACCATCTCCCACCCAGCGTGATGATGATCGTCGCCTAACCAAAAACATGTACATACGTCAGCATGTGTTCGGAATGTTGAAGGTCAAAAACTGACAGGAGGTGAGCAACATCTTTTTAATAGCTGGTCCTGGGGCCTGCCAACCTCGAGTGCAAGCCTTGGCCGACGACCTTGAAGGGTTGGTGTAGTAACAACTTTGCACCGGCGACGCAGGATAGAACTGAAGATACTTCCGGTGGCACGTCATGGCACGTTGATTGTTGTTTGAGCAATGAGCGAAGGATGGGGCAGCACTGCTGATTATACATGAGGCAAGCGCTAAGCTACATCAGGCAAGTGAGCTCTGCCTGCATGACAGGTGGTAACCGCCCGCTCTCACTGTCCTTCGCAGTATTGGATAGTAGCGAAAGAACAAAAATGAGAGAAGTGATCCATGCCCACAAGGAGTGAGCGAAAGGTATGTGCGAATGTTGCTATCTCCGTGGTGACATTGTGTGGCTGTTTGGCGCACACACACTCCACCCCGAAGTACCTTAGTAAAAACATTAGTATATAAGGGCCGGTACGCAGTTCATTCAGCAACTAGAGCAGCCGTTGAGAGTATATCCTCCCGTTCTTATTGGTTTACTGGTTTACTGGTCTATTGGTTTGAGCCGCAGGGGTGACGCACCCCGTGAGCGTGTTACACCTTAACCGCCTGCCTAGTTACTCTTTTTGGCAAGTTCGATTCCTGGCTGGGTCACTTCTTTTTTGTCACTTTTTCGCAAACTCATTATCTTTATCTGCCATCTACCATTTGCGTCGCGGCTGTAATCGCCGGCGTCGTAGCTAGTTATTAAATAGTTTACTAGCATAAATACCCTCTTTATGCGTATCTAGACAGCACCGAGTGAGAGACTGCACCGGTCTTAGCAATATGCCCCCTCCTCATCGTCTTCTAAATGCGACCGAAGATGAGTCGAAGAGAGTGTTGGGATTATTCTATAGTAGCGACGGACACAGAAACAAGAGGGGTTTAGGACTGTTAGTATCAGGAAAACTACCACAAGGACTACCGCAAGGACTACTACGAAGACTTACCGGTCCGCTGTCTATCCATACTGAGCCTCAATGATGGCTAATCATTGGCTGACAGCTTGCCGCAAGGGCTGGAGACTCTGTTTGTCTGACTTGCCGCCCAGAAGCTCGCACTTCAGGTGTTTACGACGGAAAAGTTTATCCCTCTAGCATAGTGACGACTGTGGACAATTAACGATGATAAATGCCGATGCTGTTAAGAACGGTTGACGGACGGCATCGATAGAATGGATAATGTTGATGGCGTAATCTTACGGTCCACTGACTGCTTCCAACGGGAAGGCAATCGGCCTCAAGACAAATGAAAAGACACGGTGATTTAAGGTAAACCACCAACCGCACAATAGAGGAAGACCGGGCAGGGTCGTCGTCGGTGGTGAGATGGTCAGTGGCGTCAGTTTTTAAGTCAAACAACCCACCTTACACCACCTCAAGCGCCTCCACAGAGTAACACCAATACACCACACCACCCAGCCAGAAGACCTCAGCACATAAATGACATCGCATCGCATTACTTCCTACGCTACCCACTCCTCCCACGCCTTCCTTCTCGGCCCCCTTCAGGACATGCGTGCTTGTTTGCTCCTCGAACCCCCAAGAAACCACCTAACCAACTCAACCCAACCCGACACCCAAAGAACGCAACCAATGAAACCAAGCACGCACATACATTAGACTCCCCCATCCACAGACCCCGGACCAAACCAAGCGAGAGATTAAAGATAGGGGATAGGAGATCGATGTCGTTGCCATTACCACTGATGCCAATTCCAAAGCCAAAGCCAGACCAGACCAGCCCCAACCCAGAAGAAGAAGAAGCGAATGCAAGCGCCCGTCTTTTTTAGTTTCCTTTTGCATTTCCCTCCTCTTAGTATGCTATGCGTCCATCCCAATGACCTCGATGTTGTCGCATGTATCCCCAAGGCTTATTAGTATGCCGATGTGTTTCCTTCCATCATGTGTGTGCTTGCTTGTTGTACAATACTGAGATACACATCCTATTAGTTTCCCCTTCCCACATCGCCCGCCTCTTACAGACCAACTTCTCGCGCCGCAGCGCCTCGCAATGCCCGCCCACCTCGCCTGCCTGATTTCCTCGCCCGTTCGCTCGGTTAACGCTCCGCTCCGCTCCGCGCTGATTTGGCCTCGCTCGCTTCATCCATTCGCGAGAGCATCCCTAGCAGCGAAGGTGGCGCCGCCGCAGCAGCCCCATCGCCCGCCCTTACGTAGGCCCACGCAGCCAGTCCAGAGCAGCACAAAGCCTCGCGGAGCCAAACTAGGCAGGAGGAATCTAAGGCTCGAAGCAGCGCGGGGGCCGCCTCGACGCAGACGCCGGGGCGAGAAAGTGGCACGCCTACTCGCGGGGGTGGGGGCCAGATCGGAACCACAAAGCAAGAGTGCTGTCGACGGACAAAGCAAAAACGATAAAGGAAAGTGGACCAACCCATAGTGACGGATTCGTTCGTGCGCCATTGGCTGCTGCCTTTGTACACTGGAAGCGATTGGTCAATTGAGCCGGGGAGGGGGTACATGGGTGCACGAAACATAACGACGATGACAATGACGACAATAGGGAGTGCCTAGGCAGCTAGGTAGTCCCTACTCCTTGCGGGGGCCACAGAGAGTGCAGTGACAGACGCGTTGGGGCAGAAGAACGGATAGACGGACTTGCAGACAGCCAAATACTCAGACAGACGGCCAGAATGCGGGGGCGGGGCCAAAAGAGAACAAAAAAAATTAACCACGCGACCAAAGCCGGCGGCGCAAGCCCCGCGCAAAACACATCGCCGCCCATATCTTTTTTCTTGTTCTTTGTGTAAAAAAACAATCTGCAGTAGCGACAGACAAGACAAGATAAGACAAGCCAGACAAAAAGCCAAGTGTGCAGGGTCGGTAGGTAATTGCATAGCGATATTACATAGACAGATGAGGAAGGCCCCAAGGCCAAGCCAAGAAGGGTATTGTACCGGCGCCGCTGGGCCGCAGCAGCAACCGGAGGAAGCGGAGTGAGAGATTTAGGTTAGGAGAGTGAAGAAAAAAGTTTTCGTCAGAAAGATGCTGCAAAATAACAAAAAAAAAAAAAAAAAGAGATAAGAGTTTAGAAAAAACGAAATAATCAGTCAAGTCCAAATGTCGGCGTACCCGTCATCGCATCTCCAAACCGGGTGCTGACAATCTTCTCTTGTGTCTGTACCGTAGCATCAATGGCCATCAAGGGGCCGAATCAAACAACAAACAACAAAAACACAATAAAAGAAAGGTCAGTAGCTATGCTGGTCTGCCTGCCGGTCGCGGGTTTGCGGTCGGATCGGCCTGGTCTCGATTGTGTGCTGAGTGCGTATGCGCGTTTTGTGGTTGGGGTTACAGAGGGAATGCATGCGCAAGCAACGGCATTATCGAATCCGTGTCGGAGGGCCAAAAAAAGGGGATCGAAGGATTGCGGATCCGCGAGAAGCAAGGGGTGGGGTGAGCAGGGACGAAACCACCGGAACGCCGCCTGACAGGCGAGAAGAGCAAGAAACGGAACAGGAAAAAATCCAAACAAGGTCGCATATGTATGGGGGTATCCAGATCAAAAGTTCTGCGCAATGCCAGAGTTACCCGCTGGTGGATATTGCGATGGGTTTTCGATCCGCGTGTTGCGCCTGGCACCGACGTTTTGAACGACCGGCTGCCCATCATAGCCGTTGGGGTTGTAGGCCTGGTAGGGGTAGCCTGAGTCGTAGTATTGCGTCTGAACGTCCGGCTGCATGGGAATGTTGTCGGAGCTGTCTGAGCGGTTGGCCGCAGAGTATGAGGAAGAAGCGTTCGAGGGGCCACGGTGGATGTCGGATTGGCGGTTCACTGCCACGGGCGCAGCGCCCAGCGCTCCAATGCCCTCCGAGTCCATCGTCTCCCGGCGCATCATCAGAGGGTCTCCCGAATCCGACTGGCCGGTGGCGTGCGTCGGTGATCCTGGGCTGTGGTAACCTCCCTGGTTGCTGCCGTTGTCCGAGAAGCCAGTCAATCCTCCAGAAATGGTCGTCGAAGCCTTGCGGTTGGACGGGTTGGTCGTGTTACCCCAACCGCGGTAACCGCTGTGATCCTCGGCCATTTCCGATGCCGCGAAGCCGCCCACGGCAGGGAGAGTTGGGTCGTTGTTCGGGTTGAAACCGTACTCTTCGACCTCCTTCCTCCTATCCTCAGCAGCCAACTGCTTTTGCTTGCGTTTCCTCCACAGGAAAATGCCGGCGGCAACTAGGAAGGCGACGACGACGACGGGCACGACGACTGCAACGGCAGTCTTTCCTCCGGTTGAGAGTCCTTTGTTGTCGCCGGACGAAGAGCTGCCGGTCGCAGACGCATTCAAGCCGGCAACGGTAGAAGAGCTCTTGCCGGCAGCACCAGCGCCAGAGCCGCCAGACTGAGTGGGATTGGTCGAATCGGTCGCGGTGACGGTGACGATGACCTGTGTGGCGCTTCCTGCTTCATTGGTGCGAGATTCGGTGACGATGGACGTGTACAATTGAGTGGTGCTCGGTTTCCCAGAAGAGGCGGTCTTGGTCGAGATGGCAGTCGTCGGGGCGGGAGCAGAAGTGGTAGCCGGGGCCTCGGTAGTCGAAGGCGGTTCAGTAGTCGAAGTCGGGGGGGCTTCGGTGGTGGTGGGTTCGGTTGTGGGGGCGGCGGCAGTCGAGGAGGGAGCCGTCGAAGAGGGAGCCGTTGTTGAGGTAGGCTGCTCAGAGGTCGAAGGCTCGGTCGCAGACGTCGACGTCGGGGCAGCGGGAGCAGCAGAGGTGCTCGCGGCCTCGGTCGCGGCAGCGGAAGAGGTAGCCATGGATTGCGAGGACGGAGCAGTGGTTTCGGCGGCAGAAGTTGGAGAGGTGGTGGCCGCACTGGTTGAGGGCTGGGGCTGGCTGGCTTGGGCTTGAGAGGTCGAGACGCCTCCAGCGGGAATGGAGGCTTGGCATCACGCATTAGGCTGATTACGGGGTCAAGGGATTGGCGAGGCACGACTTACGCGTTGGAGTGGCCATGGTAATCAGGGCGTTGTGCTACGGACGGGTAGGGGTGAAGGATGATGAGAGGGAGTGATTGCCGGCTGCGACGGTCGCGGTCGGGGGTGGTCGATGCAGCTCACGGCACTCCGAGTCGCATGTGCATGGGGGATATGGGAGGGAGCGTGGGCGCAGCGGTGGCGCGCTGGCGATTGGACAGTAAGGTTAAGGGTTAAAAGGAGAGGACCGACTGTAGAGTAGAGGGATGGGAAGGATGAGTTTGTCGGCGATGAGACGACGAAGCGACGAGAGCGGCCGGCCAGGCTCGTATTCTTCCGTTGACGACGGGCCTTTGCTCAATCGGGCGGCCGGCAATTAGGGCCAGTGGGGAGAGAAATGCAATGGGCACAATCTTGTCCGCAGCACGATCGCCGTACTGGAATGCCTCGAGTGTACTCGCACCCCTCGCAGCAGAGCCGCCTGCCTTGCTCGCTTGCCTGTGCTCATCCTGATCCGGCGCGCGGGCGGCTAACCATCTCTTCCATCGTCAACCACTCCATCTAATAAACTATCTCTACCATCTG